CACTCTCGCCTGCATTTCGCGCACTCGACACGCACGATCTCCGCAGAAGGTTCCATTTTCGGTTGACGCTGTTCGTCCCACCCTCTGCCTTTAAGAGAGAATTTATAAAGTGGGGAAATGTTTTTTCATTAGGACATCTCCCGTGCTCACACTTGCCTACTCATTACATGCTTTGCCTACTCATTGCATGCTTGCATACTCATTACATGCTTGCATACTCATTGCATGCATACTCATTGCATGCTTGCACACTCATCATTGCACTTGCATCATTACACTTACATACTTACATACTTACATACTTACACTTGCATACTTTGACACTTGCATACTTTGCACTTGGATGCTTTCGCTCTTCCACTTACACTGGGGTACATATACCGTTCATGTTGTAGTGCAAGTGTGGTAGAAGTGTCAGTGTGTAAGTGTAAGTGTCGAAGTGTCAGTGTTCAAGGGGTTTTCCGGAAGAACCCTTCGCAATGCTTTCGGGAAAAACCATCAATGTGAGAATTCTTGCTTGCCCTGAGTCAGTGTGTGTATATATATATATCATTGCAACTCTATCCATACAGGCTCTTTAATGTAATAGAACCTTTGCAGTCATTGAGAGTCTATTGACTATGACATCTTCTTTAACTCCTCGCCTGAGGCTTTGATTTGCTTCACCTTCTTCAATCGATCTTGCACATATTCGCTATCCCCTCCAGAGCTCCTGGATCCCCACGTCACCACGGATCCGTCAGCCAGCAAGGCTGCGAAGGCCAAGCCCGAAGCTTCAATCCGCTGCACCTGGCGGAGCAGGTGTTGCACCGGGCCGCAGTCCACGCCCGAATTCTTGGTGTCCCAGGACACCACAGAACCGTCCTGTAAAATGGCCGCGAAGGTGAAGCCCGTGGCCTCCACCTGGCCACGACCCCGCTTCGCCCGGAAAAACCCAGCCACGATTGGTGCGAAGGAGAGTCATTATGAAGTGAAAGAAGGATGAGAGTCATTCTGCAAAACATCGAGATATAATTCTGCAAAAGACCAAAGCACTTACCCAGTCTCTAGCTATATGATGTGCCTTACAGCCTAACTCTGAAATCTCAAGGATTCATTCAAAAAAAAGCAAAATAAATGCAAAAACACACTCACCAGGAAATGCAAAAAATGCATGAAAAGGGCAAAAAAAGAAAGGCAGCTGGTGAAAAAGAGTGCATATCACAAAGAACAAAAATTGCAAAAGGAAAAAGGAAACTGCAAAAAAAAGAAAACACAACGCAAAACAACAATTTAAAAAAGCAAAACGAAAGCAAACAAAACGCACCCCAAAAATGCGCATGCACAACCAAATTTCACACACCACCGTTTTTTGTATGTTTTTTTTGCGATGTTTGTGCGTTTTGTGTGCGATATGTTTGCGAGTTTTGGGGCGATGTTTGTGCGGTGTATTTGCGATGTTATTCTGGCGTTTTTTGTGTTCCCAAGAAAACGCCCCAAAAATGCAAAAAAAAACATAAACAACGAAAAACAAACAGTCAATCTAAAGGCAAACAAAAAGCAAAATAAGAAAAGCAAAGACCAGAACGTGTTTGTTCGCTTTTGTTGCCTTTCTTGCATGTTTTGTGCATGTTGTTGCATGTTTTTGCATGTTTTAAGTGGACAATTGTGCTGTTGTTTCGCCTTGTGTTTGCTTTTGTTGTGCATTCCAACGCTTCCATTGGTGACTTGTTTGTGCGTTTTCTGTGCATTTTTTGCAGCATTGGTTTTGCCTTGTTAACTATGCGTTTTTAGGTTTTGCTGTGTCATCCGAACTAGCTTTAATGTAGAGGAGAGCTGCATTACAGGCCGAAGTTTCCTGCGCACCGGCAGCAACCTCTTACTTTCGCACCCTGGTCAGCGACCTGAACCAGCACAGCTCAACCAGCCACGCAAGAGTGGTTTATTGGGAAAGTCAACCACCTTCAAATTCACTTTCAAGGTCGCAACAAATAAACACCCCCCTTATCCCTTAAGAACACAATCAAGCAAAACGCGTGGCGGAGGGTTTAACTGCCAACCAAAACATCGCCCAAATGCATGAGGAACCCTATTTGACTGACCTCAAGTCACCCATGGAAACGGTGACCCATCAACCAGCCCGAAAACAGGAACATGTCATTGCAAGCAAATCCTCGTCTGTTGTATGCTCGCGTACACGTCCCAGGATTAAATTTATCTAGCAGAGCTGCATCGTTTAAAAAAAGAGGACCATACATTCTCGTTGGCAAAAAGAAACTGGTCTCAATCTCTCAAAACCTCTTTGAAGTGTGTTGCGAAACAGAATTAGGAAAAGTCTGAGCCGGACATCGATCGACTTGCCGACCTGCCAGACATTCTTCAGCTGATCTTGGACAGTACTGCAGTCACCTCCAAAGCTCTCATGGCCCCACGTCACCACCGATCCATCCGTCAAAATCGCACAAAAGGCCCCGCCAGACGACTTGATCTGCCGGACACCTACAGGCTCTGTCTGGACACGAGAAGACAAGCAGATCACACGGGGGCCTTAATTGTGGGAAAAAAACATTGAAAAATCACTGAGAACCCAAAAACAACCTGTTTGAGGAAACGGGTCCGAACCCTCCATCCATGGCCCTTCGTCAGTCTCGCCGTCTAAGTCTCGGAGACCGTCGACGGTGCTTCTGAACGGCGCGGACGGTGGTGTGTTTTCGGCCCAGATGCAATGCAAGCGATCTTGCACACTGCTGCTATCACCTCCAAATCCCCGATGTCCCCACGTGGCCACGCCCGGACTCCCAGGACACCACAGGGCAAAGGCCGTGTCGGTGGAGACCACCTTGGGCATCAGCACCACCGCCGTGAGCACCGGTGACGGATCAAAACAGTCGAAGGAATCCTCTAAGGATTGCTGCGCATCTAAAAGGCGACCGGAGGAATCCATCCTTGGAGCACAGCTTTTAGCTTGAAATGCAACAGAAAGAACTGACACTAGGACCAGGAGTTCAAGACTAAATTTTGAGGGATCTAATTTAGACCTGAAAAATGGTGTCCTTTACCTTGGTGCTGTGACATATAATCTTGGACTTCCAGGGCAGATGTATGATGCATCATGTATCATCATGCATCTATAATTCTATAATCTTACTCCAAATTGCTTGGTCAGATGCATCCAACCTCTGGAAACAAGAGCAGAAACACAAAAAAACATTAACACACAGACTTCACTGTGCGAGATCTCTGCTTTTTCTCATGTTTCTTCCAGGCATCAGTTTCAAGAAGGAGACTTTGAAGAAGCCTTTGGCCGCCCTTTTCACCTCGCACACCTCAGTGTTTCATGCCCGTCCAGGTTCTTTCGCGACGCGTCGGTCTCGGCAGGGTTTCGCAAAGGGGGTCAGCAAGGGGATGGTTTGGGGGCGCAGCCGAGCCCAGTTTTTGAGCCCATAGATTCATTGATCTGTAAAAAATCTGGCGACATGGGCGTACTGCATACTTCCTGAACCCCAAAAAGTGGTCTTCCCCGCTGACCGGCTGCCAAGCTAGAAACGAACCTCGCTCGGTTGCGGCACGGCCCAATTTGTGGCCCACCGCTGGCGCGCAAACCTAGACATGTTCTGGAAATACACTCTGCCAGCGCAAGGTTCTACTCACGGCATCAATCTCGGCTGCACCCTGAGGCTGCAACCAGAGGCCTGTGTACTCTGTCTGCTTGGGGTAACAAGCAGCGTCATCGAGCACTGTTCCAGAGCGCACACTGTATTTCCACACACTGTTCCAGAGCTCACAGGAGCAGCTGTCCACTGGGCATGATGCTTCAAATCTCCTCTTCACACTCTTGTGCAAGCATTTGGACCGCAGAGGCTTTCTTCACAGGCACCGTTAAGTAAGAACAGCTGACAGAAGTTAGCTTAGGGAACTTTCGGCACAGTTTCGGTGTCACAAAAAGACCTAGCTGCTTCCAACCAATTGGGGGTCGCCCGTCTCCAGAGGAGCTTCCTCCTAATTATTGGATGGAAAAAGAAAAAGCCACCCCAACTCACCACCTTCTGGAAAAAGGAGGCACGCGCGATTGAATATTTGCGCGATTGAATACGCGCGACCTACGATGGAAACCGCGATAGAAACGATGCAATGCCACGTCCAAGAGACCTTGGCACTGCTGGGCCCCGCCCAACTCATCGACCGCCCACTGGGCAGGCAGATCCGCAATGCCACGTCGCGCACACGGGTGGCGGAGCGGGAGCGTGGTGTGGACGGTGCGGAAGGCTCTGCCATGGCTGGTGAGGGGTAAGGGTTCCAAGAAAATATACGGAGTGAGGGGAGGGGCCGGGAGGTGTCAAGGAAGAGGCTTGTGGAAGATCAGAAAAACCTCCAAACACCCATGATTAAATCGCATCCACACGTGCGACCTCTGTGCAAAGAGGTGCTCTTTGGTGGATCGGGCAAGTTTGATATCTCACAAGCCAGCCTTGGAGCAAAGGGCAATGCATGGCGACGCTAAACAACTGACATATATACTAAAATAAATACAGTGGGTTCAGAGTAGATGGCACAATCCCCAAGTTCGGTGGTTTATATGGACCCCTATCCAAAGGACATCTTGGGGGTCGTGTCATCTACTCAGAAACCACTGTATAAAATGCTGAAGGGGATGATGACAACAGTCCAGAGCTCTGCTGCATTTGGACGTCAAGTGCTGGCATCGAGCACGTAGTAGATGCAAAAAGTGTAGATGCGCACTATTTTCATGAAAGACTGATGAAGACATGGGGGGTCGGTGGATTTTGCCGCCACGAAAACGTCCTTCCCTTGCTGCTTGGAAAGCATTGAGATGGGTTCGACCATGGCATCGACCATGGGTCACAAACTCTCATGTCCCCAGCAGAAGTTCCTGGATTCATACATCCTACTCCAAGAGCTCTCTATTGATTATTTATGATTCTTTGACCTTGAATGAAGGCACCTAACAAAAAAAGGAGCACTTCTTTCCAGGCAACCAGCAGCATAGATGAGAGTCATCAGCTGATGTCCGAAAAGAGTTTGAGACAAGATTGATTTATAGTCTCACGCTATACTATCACTTCTCTCTACAAACCAACCAACGCAAGCTACCCAAACCACACGTGGGGAAGGCACTCCTCGCTTCAACGAACTCCGCCGCACTCCTCCTTCGGCCCGTCGCACGTCGCTCCGCGCTCGCGGTCAACCGCCTTCCACCCAGCGCTTGAAGAGCATGGCCGTGGGCCGCTCGGCCGCCACGCCAGGCTCGGACTCCAAGTTGGCCACCAAGAGGTCGAGCACCGCCTGGCGGGAGCTGGGATGAGCGCAGACGAGCGCAAACGTTGGAGTGCGAAAAGGGGTGAATTCGTTGAGAAGAAGTTTGATTCCTGTACGAGGTACGTGGTCTCCTCAAAGAAGTGGAAGAGGTCCTTGAAGCGAAAGAGATCGAAAGCAAAGGTTGTTAAGTGTTCAATGACATTCTGGGTGCACTGGATTCAGGAAGGGGAGTTTCTAGCTTGAAAATGGGGGATCACAAGTCCCCTCCCTTCCTTACCATGGAAAGAACTTCCTCCCGAAACCAACCCGACCTTCCAACCAGCCCGGCCAAAGAAACGACGCCTCCTCGTCTGTTTGACATGGCGCCGCCTCGTAGTCGGACATGCGCAGACCCTCGTAGCGCAAGCTGAGCAACGTGAGGCCGATGGTGATATCCTCAGCAAAAGGAGCGTCGTCTGCGAATGAGATCTGCACCACAGCGTCCCTCCTTGGCGCTGCCCTGGGGTGCAGAAGTTCCGAACGACTTGGGAGTTGTTCTGGGACCTGTCCGTGTTGTAAAGAGCTTTTTGGGAGAGGGTGAGCTTTTGCACGAGAGAGGGGTGACTCGGTGATCACAAAACATAGAGTGAGTTCAGAGAGAAGTGGGAGATCTTGGCCAAATAAATGGGTGGTTGTTTGAGAATGTTTGAGAATTTGAGGTTCTCATCTTAAAAGGCTTTCTCTGATACCTCGAGAAGGCACGAACGTCATGTGTCTCCAGGTTCTTGGGATACACGACACCCTGAAGAGAATGTGCAAACAACTTGCAATGTCATTTCAAACAAGGAAGAGAGGCAACGACAAAAGGCTACCAAGAAGAACATCGGTTTCACCATGAAGAACCACAACGATCACCTCGCTGTCTCGGTCGGTCACCTCCCTAACTCCCATCTCCTAACCCTCCCCAAGACCGACCATCCCACAACGCTCCGCCGCCGTCTCTCGGAGGGCCGCGGATCGCCCCGCGGACTCGACGACCGACGACTCGACTGGTTGGAGTCCAGGGCGCGGGGTGCGCGAACTCCGAGGACGGCGACGGCACGTCCTTGCCGATGAAGGGGATCGACAGCTTCGCACGGGTCCTGGGGACGGAGCGGAAAAGGAGGACGGAGCGTGGAGCGGGAGGCCTTGGCTTCCTTGGCGGATACGTTCAGCATCGACATGTTGTTGATCGTTGATGTGTGAATGAATGCATTGACCGCCGCAACCTGTGCAAGGAGTTCTGGGGAACTCATTCTACATCCAGGGAGACAGTAGGGGGTGACTGGGAGACAACTGCCAACATCTAAATCATCTGGTCCCTCAAGCAAAACTTGGAGCTTCTCGAGCGTCTCATGCATCAAAAAAGTGTATACCCTCCCTCCAACATAGAAGTCGAAAGTGGGTCCTTGGAAGAATGCTTTACTTTAGAAACAGGTTCAACGTTTTGAGGAGATCAAACTAAACCTGTCTGTTGAATCACCGTACGAAGGTATAAAGACGTCCAGAGAACCAACATGCCAAGCAAGTCCTTTTGGGCCCTCCCAACAGAATGAAAATGAGTTTGAGTTACTGAGTGGAGCGTCCTTCTCTTACGGCAAAAAGTCGTCCACCGGACCTGCACATTTATTAACAGCCAGTGTTAAACATGAAGCACCGTTGATACTGATACCTCCATGGCTCCTCCATGTAAGTCCAACAGAATCGGACGACGAAGTAGACCGCAACGAACCAAAAGATCCACCCTCCAAGACACCTGCACAAGTGCGGCACACCAAAACCAGAAAGAGCACTCTCCAAACCCCCCGCGAGTTCGCCCGCCCCGAATCTCCACTCACCTGATGCCGGAGTCAACTCCGAGCGGCATGGGCATGCCCGGCTGGCGAATCAGCGCCTGCTCCACCTGCACGTCGGTCATGACTCCGTAGGTCACGCCTGGCGCTGCGCTCGGCGGGGTTCTTTCCGCTGAGCGAGTCGAACTGGAGTCGGCATGTCCTCCACGTGAACCGGCACGGAAGACGTAGAATCTCTGAGACCAGGAAAGGCCGATCTGTCGAACTCAACAAATCGAGTTAGCCATTGCAACAGGAACCACTTCACAAGAGTGACAAACCAATCATGTTGGGGGTGTTTCACCCCAGATCTGATGTCACCTCTACAAGCTGATCAGGGTGAAACCCGGGCGACGGCTGCGCACGGGCGAGGCTGTCGGATCCCAACGTCCAACGCGGCCAAGGCTCGATTGATCTTTTGGAGCACATGGGGTAAAAAGATGGAGAGCCAATCGGCGGACAGGTTCAACATTTGGATGTCACCTGAGCGCCAATTCGTTTCGGTGCCATGAGGAAGTTGTGGTCCAAGGACCTGGAGGGCGAGTACCATCCCCACTAGACGCGATGCCGGGAGTCGCACATGAGGTCCACCACTTTTGGGCTTCCCCGCATATCTGCAGTTCTACACTCTCATGCGGGTGTGTCTGCAGCAGAAACCTTTAACACGAAATATCTCAAAGCCCCTTCGATCAAGGTATTCTTGACCACCCAGCAGGGTGACACGTCCCAAAACTCAGGTAGAAAGATGTAGAAAGCACATGCAGCCCAAATCACCACAAAACAGCCACATGCAGGGGCAGCTCGCCCCCCCCCCTGTGAAACCTCTTCGCTCCGGTCCGAGCCGCGCTTGGGCAGCATCGCCACCCGCTTGGCCAGCGGCGAGTCCGGCGCCGCCACCTTGGTGATGTACTCGCGCACCTGGCGGAGGTCCCGTGAGGTCCGGGGAAGGCCGCGAGGTCGAAGGAAGGGTGCGGCAGTTCTTTGGTTCGCGGGGAAACAGCGAATCCCATGCAAAAGCTAAGTGGAAGATTGTTTTTTGGTTTGAATTGTCACAGGAAATGAAGGGAGCGATGTCATGTCGAATCATCCGTTCTGCTGCAGCAGAAAGAACCCAACAAAAGGTCCTAAAAGAAGAAAGAGCCCCACATTTGCTACTTTTGGTGGTCTTTGTTTCATGCTCCGATCTTCGACTTGTTTACAGGTTCGACTGGGTTCTTTTCCAAGAAAGCAGGAACGGACTCGGAAGGACCGGCACCTCCGCATCGCTGAGCCCTCCATCGATGATGCCCTCACGCTCGTGAGCAAAGGAGCGGCCCACGTGCTCAGAGGCCAACCACAAAGTCATCCAGGAGACCATGACATCCTTCAACCTGGTCGTGGTGTTCAATGCAGTTTATACAGAGGCCAACCTGGTCGTGGTTTTCAGACCAACGCAGTTTATACAGAGGCCCACCAGGTTCTTCGGCTTCGGGCCAGCGTGCGGTGGTGGTGGTCTTGGGTCTAAAGCATTGGGTCCACCGCACATCGCGCCCGGTTGTCCGCGACCAGGTCTGGATCGGTGTGGTCACTACCAGACGCGCCTTGGGGACAGAAGCTGCGTGGCCAAAGGGGACAGAAGCGGATTCGTCTGTGGGACTCCTGGGCTCTGGCTGGGCCCAAAAGTGTCCCCTACTCTTCCCGGGCCCCAAAAAAAGCAACTTCTCTCATCTTGCAGAGCCTTCGACTCCAAACCCTTTCGGCTTCGGCTGGACCGGCCGGAGCAAGGAGAGCTCTCTCGGCACGCGGTTGCCGAGCCTCTCGTCGTAGAACTCCAGGTTCAGCAGCACCAAGTGGGGGGACCGTTGCATCTTCAACTCTCCTGGGCTTCGAACAAGTCAACATCCGCCGCATTTTGCTTCGTTCTTGAACGACGAAGCGAGGCGGCCAACGTTCTTTTCATTCTACGTCCATTGCTGGGCGTGTGAGCTGCTCTTTGACTCGATGGGATGCACCAAACACCGGTTACCGCGCCAGCTTCGGCTCCGTCCGAGAGAAATCGAAAAAGCCTCGCATTTGCCGCAATTGCTCCTGTTTGACTCCCTCAGTTTCTCTAAGTAATACGATTCACCTCTTTCCACCTCTTAGATTTTAGATGGTCTTAGTGGCAAAAAGCTTAAAGGTTACCCTGTTAAATGTCCGAACGCCAAGGAAGCCGAGGGTCGGGTGCCATCAGAGATGGTCTTGGCGATCTTCTTCAAGATGTCCTGCAACCATGGTCTTGGTGAAGCCAAGAAGATGTCCAATCAAGTTATATATAATGTATAATATAGAGGGAGAATTGCAGAAAGTGTAAGAAGAAGATATTGGGTATGGTACTAGGTACTCACTAGGTTTTGATATATCCATGGATGTCCAAAAATAGCTTGTTCATGATCTATATGAAGGGGGCGGGACAGGGTCCAAGGTGTGGTTTTCTTGGGGAAGACTTCAAAATCCATGGATGATATCAAACAAGTGATTAAAAGCCATGGATTGTAAACAATGGACATGTATTTTATGCATATAAAAAAAGAAGAATTAAAAAAAAGGTATATACAAACATCTGGTCAGCGGTTCTTCTACCACAGCTTCAGCACATACCCGTCTCAGGGAAGGGAACGTCTTTCATTGATAAGCTTTGTTTTCGAGCCGTGAAAAGGTCCCGAGGATGATCGGCCCATAAGCATCTGGCAGAACTTCAAAAGACCAAGTGTGTTGACCAAAACCGTCTTCGACCGGGCGAACGACCGGGCGACCACCGGCGAGGAACGCTGACCGGCGACCCGAACGAGGCGTCCGGACGTCCTTGGCGAGGGCGCTGTCGGCGAAGCGTTCGGGCGGCGTCAGCTCGCCGGTCTTCCCGGACTGCAACTCGCTGATGAAGATGCCTCGCCGGTCTTCCCGGAAACGAGTGCTTGAGACCGTGGGAAACCGGCATGTGGGTGGGTGGGTGGGTGGGTAGGTAGGTAGGTAGGTGGGTGGGTATCATCCTACCCGTCAAAACCACCCCCAACCACCCCCAAATTCTAATGGCCAGGCCCAGCAGTAGCTGGGGGTAGTGTCAAAGCTCGAACTCTCTCCAAGGTTGTTTGACACAAATCTCTGAGAGTTTGGATGTCTTTCTTCTTCGTGTCAGGACTCTTCGTGCTCTCGCCTTCCAAGAGGTGCAGCGGAATCTGCCAGCGGTGTGGTGCAAAGTCGATGAGATTCTTCGGGCCGATGGGGAAGTTCAATTCGCTCCTGGCGCTTCGGCGGCTTCTCCGGTTCTCTGCGGGTGTTTTATATGTTCTTTTAATGCTGCAAGTGGGGTGAAATGGGTGCAAGTGGGTGCAAGTGGGGTGAAATGTTCAGGCCGGTGCTGACCGAATGAGTCAACTGATTTTGTGAAAAAGGCCGGTAGCAGGGTCACTCCGCATCACGAGATGAAGTCTTCCAGCAAAGAGAGTTGAAAACTGCCCTCAGAACAGGTCGTGGAAACATCATCACATGGCATTGCTCCATGGTCTCCATGTGTCTATACCAAAGAGATGTTCCTTCTCCCAACGCTAGAAAGTCTTGCGATACCATCGCAACATCCAAATCATCACGGGATGGCTACGCGTGCACCGTTCAGGTCCAACAGCTTGCTGCGTTCGCAGTGCCTCGTTCCAAGCAGTTTTGGGACTTGGGCTTGCGCGTCGCATGGCTGGCCTTTGGCCAATCTGAAGTTCTGTACAAATCGACATCAAAACTGGAGCTCAGCAGCCCAGGAGACCCCCGATGCGATGCAACGAGGGGACGAGGTCAGAGGCTTCCACATCTGACGAGATTGCATCAAATGTATCACATGTATCGGGAGTCACATGAAGAACACCCTGCGGATCTGCGGATCTTGGAGCAATTTCTGACCCTTCCCAAGAACGAAGATCTCCCAGAAGCCGAAAGCTCCAACAAAACATCTCTGGTCTCAGCTCTTCTCGCTCTTCTCCGCCTCCTTCTCCCCCTCTTTCTCGGCTCTCTCAGCTGCTTCGGCCGCATTCGCCGCAGCCATCTGTTGCTGGAGCATTGCGACCAGCTCCTCCAGATCTCAGACATCAACTTTGAACTGAGCACGTCTATAAAACTTACTGACATAAGTTCATCATATTTCAGTTTGCCTGGAAAGCACGACGGCTTCATCTGTTCTGCGCCAAAACCGCTGTTCAAAACCGATCCCTGAGGGAAAACGCCGAGCCAAGTCCTTCTTCTCGCGCTTGCGCCGCTTGGCTCGGCGGATCGTCGCCTTGTCGATCCACTCGCCGCCCAACTCGGACATGCGGCCGCTACTCGGAAAGGGGGCGAGGAAACCTTGTTCCTTGTAGCGAACCTTGTTACTAGTAGTAATGGCCAGGAGCGCCCCTAGTAGCGTCCTTGCTCCTAGTAGCAATGCCCTTTGTTCCTAGTAGCTTCTTGTTACTAGTAGTAATGGCCTCCAACCTAATAGCAATGTCCTCCACCTAGAAGCTTCTTGCTACTACTGTAGTTCTTGGGAGGAGAGTTGGACGGTCCATGTTGTTCAGTGCCGTCCGAGTTCGGAGCTATTCAGTCCATCCGGAAGGGTTCTTTGGGCCTCGAGGATTCCACCCTGCAGGTGAGAAGGAGGAGAAGTATGGTCCGCGTCGTCCGCGTTCTGATTGTTTGGGGAACACACCGCGCTCCTGAAGTGGTGCGTAAATGTGTTCACTTCATGTTCCAGAATTTTCAGGAGTAGAGTCCGGATGCACCTCTCCTTCGCTACTTGAAGTGCAGTATGTTACATGCTTGTGAAGTGCATCACCTGAGGAGCCTTAGGACACCACAGACGTGGCACACATAGGATCCACTGGAGGAGCTAGCCACGCTCGCCGCTATGCTGTTCGATCTGGGATTCTCAGTCCCGTACGACAGTCACAACCAAATATACCAAAATACACATCACAATGTCCATACAATGCTTATAACAACTAGCTAATCCCGAAAAGGAATCTCATCGAAACTCAACCAACACCCACTTCTCTCGCTCACGCGACCAGTGGTGCCGCCGCCGCCACCGCCAGCAGCAGGACCGCGGGCACCGCGATCTGCACTAATGGAGGCCATTGAGCGAAGAAGGGCGGGTTCTCACGCATGCTCTGCACGGTCTGGCCAGGTCGGCAGACACGGCCGGGGCCGGGGCGGTCCGTGGCGAACTCGCTGGTCGTGCGGACGACGTGCGAGCGACGTGCGAGTTTTGCAGGGGTGAGCCAGGGGAGCCGGGAGACGATCTGTTTCATGACACGATCTGGTTCATGGGAGTTCTCGTTTGGCGGAGAGAGTTGGCTGCAACCAACCCAACATCACCCAACATCACCCAAGCAGTCACGATGCCTCTGAGTTTGAAAAGATATCTGCACCACTTCGAGGTGAAGCCAATAGGGAGTCAATGAGGTACTCCTCCGCATGAGCACCTTGGGCCTCTAGAAACCAGCCAGCACCGGCCGCGGCAGCCGCACCGGATGCCGTTGGCCGTTGGATCGTTGGCGGTGAAAGGAAGGCCAGACCAAGCACACAGCAGCTGAGAGCTGCAAGCACGGCGCCACTGTGCGGCACAGAGCGTGCCATGGCGCCCAGTTAAAAACAACTTCAGAAGGGCTCAGAGCCTTCAGTTGCGGTGCAAGTCAAGTGGCAACTGGCTGGCAGGTCATCAAAAGTTCTATATATACTCTGATTCCAGCCATCTCCACCTCCAGAGCCACCAATTCCATCAGATTGCTCCACCCACCGAACAAAAAAAGGGCCTCACCTCCTTCCTCCTTCCTGGAAATGACGAACCGCGCGTGTTCGTTTTCGCCTCGCCTCAAGGGGTGAAGCACCAGGTCCACCTCATCGATCATGCAGACCTCAGTGACTCTCGGCTCCATGAGGATCCACCAAAGCAAGCAAAACGTCTTAGATTTGTTTTCCCAATAGATCCTCATATAGATCTATTACATTATTACATAACTCTACAGGCTCAAAATACTCAAAGACCCCAGGTTTGGGGGTTAGTCGATTTGTATCGATTTGTCACTTTTTTACCTGTGAGTTTGGATGAATGGTGCTGAAGATCCATCATAATCCATCTAGCTGGTGGTTCAACTCTTGTTTGAGCCTTTTGATGCCCTGATAATTCAGCTCCATTCCCCGGGCAAAACCATCTCATCCATCCCTTCAACTACGACCCAAAACAACTACCGAAGATTGAACCCACTACCATCTTCACCTCAAAGAAGGCCTCTTGCTCCTCTCAGTTGTGTCTCTTCCAATCCGCTGTCCCAGTGGCACCCTTCGAGAAGATCTCCAGCACACGACCCAGTTCCGTCGTCTCCTTCTGCAAGGCCGCGGTGTTGCGCTTGGACCTGCCACCACCGTCGACCGTCGTCCGAACCACCCTCGCCCGGTCCGACGTCCGCGGGACGCCGACGATCCGTCGGGTCCGAGGTCCCCCACCGGCGGTCGTTGCAGATGTCCAGGTTCTCCACGAAGCGCAAGATCAAGCTCTTCACGTCGGTGGGCTTCGTCAACAGCACGTGGCCTGGTGACGAACCAGTCAGGACATCCCCCCTAAGGGGGGCGGCATCCGGCCCCAGGGTCAAAAGGTGACACCCAGCAAAGATGGGAGAGAAACAAAGCTTCTGACCAAAACCAACATAGACCAACTCTCAAGCTTCTCAAGAAACTCCTCTGACCCAAAATGTTCTTTCTCTCATCTTCTCTTCATAATCCTCGAATCCTCATCCCATGGAGTGGCCTTCGTTTCGGACCGACTCGATGCGGTCGCAGATGGCGATGTCCACATCTTCCGAGCGGTCGCAGTGGAAGAGGCAAATGCGCTTCCTGACCACGCACCGCGTCGGCCACGGTCCCGGCACGGTCCCGGCGATGACGAATTATTCGACCCGACTCCACGGAATCGGCGTGAACCTGGAAGGGTATCGGCGTGAACCAGTGCATTTTTGGGGTTGGAGGTTGATCTTCAAGATCATCTGCAATTGGAACGGAAGCCTCCAATGGAGCAGGACCACAAAAGTGACGGATGCCGAAAGCGCAGATTTGTCCGGCCAGGCATCTGGATGATGGACGAGAAGACGGCCATCAGCACACCACGGCAAAATTCCAGAAGTGCCGAAGGCACCACCAAACTCACCAGGCGCTTTCCATCCGCCAACAGCCTCCACAAATTGCCGTGCCACTGGGTGTTTTTTGGTCGGAAGCGCTTTGAGGTTCGATGAGTATTCGCCCAAGGACCGAGCCGAATCTGCCCCTTCCTGAAGTTGGATCAGTTCACGTTTGGCTTCGGGATGTATTCTGAAAACTGAAAACTATGGGAGCTTTGAATCGGGGATAGCCACCTTCAGAATGAGGACATAGAGGGGACTCGATCGGGAAGTGTGTAGCATATGTCATGTCCATATCCATCATGTCAGGGGTCGTTGAAGATCTTGATTGAGTATATGTTTATGTGATACACGATCTGCAAATCCACCCGAAAATTGCCAGCTTCCAAGCTTGCAACACTCAATCCTACTCCAGAGGCTCAAGTCTACAAAACAAGTAGGGGCGACCAATTCTCTCGGCATTGTCAACCAGAGCAAAAAGTAGGTCAAACGCGATTGCAGGTCGAATGCCGAAGGCCCTACGACCCGATGTGGCTCGAATGGACTTCGATGACCCATGGGACCCCCATCGCTCTTCGTTCATCTTTTTTCTCTTGCTGAATAGGCACAAGACTTGAGACTCAAGACTTACATCCGGGGGGTCGTGGTCTTTCTTCCACCTGAAGACTCCCGCACCAGACGCACCCCTCCGGTGGTGGTAGCGGTTGGTGGTGTTTTTCGTGGTGTTTTTGTTCACTGCTGAGTGGCATGGAGAGCAAGGGGCTCACGACGGTGGTCTTTCCTGCTCCCATGATCATCTGCTTCACTCCGCTTTCACCTCCTGCGGCAGAGTGGGGCGGAAGCGGAAAAAAGTAAAAAATATCCACGGCAGAAATCGTAGCTGGTTAAATAAGGCTGGTGACCCAGTGACCCACGAGTTGCCAGGATCTTTTTGGAGGAGTGTGCCGACATGTCGGCAAATGGTTTTTCTGACTCAAACTCTTTGGTCCTGTTGGTCCTTTCCGTGATTATCATGATGTCATGGAGCTGCTAGCTCCTTCATCTCAAAAACATGCATGCCCAATCGTTCTAATGAAACTGTTCCAAAGATCCCAAGCTTAGGCGAGAATTGAGCTCCACTCTTCCTTCCAATGACAAGAATCAGGGCCACATCAATCTCACCGGGGTGTTCTTGTTGTCTGGGATCCCTAGGCGCGCATGATACAGAGAGACCCTCCAAAGGCTCAGGTTCAATGATTTCCCCAAAGGCCTGCAAGTCCATGTCCACAGAAACCGAAGAAACACTACCCCAGGCCGACCCTGCTAAAGTGGACGACCAGAAACAGAAAGACAAGAAGCATCAAGAAACAAAAACACCTGGAACACCGAAACAACTTCGAATTGATGGATCACCCTTCAACACCCCATTTTGTCATTGAGTCTCCTTCCACTGTCTTTTGGAAGTCAGAGATGATGGCCACCTGCCGCTCGTGCAGCATCTTGTTGTCGGAGAACCTGAGCAAAAAAAAACTCTGAGCGGTGCTACGAGACCTGCGACCATCTCCAAGGGAACTTTCGCCATCAATGGAGATCTGTGCAAACATCTTTGACACGTCCTCACCACGAGTTTTTTGTGGGAACACAGCATGGAAGAACGGAAATAGACCAGTCCTACCCATTGGTTAGAAGGTCTCCCTATTAAAATGCACACCATCTTGGCCATCACATCTTGGTCAACTCCGGAGTTGGAGAAACGTATCAGCCACCGTGCCTGCCCTCCTTCCACCCTGCCACCCTCGACAAGAGATGAAAGGAACCGATTTCACGGATCTGTCGAAATCGATGCGGCAGAGCAAAGAGAGAAAGAAAAGAAGAGCTAAGCCATCTTGGCTGGATGAAGAAATCTAGCCTTTGTATGCCTTTATCGTTGATTGGAGAAGTGTACCCTTTCAGTGTCCTCTCCTAGCAGTAAGCCAGTGAAGTTCTTGTTGCGATTTACCTAGGAGGAGGCCACTGGAAGGTCGACCGGGAGGTCTCCACTGACGACTCTGCTGCGGCCGAAGCAGCTCGAAGACTAAGAAATGAGGATCATAAGCCTCAGCGGATCACGGCGTTGGACCATTGCAAATATCCAAGGTAGCTAAGTGTCTAAGTGTTTGTTAAGGTGTTGGTCAGAATGATTTGAAGCGCTCAACCTTGTGAATTTGCAAAAATTAAGAAAATGAAACCTTTATATATACAGATCGTTACTACTGGCAGTGGGCAGGCATGATAATATGGCTTTAACACGCTGAGGCCCAGCAATTCACTCGCAGGTCAACAGATCAGAAAGTTCCAAAAACCGGGACGAGGTCAACTCGAGTAGACTTGCAAGCATTTCTCCAAAGTCAAAATGCTAAGCAAACGACCACGGAAGGAAGGAAGGAAGGAAGGAAGGACAGAGGACCGAACGAGTGAAGAAACTGACGGACAAACGAAAGGAGTTGCGATTTCAGGGGAAGGGAAGGATAGGGGGAACCCGCAGGAGGCAACGGGGAAGGAAAGCATTTGGTCCTTGTTGGACCCTACCGTGGGGTCAAACAACCCAGATAAGGACTTGGTGAATGTCCACCGACCGCTCTCCGCACTGCGTTCGTTCGTTCGCCTTCGGCACCGAGGGGCCAGGTTGCTTTCCACGTAGTGCCGCTTGGCGTCGAGGCGCCGGGCCAGGACCTCGCCCTTCTCGGCCAAACCCACGAGGAGATCGTTGGACAGTTGTCCTTCCTCGTGGACCACCCGGATGGCCTGACGGGTGCGGCGAAGCGGCGATCGGTCACCAGCGGGATCGGGGGGGATTCGCCAAGAAGGATGGATTTGGAGGGTGATCACACCTGTTCCTTCCAAACAAGACATGTTTCGGATGGTTTTCGGACTCTCTGGCCAGCTTCAAACTCGGCCACGATCTCGGCGATGTTTCATTGAGCTCTCGGCCATGTGCCAATGTTCGAGTGTTTTCTTCGATTCAGCACCTGACTCCCTCCAAAAAAAATATTTGATATCAAGAAACAGAACAATGATGATAAGAACAAGAATCATGTAAGATTATGGAGAAAAAGTGAGAAATAAATTGCTGTTTTATGCTGTTTTAGTAAACACCCCCCGGCACCTTCAGGAGCATTTTCTGCAAGTCCCTCGCTTCTGCCAGCGATCCATTGGCCAGCACCACCCGCACGGCACGGAGCATCGCATGGCTTGTGAGCTGTAGAATGTCCCGCACCTGGGTCTGGGTAAACGTGCCTGGGTGGAAGACGAGCCTAGTAGGGGCGGGAAGTGAAGGTATGTATGACGTATGTATACCTCAGAGGAGTGGAGTCTAGATGGTGGTGCAGTGCTGCAACTAAAGTCTATAGATGTATAGGTTCACCTACTGCATGTATCATGAGAAAAGAGAGAGCATCTATGAAACAGGAACGGATGGAACAAGCTCTTCACGCTGGGGTGGTGATGAGTTGCATTGAGTGGAGAAGGTTCCCAAAAACCAGGTTCAAAGAAGCACAACAATCAACACGATGTGGTCAGATATTAAAGACTGCTGCCCAGCAGGCGGGTCATTTACAGTTGAAGGATCCTTGTATAGTAATTACAACCTTCCAGCCAAGTCCAGCTGGTCCTACTAGCGATCCAACCACGCCATGTAGCTTCCCCTCCCCCACAAGTGCACAAATCCTTCGGAGTCACTCCGCAACCAGCGGCCCACCGGTCACCCACCGCGCTCACCGCCGCGTCACGGCGGTCACCCCGTCGCGACGACGTCGCGACGCCTAACCAAGCGCGCGCCTCGCTCTCGGAGAGGAAGGGGTTGATGCGCTGCCAATCCTCCAAGGCTGAGGAGGAGAGCAAGGATCGACAGGCGCGCTGCAGCCAGGCTTCCGACTCGTGGCCTTGGACGCACGGGCACGGTCCGGGTCCGGGAGTTCGTGTGCACTGCCTGAACTGGAAACAAGAGGTGAAAACACATGCCGCCTCAGCCTGCCAAAAGCACTCATCTGGAGACCCAGTTTTACGCATCAAACATGATCGAGGTCACTCGAATCATCTTCAACAACAAAGCAGCCGAAACCTTTCAGTTCCTCAGCTGAACAAACGATTACTCTATTATAATAAAGCAATCAGCAATCGTGATCTGATTCAAAGTTCTTCACTGCGACACACTCCGATGTCACTGGACATCACCTGACACGCTCCTTCGCTCGGTGCGGTACGTGTCCAGCCGGTCCCAGGCAGGTTCAATAGAGACTCAGCGTAGTAGCCGTTCAGACTCACCCCCTTAGGCCCCCAAAACTTCTCCAAGAAACCTGAGACCCGCAAGAGCCAGTGCTTCAGGCGGGATAAGCTGGCGTCATGTGCGGCGCGGGCGCCACCATTGGTGGCTTTGCCAATGTTCTCCTCGGACCTCGGAGCCGAACACAGGTACCGCGGCACCCGCGCTGTCGCAATGGGTCACCCCGTTCCAGGCAGTGTGGATTACACTGATCCTCGTGACGTATTGTAGTGCACCTGGTACACATGTAGCTGTACAAATGAAAATGTCTTTGATTCAATCCACTCAACCCTGTGTCGTGCCCAGCTGCTTCAATAGCCCTCCTCCCTCCTTTCACAAACATCACTTTCCACGAAGGCAAACATTCTCCTTCACCCACCTGAGTGCCAACAGCTCCGGTCTCTTCCAAAGAAAGAGGTGCAAAAAGGAGGGAAAAAGCCGAGCTCCAAAGAAACCTGGACCCCACGCCCTCGCACCATCCCAGGAGCAGATCGATGGCGTTGCCGCGCTTCAAGACCTCCTTGAAGGCCGAGTCCACGAACTGCGCATCGGCCGCCTGCACGAACTGCGCCGGAGAGGAGGTGGAATGACGGAGGGAGTCCGACCAAGTTCACCCTGCGGAGGTATATTCGTAAAGGAAAGAATTCACCAAAGCAAATACCTTTGAAGGGAACAAGATGATGATCTCCATGGCCTTTTTTTCTGTGTTCTTCGGAAACGAGATGATGATCTCCCTTTGCTCACTTGGTCATCAGAGAAACTAAGGGAGCAGCCCTGTTCCGTTCAGAGGTTTATATAAATCAACACCTCCCCTTGAAAGGGTTGCGACATTTTGAGCGGTTGCCGTTACATGGAAGGTGGTGAGTTTCTCACCCTCCGCCTGGTTTCCTCCCCGGCTTCATCCGGCTTCGACAGAATTTGTCGCTGATCTGACACCTCTGTCACCTCGCCAGATGGTCCAGGGAGTCGACCTTTGTTACTAGTAGCTTCTTGTTCCTAGTAATGCCAGGAGCTAGCAAGAACTACTATAGTAGCGATGCACCTTCTTACTCTACCTCCCCAAAAAAAAAACGTCCCCAAGACACGAGCGGATCCGGAATCACCGGTCGGTCCGTTCCTTCATCTCGGCGATGCACTTGATGATCTCGCTGAGCGCCTTCGGTCGAACCGCGAACGCCGCGCGCTCGAGGAGTTGAAACGACGCGGTGAGGAGACATGAAGGGATCAAAGCTCGTGGAATTCGGGTCATGGTGTGTGGTAGCATGTTTCTGGGAAGTATTCTAAACCAAATCTTTGAAATCCGTCCTTTCCTTAACGGAACCCCTTGGCAAATGGTCGGCCCCGCGAAGTTCACCCCATTTGAAGAAAGCTCTTGGGGCAAGAGGAACCCAAATCCTTGGTCCAATCCTCAGGTGGAAAAAGACAGGCTTCAGGGTTCCTCTTCCTCAAGACACTGGACTTCTGGCGTTTGCAGCCTTCACTAAGTGCAAGCAAAATCCCAGAAGTGAACAATTAAAAAAGGAAACACACCAAAAAACTAAAAGCTTTTATTCCAAGCGCTTCAATCTTGTTGAGCGCTTCAGCCAGGCCATCACCCCACCCCGCAAGAAACGGCCTCCTCGGCTGCCTTGGCGGCCGCCTGGCTGCCAGCACTCAGCTTGCTGAGCTCGACTTCTGAGAGCTGCTTCACCTCGGATTCTCCCAAGCGCTGCCACACGCCGCCGCCACGCCGCACCGGCCGCGAGCGAAAAGAAGAGAGCGAAGCGACAGCAGAGTGTTCCCACTCCGTGCTGTCGGATCAATCCGTGTCTGTCGGTAGTCCCGATGTCGTGCGTCCCGATGGGAGGAGGGAGGAACTCGGCGTGGGCTTTTCGAGTGGTTCCCTTCTACTGGAACGAAACGAAAAGAGTTCTGGAGAGGTCTCGGCCTGCATGGATGCGGAGTACAGGACTCTGTGACAGGCATGCTTGCATGTTCCTTAAAATCAAAAGGCACAGTTGCAGTCTGTGCCCGGATTCTCTGGTGTGAATTTATGCTTTGGCTGATTGGCTTCACGTCAGGAAGGTAGCGGGCAGCAGGAATGGACAGAGTTTGAACACGACCAGGCAGTTGATCCAAAACTTGGGATTGGAGCCGTGGGCAGAATGAAAATGGACCTGACTCTTCCACCAATCCCATCAAAAAATGACACGGGTATATACAATTTGACTATGTATTTACCCTAGAAGTCCAAAGACTATATTTTGACCGACTGAAGTAAAGGAAATTCCTTTTTGGGTCACCTAAAGACCATTCTTTGTATAGTCTTTGACTCCCAGGGTTTACAATAGATAATAATATGTATATGTTATATACTTTATTTTATATGTTTATTGGCATCATGTCATCATCTCTACCTTCCACCAAACGGCCGCCACTGTGAACCTCTCCACCTCCGGACGAAAGGAAGAACTCCCCCCGCGTCGCTCCACGGGGTCTGACCCAAGCCGCACGCGGTGCCGGCGTCGCCTTTTGCATCTCGGCGAAGCGGATCATCTCCTCAGCGCGCAGCAGGTCGACGTGGAACCGACAGAGGGGCACCATGATTGGCCTATTTTTTGGGGGGTGATTCGATGACTCCATCTTCGAACTCGGAACATCCGTTTCGTGGCATGTCGCCAGCGCTTCGCCCAACCCGGGAAGGCCGCCCGTCTGCCGCCCGACCCGCGCCTTTTCCATTCGGTCCAGCAAGCGCCTGGCCACCGTGTGGCGCACCGCCGGGTGGGCGGAAATGTCGAAGGGCAGCTTGCCTCGGACGTGAAGCACGACGCGGGGCGTGTGCGCGTCGAAAGCTCACCGGTAGAAGATTGGATCGGTGGTTCTCACTGCGTGAAACGGGGAGAAGGGGTTGGGCAGTTGGGCGGTGGGGTTGAGCTCGGGGGCCGAGGTTTCCTTTAAGAAGAGCTTGACTGAAGCGACTCTGAATGTTCAATCCTCCAGAATCTGTCAGATGAAATGGCGTGACAAGCTCTCCAGTTGATCTTCTTCAACGCGCAAACCCTATACAATACTCTACAAACCCCAGTTGATTGTCAACAGTCTGTCAACTGCCTGTTTTCGGGCACGTCAGCCGTGTCAACCGCGCGCGCCTGTGGGCAGGTTGGCCGGCACCTCCCGAACGATGTGGCCCAAGTCCAGAACCTCTCGAGCACCAGGTCGAACCGGGTATGTGGCTGTTGTCCACCCTCAAGAGGATGTTTTTCGTACTACTTGCAGACTGGAGACATGTGTTGATGTATAAATTACATAATAATGTCTTAGATATGCTATTTGAGAATAACCCTTGCATGAGCCCCCAAGCAACCGGCGCCATTCCCTCTAAAAAAAACGGCCATCCTGGCCTATTCCAACCAACGATCACCCAGTCCGATCACCCGGTCTGATCACCCGGTCGTCCCGGTCCATCCAGACGTTTTCTTGTCTCTCTGTCCATCCGGGTCCGTTTTTTTGGGTCGTCCGTGTGTGTTTTGGTGGCGTTTCGGTGCTGCGGAGTAAACCAGGCAACCGCTTGCATCGGTTGCTTCGCCAAAGCTTGTAAGTCCTGATCGCTGGTGCGCAGCGGCTCGTCGTGGGAGATGGCCTGGCGGAGTGCAAGGGAAGTGAAGCAAAGAAATGAGCGAAGCAGGCAACAAAATAACTACAGTAACCCAACCAAACCAGACCAGACCAACCAAACCGGGCCAGACCAAACCACCAGATAGATTAGCCCACCAAGCCAAGAAACTCACAGCCAACCGGGGCGAATCCGGGCCTTGAGGGCAGCACTGCCACCCCATCCCCAGCCGCTGCTCTTGGTTCCGGTGGAGGCTCCACCAGCACCTGCAGGGAAGGAAGGGACCAGCTGAAAGGACATCCAAGGGCTGGAGATTCTGGTGGCTAAGGCTTCACTCCTGGGTCATTGGTTTAAGGGAACTCTACAGGAAACCCTGGTGTTCACCCCAACAAAACTGTAGGCTTCCTGTAGATGTTCCCTTACAGGAGGACCGGGAAACGAACGATGAAGCTCCCGGTTTCGAGGTCCGCAGATATATATATATATATATCAATTTCTACAAGCTCGTGGGCAGCGTACGAAAGAAAGCACCATCTGTAGCAAGACATGGTCACCCTCCCAGACCCTTTAGACCCCTTGCGACCGATCCCTCTAGGAGCCGTAACTCCACCGCCACCGGGTGCTTTTCGCGGGGGGAGAACAACCACGGTTCGACGGGTCGTTTGGGGGTTCGACGGGTTGAGGGGCGAGCAACGCCGGCCTTGCAAGGCCATGAGCACCCGCTCGCCACATTGAAGGTCCTGGTGGAGTTCTGGCGCCGGAGGACGGCGTGGAAGAGTGAGGGAAAAAAGTGCATGGAATCAGAGAATAGTCCGGTAACTGGTTTGTAGATGTTTGTAGTAGAGGTAGTTCGTCATCTGCTCACAAATGGAGAAGTTTTAGAACTGGAATGCATTGAAGTGTCAAATGTTTCTATAGCATCAAACACCAGTGAGCCTACATCCACTTCCACCGACAGTTTAGCTGACAGAAAGCTCAAAAACCGCTGAAGGACTCAGCTTCCGCATGTGGATGCCTTGTGCTCGGGCGTCTCGAAGAAGGGCCTCACTGACATGTCACGGACGAGTCACGAAGAAATCTGAGCGGCTTGGGCTTCGGATGTCCTTGAGATAGATGAGTAGCAGTTTGGCTTGGGCTTTCCATGTTTGGGGGAATCCTTCTGCACTCCAAAATCCACCACTCCCTAATCCAACCCTTCCCAAATCCCAAAATTCCATCACCATCAATCACCCAATATCACCCAAGTCCATCCTCTTTCCCAAGTCGGGACATCCCCTAACTAGACTCACCTTCGACTCACTTCAGGACTCACGTTCGACCCTCATCTCGTCTCATCTCTTCTCCACCAACCCGACCCTTCGTCTCGACCGAGCTGCGGCCCCAGGGGAAACTCGGCGCGGCGGATCTCCTCGCCGTCCTGGGTCGAAGGGCGCCGTCCGAAGGCCGGCGGAGCGCGGAACGCCGAGATCCGATGAACGCCGAGCTCCCTGAAACCGGTTCGGTCCGGGCGAGTGAGAAGCATCACCGATGCGCCTTTCTGTGCCCACTCACCCAAAGGCTGAAGAGCTTCAGACTGAAGCCAAATCACCTGTGACCGTCCTTGAAACAGGCCCACCATGCCGTCACATCGCCGATCCGCCTCTCTGCCCCCGGAGCTTCACGTCGCAGCTTGGACAGTTGGAGCAGCGAAACGACCGCTGGGGGACGAATTGGTTTTGAAGGCAAAACCCATTTGTCCCAGAGGACGAACATGTCGGGAACTTCCGAAGAAAAACCATCCGAAGAAAAAACAGAACGCGAAGATGAGAGCCTCTCATCCGCACAAGGCCTTCCTTATCCGTCACCCCCTTACGATGTGTTCCGTGTCTCCGGCCTCTGACTGGCCCAGGCTGGGTGCAAAGACCAGGTGAGGACATAAGCCGCCTGAAACGTCGCGACGAAACCGCCTCGCTCAGGCGGGGCGTCCGGGGTGGAGAGATGCTCTCTCCGGTCGAACGCAAACCAGTCGGGGATCGTTGGTTCGGTCCAGCAAGGCTGCTGTCGAACAGCTGTCGACTCATCTCCAAGTGATGGATCTTGGGAGCTCCTGAAGCCTAAGGTCGACTGAGTCGTATGTTCGAAGGGATCCCAATGGAAGGGTGTGTATGTGGAAGCTTTGCCTGAAGTTCAGATGGGTCCTGAACCTGCTGTGGTCACAACTCTTACCACTATAAGGCTTGAACCTAACATACACCGCCATAATTCTCCAAGCGTGTGTTTCTGATGGTCTTTGACCTCAAAGTTGCTTTCCTTCACTAGAAAACTGAGTCTAAGATATGAATATATACGTGCCCCAATTGGTTTTTGGGGGAAATTCGCAACTCCATCAATCCCATCCCACCATTCCCACCCTCCCTGGGCTTGACCGGCCATGTTCGTCTCCAATGGACTGGAGCACCGGCACCTCCTGTCGCGCAGCCCCGCACCGTCTCGACGGTCGGTGAGATCCGAGGAACAGCTACGAAGCGTAGACCGTTCGTAGCGTCCTCTGGTTTCTATAGTGTGTATGTGTGTATATATATATATATTGCCAGGAGCCACGAACTCGTAGTGTATCGTTCTCGCTCCCCTTCGTAGCGATGCCCTTGGTGAAACGAGCGGAGAAATCCCGCAGACCAACGGCAGAGATCGTCCTCCTCGTCGGGGCGCACGCCGTGCGCTTCTTCCACCTCGCCCTCCTGCGGGCTCGCGCGCGCTCGAGCTGGGGCGGGGTCCGACGGGGTCCGTGCACACGGTGCTTTGGTGCTCTCTTTGGGTCCAGAGTTGGGCATCTCCTGGCGATGAGATGCTTTCAATATGACTTCCATCCTTCACATTCCTTGACCAGGGCATGTAGTAGTACATTCAACCACGAATAGTCCAGTTTGTCTCGGAGAAATGCTAAACTCTTTGCCCCACCGCCTCGTCCATCAAAGTTCTCTTCTCTTTCCACATGAGAAGGAACGGAGCTTGAACCTCACCCTGCAAACCTTGACGGGCAGCACCTAACCATTTGTGGCACTGTGACTTCCCCACTTTGAAGCCTTTCAAATCCTTTCAACCTCCATCCACAACAGTCCCACCCAGGATTAGAACCGCTCCGCGATGGCCAACTGTAGCTCCGGCTGCTGTGCCAGCGCCATCAATTTCCTGGCGGTGTCGACGTTGGTCAAAGGGAAATTCACAGCAGCTGTGTCAAAGGGAGATTCACCCGAGGGGGGAACCTGTAGAGGGGCGAGAGAGAGTCCCGGAGAGAGTGGAGTTCTTTTTTGGACCAAGTGATCCTGGCACCACATGCTGTGGGTATTTTTGGCTCGCTTTGGGAGAGGAGATCCATGAAGGCCTGGTGACCTTGGCATGAAATCCGTGGTCGCTTCGATGCCAACCCAAAAGGCACTGGGCATCCTTCTGATTCACTGGTGGACGGTATCACCACGAGAGCCCTGGGAGAGAAACACAAACAAATATCCCAAAAAAAAACAGTGAGGTATCATCCACCAACGAATTATGGAACTGTTCTTTCGTTGTTTCCTCTCCGTCTCTGAGCGCCTTTCATCCCCAACCAGAAGCCAACCCGCCGTGGATCGCACGCGCGGTCCCCGGCGCGGTCCGCGCCTGTGCACTGCGATGAGCTTCGCCTTCCACTGTCGCACGAAGACCACCCGCCGTGGTCGGTCCAGGCGGGGTAAGCACTGGCAAACCTGGACGGAGTCTGGGGTCTGGGGTCGGACCGGATGGGACCGATTGGGCGGGGAGATGTCCGGTTCTCTCCCTTGTAAGGATTGCCAGTGAACATCAAGAATCATCGGGTCCCTCTCTCGGAGGATGTCCCGGGCTGATGCTGGAGCCTGACTCGAAACCTACGGGTGTTCATACTTTTGGAGGGGTTCCCGTCAGTTGTTTTTGCGGATCCTTTCTGAAATGTGGCCCCCACTCGCCCAGGGTCTTCCGGTTTTTTCAGGTCTTTGGAGGGTACCCTGTGTACCCAAACAAGGCACCACTGGGAAGTTAGGACACACTAGTTCTCAAGTTGATCATGCATTCTGCCACATACGACAACCACATTCTGCCACACCAACCAAGTCATGAAAGAATAGACTGAGTCTGTTGTCACCCTCGAACGCATACAGTACCCTCGCAGCACATCCGACTCCCTGTCGTCTGCCTTTTGGCTCCTGCGACAAATGTGGAGCCTCAGTGTTGCAGGTGGTCGAGGTCAGCCGAACCCTATTTTTGGGGGAAAATATGGAAACGCGGTCCTGAGAGGAACTCTACACGAACGATGTCCCAATTTGCCAGAATGGACCGACATGGCATGTGGAATCTCATCGACCAATAACCAATGGTGTCAGTTTTGGACTGTTCAATCTGGAGCCATGCCACGCAAATCCTGCCCAAGTCGCGTTGCATCGACGCCCATCATCCTTTTGAATCCAAGCTCTGTGCCAAAATCCACCAAAAAATGGTGCTGGGCATTCACCAAAGGAACGCGCCACCCGTGCCGTGCACGCCACCCGCCGTTCATAGGATATGCACTGTTGCCCACCCAACAGGACTCTGTGGGACTCTCCGAGACTCTCCCCATCACACCCGGTCTTCAGGTGTCCCGGACAAGGACTGGAGCATCCCATGATTCCGCCCTCCACGGGCCAAAGCCAAGGAGAGCGTGGCAAAGGTGTGCTGGTGCACCGGATTCACCTTGGCGGACGCGGCACACGAGGCAAGATCAGGTCAGGAATAGGTAATCATCACTGCTGTAATTCTCATACAATTCTATCAACTTATCGTTTAAACTATATGTGTATATATATATATAGTGTGTCGACTTTAAGTAATAAGTTGTATTCTACTGTTAGGCGAACCTTCTGGCTCAAGGTTTGATAAGGTTTTGAATGCTGTTACCAAAGCAATTTATCAGAAAGATGTTGAACATATAGATTCAAATAAGCCATCGTCGTAAACCAATAAATACAGTCTTTATAAAATAACGGTAGTGCTTGGGAGGATGGCATGGCGAGGATCATGCGGATGGTGCTGCGAATGGAACTGAGATGAACTGCGCATGCCAGGCGTGCTTTCCGCAAAACAACCCAACGATCTATCAATCAAAAGTCAGAGGCTAGGTTTGCTGCAAGATATAACAACAACTCCACCTGTCTGTATATCTCTCTCTCTCTCTCTTTCTCTGTATCAGGGTAACAATGGTTGTTCAACACTGTGTCAAGAAAGGAAACCAGCACAAGCACACGTCTAGTCTACATTCCCATAGTGGTGATCTGAGTATTCAGCCCTGCCCGGTATAGAAAAACCCAAAAACGGCCTCAAAGTCCAAACAAAAGTACTCCGACTTCATCCAACCTTCACGGGCCGATCAAGACTCGACCTCGTCGTCCGACTCCGACCTCGACCGACCTCCGACCTCGTCGTCTTCCTCCCGCGGCTCGTCTCGGGGCTCCCGGCGGCACGCGGCAGCTTCACGCCCAAGGACCTGCGGCACGCGGCGAACTCGCCGCGAACTCGCCGCGGTCCGGCGGTGCGTCGCAGCTCGCGGTCGTCCGGCGGTGCGTCGCCGAACTCGCGGAGGCTGCGGATGGCTGCGGACCATTCGCTCTGGGGAGAAAGAAAAAGGGGGGGGGGGAAACGTGGGGGAGTGACAGGGGCCCCAAAACCGGTGGAGACAAAGACTTTGCACACAAAGTTGACGTTAGATTGGGATGGATGTGGTCATTGAGGGTGATTTTCTGGGGTTTTGATGCACACCCATGTATAGATATTGATGGGATTTCTTCAGGAAGCTCCATGAGAGCCTGACCAGGAAATAGAGATTATGTTCCGATCACAAGCCAACATGGTCTCAGGCATCCATGCTGGTCCTTTCCGGTATGTCAAAGTCATCCGGGATTCTGGAGATGGATGACTGCTGCGATCATGCAACAGTATCGTGTGCGTGCAAACTTTGCCAGGTTAAGGACCAAGACTAAATGTCTGCTGCAACCCGGTTGGGCACATCTCTCATAGTGAAGGTGTGAAGGAAGACTTTAGGCTCGAACCATTAATCATGTTACAAGAAAAGCAGCTTTTCATCGATCTGGCATAGAAAGGGTGTGGACTGTGGCGCTGCCAGTTCTGCCGTCCCAAATCCTAAATCATGGAACCCCATGTGGAGGTTGAACCATGTTGAACCCACTCTCTGCTACCTGGAGTCGCCCAAAGAATCATTCAAAGCGGCTGAGTGAAGAGGGAGTAAAGCTTGATGAAGAGTGACACCGCGCCATCACTGGTGAAGGACCTCCGCACCGGGAACGGGACATCAACGGCAGAGAGGAAAATGCCCCCAGCACCAGGCTGCTGGCAAAAACGATCCGAAAGTGGTCGCACACATGTCAGAGCTCTTGTCCCAAGACTAGTGTGTGCTGGGATGCGAGCAAAAGAAAAATTGGCACGTCGGGTAGGTCTTGCGATGCAAAAAAAAAGAATTGGTACCCCTTGCAAAAGAGCTTTACATGAAAATTGCCCACCAAATTGTTCTTTCAACATATGCACAGTTGTCTCACCGACCGACCATGACAGAAGAATCAATTTCCTGCTACAAAGGAAAAAGAAGATGGAACCCACGAACCCGAATGCACACACACACGCACTCGAAAACACACGATCAACCGGGAACCCTGGGCTTTCTTCTTCCGGAAGAACGTCTGTTCTCGCCACGGGATTCGCTTGGATCGTCCTGGGTCAACGCCGAGGTCAAGGCATCTCCTGGTCGTTGACAATCTCCGTGATATGCTCCACCTGGTCTGACGGTCTTTCAAAGCGAAATAGATGGCGCTGACTGCGGCGGCTGAGCGAAAGAAATGAGGTCACCAGTGGGTCTAGTTGCGTCGACCCTCTTGACTCTTAACCAAACGACAATTTTATGGTCAATTCAGGTTTCAATGGGTTTCGTAGCTGTTTGCAGCCTGACCGTTCCAGGCGAAGTCTTTTCGCATCAACCATGACAGATTTGGTGGGAGACTGAACCTTGGGTGCGTGCTAAAGCGTGGCGTTCGCACGGGAAGAACACAAAATAGGAATACAAATGCTGAGAAAGCCTGCCCTTGCAACCATCTCTGTCTCCGGCCAAGTCTTCTTTAAAAGAGAGGACACGCTCTTTTATGGCCAAACACCACAGCTCCGTCCTTCCTCTCCTTCCCTCCGTCCGACGTCCCCACCGCCATGACGTAGGGCATGTTCCTCATGGTCGGCACCTCCACCGGTCGACCGGGGTGAAACGAGTGAAGGTTCCAACGAAGGAGGCGGGGCACGCACCCCGCTTTCTCGGGGGAAGTCCCCCCGCACTTCTTTCCCGGTGCTGAAAGATGCCAGACCAGGAAACCAAGCGAATTCAGATGTCTGAGATTCTTCTTCTTCTTCTTCTTCTTCTTCTTCTTCTTCTTCAGGGCAATTACATTCCAGGATGGCTGGTGATTGAGTGGGAAAACTAAAAACTGACTGATTAGCAGCAAAAGCTTGTAGAACGTAAGCCACCTGACCCCACCACATGAACGGAACACTCACCACATCTCACCACCACCCCAGGACAGGCGAGGACCAGCGCTCCGCAGCGCTTTCGCCTCTGGACCTGTGTCGTAGACCGAATCTCTCCTGGACCGAATCTCCCGCGTCGACCAGTCGTCTCGGCGCGGAGGGTCCATGTCGGTCGAGGACAAAGACTTCCAAGGAGAAACAGGGTACCTTGGCCGTTAGTAACAAGGGCATCGCTACGAGTCGCTCAATGCATGTCTGCGTGATTCTGCTCCCAAAACGCTCGCCACTGCACATCCAAAAACCCGGACACCTCACCATGGCCACATCGATTTTCCCATCCGTCAACACAGATGACCCCCCCCCGCAGCGGTTGAGCCGCACCCGCGGGGGCGCAGCAACCGCGGCTGTTCGCGGCTGTTCGCGGCTGTTCGCGGCCGAGCGTCTCAGAGACCGATCCCAAGATCCGTTGCATCAAGTCGAAGGGCGAGGACAGCAAAGCGTTGATGTCCTCACCCACGGTGCCGGCGCGTTGAAGCGGCGGCAACGGCCCCCCTGAAGCCCAAGAGGGTGGAGGGCCCTTGGTCCGTTTTCGGCCATGCATCGAGCTCCAATCTGCGAGGAACAGAACCCGCAGGGGCACGCTACATTCACCCTCTGAATCATGGGCTGTGATGCATCGAAGGAGAGGGACTATGCTCAGTGTTCCCTTGTTCAATGAGCGCATATCACCTGACAGACCCAAGAAAATTCTGAAAGGCCATCCTCTCAAGGCTATGTCCATGACAAGTGACACCACTTCATCCTTTGCAAGCCTCCATGTCTGCGTTTTTCATGCAACCAAACCGTTTCGCGAAACGGTGGACCGGTCTCCCGGCACCGTCCGTGTGCTGCATCCAGCGGGAGGCTCGAGGAGTCACCATGAGTTCCAGTACCACGGTGCTACGACGCTCCTGGACCGGTGGCGGTCATAGCGTCGCGGAGGCTCGGGTCAATGGATTCACACCCGCTCCACTGACCTAAAAGGTATATGGAATAGCTCCAAGACGGTAGTGTTTCTGCGGGTCTGGTCCAAATTGGTGTTGGGAAATGGCATTTGGGTGGAAAAAGTAAAAAAAAGCAAAACATCATGCCATGGGCCAATGGAACTCGAGAAGTCTGGATCCAGTGGAGAAAATGGCTGGACGAGAGTGTGGTGCTTGGCTTCGCTGAACATGCGAATCCATCGGTTCCTGCCCGTTTAGACGTCGTCGTCGCGGCGATCAATCCGGGTGTTTTGCCTGAGAATGATGCATACTGCATCCTCAGAGCAAAACATGTATTATATCACGCAGCTGCAGGTATGATCAGAAACACCTTGCCCCTCAGTCGTTGCTTTTTTGCTAAGAATGTTGGAAATTCACTTCCTCTTAGACCAACCTCAGTCTTTGTTGAGCTTTTCCTCCAGATCAGAATCTAGGGTAGAAGTGGAACGTGCTTTTGTGCGAAGCAACATGAAGCAACAGCCTTTTTGCCTTTTTGCGAATCAACAACAGCGGTTTCATGGTCCCTCCTCTTTCTCTCAAATCGACATTTTCTCCAGGACCGACCTGGAAATCTCTAGGGACCTAAATCCCAAATTTGAGGGTAGAACCCTGCAAAGCAACAGCTGCATTGCTCTTGAACATACCTCATTCACCTCGGCCGAAACATGCACTGCAGCGAGATTTCTTGAATCACCAGGCCCTCTTTCAGTACTCCGTGTTGACATGTTTGGAGTGCTCCACGCACATGTTGTCACCATGCGATCACCTACCTCTTCCTCCAGCCACTGGGCGAGCCACTGGGCTAACCGTCTCCGATCTGATCGATGCGGTCCGTCCTCCACCGCTTCCATGTACTTCTCACGATTCTGGAGCATCAAGACATCCTATGTCGGCTTCGGCTTAGCTGTCCACCCATCGGTCCAAACACACGGGACGTCCCGTGTCCGGAACAACGGCCTTCGGTGTCCACCGGACCGAGCTCGGAAACGCGCGGGGGACCCGGCGGGGGCGCAGCGAAGGAACACTCGGAATTCGCCTCAAAAGGTCAGGATTCTCAGCAGCTCTGTCCATTTCAACGATTGAGCATCAATCGAGCTCCTGTGGACGATCCCGAGCCATTGCGGTTTCATTGGATGATAAGAGAAGCGATATTGTGTGGGAGAAGATTGGATCGTCATTTGAGATCATTCGAGGAACCTCACAACCCAACAGTGCTCAGCCCTCCAATCATCCAAAACTCACTCCAACCTGCCAGACCTATGACTTCCTACAAACTTCCTTGACTCCACCGCAAAACACCAGCAGCCCCCGGTCTTCCGACCAGCAAACGACCAACCGGGGCCAATCCCTCGGTCTAGGCCGCGCCTGTGGGTTCAAGCGCTCACCCCTTAGGGCAGCCAGAATCATGGCCACCAACTCCTCGGTCGAGCCACGCGCGGTGCCGACGCTCCGAAAGGAAACCCAAAGCCTCACAGCGCAGCACAACTGGAGATCTGGAGGGACCAAGAATCCTAGATATCCAAGATGCTTGAACAACTGCCAAGCATGGGGTGGATATCCTAGCAGCTCTTATCTAACTCTGTTCTTTGCGCCAGAAAAAATGGCTTCATTCCCAGTGCACCAGGCTCCCAAGCTGTCTCACCAGTGCCCAAGCGTTCCGCTCGCAGCCGCCGGACGATGCGGTCCTGCGGGGAGCTTTACGGCAGATGAGGCGGATGGAAGATCCGGATGTGGATGGCCTCCATCCACAGGAACGTCCACAAAAAACCATATATTATATATATAAGGCTATTTAGTTGCATTCAGGGGTTATCATATATATATATATCATATAATATCTATATGTCAAACTAAACATCACATGAGCGCAAGATCCACCCAAAATGCTTCATCTCGAAGAGGGCATCCATCCTGCTACCCTTACATTCAACATTCTGTAAACAAAGCAAGCACTGTCAAACATTGGATGTAAATCAACAGCTACTTTTGAACGATCCGCCCCTCCTTTGGCAAAGACATGAGGGAACAAAAGCCTGTTTCTTCGTTGTCTTAGTGAAAAAAAACATAGAGAAAACACCGCGAGCCGAGCGAATGCGAAGACGTCTTTCGCACGGTGGACGACGAGCCGTCAAGGCCAACGCAACTCTGCGGTCCTTCCACTTCTTCAAGGATTTGGCATGTTCCCCAGAGGCCGTCAACATGGCCGAGGAGTCCTCTGCCGACGGGATCTGAACACCGTGGACGCATCGTTGGATGGTGTTTTGCTGTTGGATTGGTGTTTCCCTCCCAATGCTCCTTGGAGTGAACACCTTTTTGTGGTTTGTAGAGAAAAACGAGGAAGACGAAACAAGGAGCCATTCACGTGAATGGAAACAAACACAAGCCCCGGACCCAGGAGCTGAGGAGTGTCCAGCCTTGGACGGCTAGTGACTAGTGGGGCTCGCTGCTTGATCCAATGCTCTTCCAAAAATAGATGTGTTCAGAGTTGTGACCCAGTGCCTGGATATGTCATCATTGAATTCCATGTTATAAGTTATAACACCCATCTGAGGCTAGTTGATTGTGAGCTGACACGTCACCTGAAGTCATTGGGTTGCAGGAGCAGTGCAAGGCCTAGTGGGGTTCTGCCGTTCGGGAAGGCGGCACCGTGGTTGGGACCCGACCTCAAACGATGGAAGCACGCCATGGAAGCGTGCTGCTTTGACCACCTAATTGGTATCTCTTGAGATAGCTCGCCACTGCAGTCACTGCATGTCACTGCAGTCACTGCAGCCATGGCAGTAGCACTGGTGGGACATGATCTCTTTTTTGAGCAGAACTACAATAGAATAAGATCCTGATAAGAAGTTGCGTCGCCAGTCCTCCAGCATGTTCTTGAACTTCTTCAGCATCTGCCCCTGGTGAAGGGAAGGAAGGACCGTGTTTTCTCGATATCATGGGTCTTGGTCGGAGGAATTGCTTATAGCTTAAAACTGTCGTTGTCATAGGTGGATGACACCCTTCAACGGACTTATTCATGTCGACGACGGTGAAACTCTACAAACAACAGCCTTTGTTGCAGATCTCTCAGAAATCTTGTAACCTTTCGACATGTGTTGTCATGCTAGTCAAGTACTATCTGTCCATTCAAGGCAAGGATGGGTAAAGCTAATATCAGCTTTGGCATACTTGCCCATCAATGCCCATCAATCATCTATTGATCAATGACTTTAGAAACCCACCCTTGAGAAGACCAACAGAAAATAACAAAAAAAACACCGTCCCCCCAGTCCTCACCTTGTCTCGCCTCTTCTCCAAAAACCCTGGCCCCGCCCCGACGCAACGTTCGACGGAACGTTCGATGGTCATCGACGCATCGTCTCTTGCCTGATCGCGGCGCAAGGCATCCACCTCACGGGTCACCAGAAGCAACTTCTCCCGGTAGTGGCGGCACATGGTCAGGACCTGAAGGAGGAAGGCTTTTGGCGGGGAGACGAGAGGAAGACGAGAGGAAGGATGAGGTGGGTGTTGACGGGTGAGACGGTGGGAAGAAGGGTTCCCAAAAAGTCTTGTAGAAGCCTTTGTAGCCAAGAGGATGCAACCAGTGCGGAGCTCAAAAGATTCCAGATACATGCGTTGTTAAATCATTGTCCGACGATTGGATCAACACCCGATGGAAAGATACTTTCACCCTGGATGGTAGAGGCCACGCTGTACAGGTTGAACTGCAGAGTTGACCTCATTATCCGTCGTGTAAAAAGAACTAAGCTGCTGCATCTGTCCCAAATGGGCACATCTTGAAACGGGGGGACTCCCACCAGTCTCTCACATGCTCCTTCCCAAACTAATCAAATCTGTTGCATCCAACATGTGTTCAGCTAAAAGGCTTGCCATAGAAGCTCCCCTCAAACTCCAGAAAAACGATTGGATTGGAGATTAAAATAAAAAACACACACACACACACCATCAGGGGCCCCATCACCCCACTGATCACCGCTCCACCGGATGACCTCGGACCTCACCCGCTGACCACCGGACCGAGATGACCGGAGTCCGACCGGAGTCCGCCACGGGACCTGCATCTCCTCCTCGAAGCTCAAACGGCACTCGCCGGTCACGTGGATGACCTCACGGCCCGGCCAGGGTTCGGCGGCACGGCCAGGGTTCGGCAGGTTTGGATTGAGCTCTAGATGACCTTAGTAGTTTTGCCAATGCCAAAGCTATGAATTCTGACCAATGAAGGCTTGACCCAGTTGGTGTGTAGATCCTGACTACCAGTACATCTAAGTCGAGGTTCCAACCGGACAGGAGGCTGGAAGACACAGGAGGCTTTCCGCCAAACCCATTGGCGGAGCAACTGGAATAAATGTATATGCTGCAGTTGATAGCCACAGTATATAAGAGTAAAGATGTTGTAATGCCCTGATGTTTGAGGCTCACAGCGATGTTTGAGGACCACAAGCGGAGCTCGAGTTCCAGCCAGGACCGGCTCGGGGAAACCTCCAAGTTGCCAGGCGTTCAGCCCTCCATCGGGTTGATCCACTTCCGCCAATGACAACCGGTGATAATACAACGCCTATCTTCTTCTCAGCATCATGCGGAAGGACGCTTTCAGGTGTCCGGTTTTGCCGTGGGACGCGTGAATCGGAGGTGGACGTAAACCTCCGTTTTTAGCCCGTCTTAGCCCGTCCATACGGGTCGTTGGGACGTTCAGCCCAAGCTGCACCACGCACATGCTCGGCACCTGGCCGGCCCGGCCAACGCGGGACTCGGCGACCCCAGGGGGTCAGATGGGGTCGTATAGGAGAGATCACTGAGATTTGCCGCCCGACCAACAAAAAAGGTATCTTCTACCCAAACAGTTCTTTTGCTCATTTTCGGGCATGTGGAAGTTGCCTGTCTACCAAGGCGATTGACCTTGTTCAGTGTGGCCAGCTTCGCCCCTTCTGAAGCGGCGACCAGCGAGACCAGGTCGCTGCCACACCCGCCAATTGAACAAAAAGGGAACTCCAAAGGCACATTCAGATGAGGGTCTGCTCAGCGGCACCATTCTGTTTTTCGAACTCGGGGACACCCTGCTGACATTGGGTGTGTCGCTGGCGCGTTCGCTCGAAAATCATCACTTCGGCCTCCAGAATCGATCATTGAATCATATTATGTCTTAGCTGTCTTAGCCCCCCCAAAACTGACCAAAATTCGAGGAAAATCAAAGCCCAAAACCCAAAGCTTGTGACCATGAATCCCGGCCACTCCCACTCTACAGGGAGTCATGAGTCCGACCGACAATACTCTCAAGTCGGCTCACCTCTCCGCCCAGACCGTCCTCGGCTCCTCGGACCCCCGCCTTGCGAATACAAATGCCATGGCAACGGCATGCGAGAGTGCTGGACCTGGCCGACCAAAGGAAAAACCGATCAACGGCCACCAACGGCCACCAACGACGACGATAGAAAACCCCATCGGAAAAGACGGATATGGAAAAACATCCGTTGAGTATTAGATCCATTAGCACAAAGACTCCACAGCAGGGAGTTTCAGCCACCAAGCTTCAAGCCCCAAGGGTTGGAGTTTCTCCGAAACCCACCAGAGATCCATGTGAGCTCTTCATGTGGCCCACGTTTAAAGGTGTACAAAATGAAGGACTGATGAGGTCCTCATGAGGTCCTTCATTAACTGATGGGCACCTGACATGAAGGTGGTGAGTTTGCCTGTTTTTCTCATGCCCTGCTTTTTTGCATGTCCTTTCAGGGAGGTGCAGACCAAAAACAATCTCCCTCAACTAGGCTCAAGATCCCTAGGCTCGGAAGCTGATGAATGCGCTGACCCAGAACCTCTAGATCGCGGGTTACTCCAACGCAGTTTCAAGAAACCTTTTAAGATTCAGTTTGGGCTCACTTTGCCACCCGAAGTCAAAAGTCGATATAAATATGCCTGCGAACTAACCGACAGGGTGGTGACCCAAGAATACTCCGCAAGAATTCCAGGAAGAAGCACCAGTTCAGACTGCAAGCAACAGGCACCCTAGATCATCCCGTCAGGCGAACTCTGGGTTATGGCAGTGCCCTGCGTCCCTGCCAAAGAACACGGTACCGTGACCCTAAGGCCAGTTTCGGGATGCCTATGGGGTACGGCATTTGACCCACAGCCAGGTGGGGAACATGCCAAACATCCTCCTGACGTTTCAAACGTCCACCTCCACCCCCCCGTCGCACCGCCAGTGCCAGCTTGCAGCGCAGGGCGGTGGCATTGGGATGACTGAGGGCGGTGAACCCCGCAGGCCATTCCGTTGCAGCCCAAAACAGCAAAACTGAGTTGAGAGTAGATTGCGCAAGGGCCCCCCAAGTTCGGTGTGAAATCACAATCAATAACTTTTGGATACCCTTGAATCGGTTGAGGGGTTGTCCGTTGATCTGGTTCAAACAACTCTTCTTTTCAAGGGAGTCAACGGCTGTTGTGGAAGTTGATGCAACCAAAGGCCAAAGGTCAAACCCAGCTTGGATCTCTGAAAAGGTTGAGAGTCTCTGATGACACCACTAAAGTAAATAGAAGTCAGTAAAATCCATGTATATCCCCTCCGGAAACTGTCTTGGAAACCATTTCTACCTATTTGAGGATCTCGTCATCTCGTTTTCGCTGAAAATCAACCCTGCTCGCTCTGCCTGTCGTCGATGGTGGCAAAATGCTCGAAGCAGACCTTGTCTTCGCCTGGCGAAGAGCCAATAAGACAAGGTTTGTGGACTTGAAGAGACTGTCATTAGATCGTTGGAAATACAAGAAGAGATGGTTGGAAGAAGTAGAGAAGTACTACTTCGGCCAAACCCCGGTTAAGGACCTTGGGGTGGCACCCTCGGTCGCCCGGTCCGCCGTCGCCCGCCCACTGGGTCGCCCCTGCTGGTGTAGGGCGAATCGGTGGCCACGGAGTTGATGAGCTGGGAGACGAGGTGATAATCCTCGGGACGATGGAAGGGACGAGGGAAGAGGAGTTATTGGTGATCATTTTGGGAGGATCTCGAAAAACATACATACAATTAGAAACAATAAGCTACTAGGAACAAGTGCATCGCTTCTAGTAACAAGTGCCTTACTAGTAGTAACAAGAAGCTATTAGAAACAAGAGTTACACCTGATGTTTCGAGTCCGGAAGGTCTGGAGGTGGCGGCCCAAGGTGGCAGGGTGGATTTCGCTGCCAGGGCAGCCAGAGCAGATGGAGATGGATCCCAAAACAACCTTTCACAAAACAACATCTTTTCCATGGCCCATTAAACGAGCAAAGCCAGATCAGTGGAGGGTAGTGTTGGCGGTAGTGTCCGGACGCTACCGGATTTGCCTTCTGGACCGTATCCAATCTGTTGGGGTCACGTTCTTCCCGCCACCAAAGTCACGCGAAAACCGCCACGTCATTCCTGAAGTAAGCACGGGGTAGTTTAGGGAGAGTTCTGCTTTGGCAGATTTTGTGGAGGTTGATCCTCGAGTTTTTGAGCCACGAGCAGAGGATCACTGGACGAAGTGGACGAAAAACATATCATGGGCGCCATGAGTGGATGATGGGTCACAATACTGGAATCCTCTCTGCACTGGCACCTTGGCCATCGAGGAACATCGGTACTATGCTCTCAAGCTTTGCTGCCCAAGTGTCGCGATGCAAGAAGAAGAGCAGCATCAGGTAGAGCGCTGATCCTCAGCCCCCCAAGGACGCGTTGATTCGCTCGCTCTGGTGCGAGCTGCTGATGGGCATTCTCTCATACCAACACCAGCAAATCCAATGGGTAGAGTCACCGGGTAGAGACCGCTTCTTCCCCCCGTCTCTCCGGTTGGCCCCCGTTTCGCCCAGCATCCCGTGGTCGGAGGCTGCAAGAACGACGCAGACACGTGCACGGGATACCTGAGCGGAACCACAGGCCACACGTCCGACCGCCGGACCGGCGGGCCACTGCTGAGCCATCGTCCAAGTCCAAATTGTTGCTTGGGCTACCCTTGGGCTACCATTGGGAGCCCGTTTAAGCGTGCTGGGGGTGCTTCTGGATTCTGATATGCACAGGACATCTACAAAATATCAACTTCCCCACCCCAATAGAAGTTGTCCTGCTTCATCTTTAGATTCCCAACTTCACAGGTGGACCCAAGCTCCTAGCTCGCCCAAATCAATCACCTCACACCTGTCGAGTGCAACTGGTCAGCAACAAAAAGCTTGTCAACAGAAAGTCGTATTCGACCTCTTCGTCAGAAGTGGCTCTAAAAAGTTCCAGCCACCTCCGTTCCTCCTCTACACACCGACGAGAAAAGGATGGAAAAGTGAAAATGTATAGAAAAAAGTGGATTTTTACCCCCAGCCTCCCTCATTTCAAAAAAAAAAAAAACATAATAAACAATATATATATAAGTAAAAACCACTTCACTCAGCTCGAGCGGCAGGAAGTGCTTCGTGGCGCCCGCGCTCCACACCTCGGAACGATCGACCGGTGAAGCACGACAGGAAGAGATCGGCCGAGGAGATCCTGCCGTTTCTTGGAGAACAAGGGCGACCACTTGGGTCATAGCGCCAAAAGGTTGACGCTAAAGAAAGGAGCGAAAAGACCTTGGGGAGGTCCGTAGCACGGGCCAAGTCCAAATCCCATGGTGCTCGTCATGCGTGCTTACACTCCCTGCAACTAACATGGATGGCATGGCCCCGAAAGGAAGACCATTTTCCTCTACAAACCCAGGGTTTTCCACTTCCATGTTAGTGAGTCGGAGTGTAGTGATCGCCAAAGAGATGACCGGCTTCCACGGCGTCCAATAGATGTTGAGTGGGGATCTACTTACTGTTCTATCTATTTGGGGGTCTATATGCCTGGAGAGATATGTACCATTACATAGATGTATAGATACAACTTCGAGATGAAACATGTCCCGTCCCCCCTTCCATCTCCGCAACCCCCCTGGCCACCAGAGTTTGGACCCGGATGGTTTTGTGCGGAAGACTCAGAACGTGGAACCCCTTTGAGTGTCTCAAGAATTCCACTGGAAGAGCACTCTCTCATCTCACGTTTACACTTACCTCCGAACATTGGGAGATGTTATGAAGAAGGGTCTTCTAATACTTGAGAAAGCCTGTAAAAGAATGAAATGTTGACACGAATAATGTACACCGCTTGCAAAGGTCTCTTGCAAGGTGCAAAGATCTATGGGTTTGCCCCTGGGCGCAAATGGCCTCGAAAAGACTCCTACATGAAGTTCACACAACGTGCATGTTACTGTAGCTTCATCCTCATCAACTGCTGATGATGTCATTCCAAACTATCAGCTTCGCAATCGCAGTGCCCCTATGTCGTCCCCTCTTTTTGGAAAACCTTTGACCCTACAAGTCCAAAAACCCAGTAAAACCTGGTCTTTTACCTCCTTAAGCCTTAAGTATTGGTTTGTATGACCATCTCCAGTAAAATGAGGTCTTTGACTTGTAGGGTTGAGAAAAGGCTTCAACTCCGCCCGCAGACCGCCGCTGAACCGCCCACGGACCACCAGGGAGGAGGTCAAAAACGGGTCTCCCTGCGTAATGCCCTCGCTCCAGCACCAGCTCTGTACTGAATGGATTCCTCGGAGCCAAGGACAAAGCGTTGGCGATTGGCTTTCGGCCCAGCTTCTTTGAGGGGCACACGACCATCAAAAAAGAAAGTGCACTACCACCACGGTGCCCAGCTCCCAAAAAAAAGCAGCAGCAGCAGCAGCAGCAGCAGCAACAACAACAACAACAACAAATGGGCGGTGCGTTTTGGGCCACATTGTGAGAAAGAATGGTGTGAAAATCTGTAGTGATTCGGTCGCAAGAGGTCCCAAAGAATGAAGATGTTGGATGAGGTGTTTCTCTGGTGATGACCAGCTCAATGTGTAGAAGGATAGATGCTTCATCACAAGTCATCGGGAAATCTATCGGTGGAACGACCCTTCTCTACGGTGATCCCCTTCATGGCAAGGTCTAAGCAACATGACACAAAGAAGGTGGCTAGAGCATCGCAAAATGTATGAAATGTAGACAGGGCAGATAGCGGGTGTGTAGGGAAAAAGTTCATAGTGCCTGAGGGAAAAAGACCCATTTCTAGCAGCTTTCGTTGTCAATGAGCGGTGCCAAGGGCATTGTTCACTTTGCCAGGGATGACATCTGTCAGGGCAGGGACGATATCCACCCCAATGGTGCCTGACACATTGATGCATGTATTGCCTTGTGGTATGCATCGTTTGCGGTAACATGGTGTCATGCCACGGACGACATCATGTCACGCCAGGGATGACATCATGTCTTGCCATGGGCCAGCACCAGCACCTGCACCAGCACGCCCACACAAAACGCTGATCCAGCAGCAGCAGCAGCAGCACGCCCCAAGAAAATGCCGATTCAGGGCCAGCACCAGCACCTGCACCAGTACGGCACCAACACGGGCAAAACGAAACGCCGATCCAGCACGGGCAAAAACAAGGCGCCAACCAGAGTCAGCACCTGCACCAGCACCAGCACGACAGCAGCACCCGCAAAACAAAACGCCGATCCAGAGCCAAGTGAGAACCCCTATAGCTTGCAGCCATTTGGGGAACTACTGAAGGGCTTCCCTACCTTGGGGAGGCCTTTTAGGTCCTGTGCAAAAGTGCGTTTTGCCGCTCAAAAATATACAATATGTTCTGAAAGCGAAAGGATTCTCAAAGATTCTGCCATAGTCTCTCTACTGTAAAAAGATAATATGTGTTGTAATGAGCCCAAAGAGTGTACCCGAACGGAAAAGAACCCTCATTTCGTCTCCAAGGAAACGCGGCCTTTTCCGCAGGGCGTTCCTCCCCGCCGTGAAAAGCACGGAACCGGTCGCCCAGCGTCGAGAAGATGTGGGTGCGGTGCGGACAAACGTTGGGCACCTCGGCGGGGGAGGTCCTCCAGAGGCCTTATATCATTCGGAAGGCGTGTGAGGGTTCACCATGTTTCACCGTGTCACCCCATCAAGATCGATGTCTTACAGTGGTTTAGATGGGGGTCCATATAAACCACCGACGGGGTCTGTGCCATCTACTCCTCTCAATCCACTGGACATGTCGATCTGCACCACCCCCAGACCTTTCGAACAGAAGGGCCGGGTATCGGGCGGCCAGGACACCAGGCCGGCAGTCACTGCAGCTTTTGACCCCCAAATAGATATAGAAGAGTAGATCCCAGAACAAATGTCTTGGACACCGTTTCGGTCTATTTGGGGGATTTGTCATACCAACCAATCCACCCATGCGCCCCCTGAGCCCCCCCCCACGCAGGTGAATAACTCCTGGACAGGGGCCACGAGAGACCTTCCGTCCTTCGTAGTCCCAAAACCGTCCAAAAAACCCATCAAGCAATGGTGAAGCACCGGGTCGAGATTGACCCTTAGAGGTCAGTAACAACCACCGGGTCAGCCACGAGTCTCGGTTTCCCCTGGTACCTCCCACGAAGTCTTAGACCCCGCGAAAAAGCGGCTCCGAGCTCCCTGATGTGCTTGTGATGTGTGCTATGAGGACCACACGAATGGTCAATTCTTCAATTCACTTGTCGTTGCCTGAGCCTTATGTCCATGTTCTGAACTGTCTCCAGCAACAAAGCCAAAGGATCAGGACCCATGACTCATGAGGCAATATTTATTTCATGACATCCCATGACTCGAGTGAGGTCACTCCCATTTACCCCACCATCATCCACCAACGACCATCTCCTCGTCTTCGCTCTGGAGCAACAGCGCATGCGGCATCGCCTTCCGTTCGGTTTAGAACCGCCCGTCGTTTGGTCCAAAGCACCCAAAAAAGGAAGAGAAGCCAATGGCCAAGCAAGTAGTCATAGGGTGTGTCGCCATCTGTTGCAGTACCAAGTGGGTGGTCTCGCTTTCATGGGTCCTACCCCGGCCGTGTTGTTGCTTCCATGTCCATGCATTTCCTCTGTGTTTCAGCACGGGTCTCCCCAAACCGACCAAAGTCGGTCTTCATCGAACGTCTCACCCGACGTAGAAAAAAACGGCTCCGGAAACGCCGTTGCTGCCGGATTCTCCGCATGAGTTGCACGCTCGTGCGATGGAAGCACCACGAAGGAAAGGAAGGCTGGAAACAATTGGTCAGACGGTGAAAACGCTGGACATCACGAAGCTTGCAAGGGGGGAAACCATGTGAAACCAATCCTGCGAGTGCTCGTTGCAGCGTCTATTGGAAAGCTGTGACAGCTTGCTGAAGTCTTAAGTCGAACATACCGAAACCAATGGAACGACCAACAAATACGCCAACATGTTTGGTATTGCAACGTTCTCCTTACCAAAGATCATGTGGGCTCCCAAAACAGGTCTTTTCGCCTGCAGCAGCTGCATTGCTTGCGCCCGGGCTCCAAAAGGTGGCTGGGTGGGCAAAAAGAGCCTCAGTTTGTTCTGCGCCACGTCCCCGGTCCGCTCGCAGATTCCGCGGGATGCGAAGGAAAGGACGTGACCTTCTTTAGACTTTGCCTTGCTCGTCTCGAGACTTGCGATCAGCAACCACCGGAAAGTTCGCAAGGACAACTCTTGGTGTTGACGACGAGTGATGAGTCTTCATCCTACCTTGTCTGAGGATCAGGGGACTTTCCGAGCTTTGTTGCATTAGCGATGGAATATCTAGACAGCCGGCAGTCTTGATGAACCATCGGACAGTAATACCTGTCGCACGCTTGAAACTGTCGGGATTTATTGCACAAATGTCTCCAATCTTGGCCCAATGGTCTGTGGTCCAAAGCCATTTTGGCCGAATGGGGCCAAGGAATCTGCAGGGTCCCCCCCCTTGTTTTCATGGCGAACCACATGGAACTCCCATGGAAACTCGGAATGGGTCGATCGGTCGCTCAAGAAATCCACCCCATGTGTAGCCCATGTGCCTGTTTTGGGGGAGCCATTTTGGAAGGCGCGAGTCGAAGAAGTGGAAACAGCCTGGATCCAATGTCGAGCCCTGGCTCCACGGAAACTCCCAGCGCTTTCGCCGTGGAGTTACTGCGAATGATCCACGGAATACAGCCGCTGCTCGCCCTTCCTCGGTCGTGTTCGTGTGGCAAGCGGTGCCATCCAAAGCGGGTCAGCCGGTCCGGCCATGGGTCGGAGGACATCATCCACCCAGGTGGTGGCATGGGGATGGCCACATAGGATGGCCATAGGTATTCCGCCCCGGCACATGACAAACAAACAAATGCAATGTCAGTTGAAGGGCTTCACCTGACGCTGCTCTTTAGTGAGTCTGCGGGGAGAGAAGCATCCAAGCATATGGGAAAAGACATGCATCCAATTCATTGAATCTCAAAGATGGCTGGGAACAGGAACTATGCCAAAAAAATATTTAGCTCTGAAAAAAGAAACACCGACCCTCTTCAGAAAGAACTACTGAACACCTCTCAGCCCCCCTGTTTTCCCATGCTCCCGTCACCCATGATCCGGCTCGAGCCGAGCGTCGGCCCGCGTCGCACGTCCCAGGTGAGCTGGAGCCGTGGCATCTCCACGCGCTCCACCCGCAGAAAGCCGTCGCCCACCTCCAAGGGAAACGGAGAGAGAGAGAGAGAGAGGCGCGCGCGGAGTCGGGGCGGAAGAGGTTTGGACCTGCAACGAAAACACTTCAAGAGAACTATGATGAGGTGAAGTCACCCCCCTTTTCAAGTGTTCTGGTAGGTCCACCTTCCTCACTTACTGAAAGTATCTGAAAACCACAGAGCCTGTCCCTCCTTCTCCCCTCTTCGCTCCTCAAAAAACCAAAGCATTTGCGCTCCTTCGCAGGACTTGTTCCAAGCCTCCCAGGGGTTCATGGCCGTCCAGGCCAGGATGAAGGACAAGTTCTCCGCACGTGCCAAGGCATCGGCCAGCTGGTGCAGGGGAGTTCCAGCCTTCGTGTGAAGCAGATCCAACAAGTACCTCAAAACAGCTGATCACACTGATCGCAAAGAGATCCATTTCAAGGGAGAAAAACCTGTGACTAAGTGTGGATGGGTCGTCAGCTTTGACCCGGTTCCGGTTCATCGACTCGAAACGCCGTGAAGCCGGTTTTTGGGACTCCCAGGCACATTGGCTTCCACCGAGGTGTTAAAGCTCAGCAACACCCATTAATTCCCGGGTCCCAATAAATATGACCCTAGAACATAGTAAAACAATGGTTCTTCGGCAAAGGCTACTTTAAAAATGGTGCTTCGACTTCTAGGGTATTACATAACAGTCCCTCACCAGATCTGTTTTCAAAACCTTCAACAGGATCCACCTCCACTTCCCTAAACCCTACCCTCCCCGACCTTCGTCCCTCAACCGTGCACGCCCGATGGGACCGGTCTCCACCGAGCCGCAGGTCCGGACGTCCCATGTTGTCGCGGAAGCGCTTGATCACCACGGCGCCCCAGCCACGCAAGCCGGTGCAGAGGACCTTCTTGATGCGCACCAGCTTGACGATCAGAATATGATCCACCTGACTGACTGGGCTACTTCACACGAAGTTCGTCGAAGCTACTTCGGCATCATGCAAAAAGACGCCAGCTGGGTGAGCGAGATCTCTGGAGGATGGGAGAATCCATGATCCATGAATTGGACCCCCTAGAGCTGCTGAAAAGGGGACCTAAGGAATGGACCCAGCTGGGGACCCAGCTGGACCTCGATATGGGCGGGGAACCATTCTCCAGCCTTCTTGTTGCTGGAGTCCGCCTCCAACAAGTCCTCCTCCTCGTTCTCATTGGGCCAACGACCCTTGGCGGGATAGCCACGGATCAAGCGGTGCGGTGGAGCATTCTCCTGGTAGAAGTTGTAGTCCTCCAACAAGGCCTCAACGCCGCCACGGATCATTAGACCGAGCAGCCGTGGAACACCCGAGCCCTTTACAATACAGACCTCACGTCGCTTGACGAACGATTGGAGCAATTGGGGGCGGACGGGTTTCCACGTGACCATCGCCATGCCGCCATGTACAGGACAAGTGTCTTCCTCCAGATTCGGACCTTAAATCGGTCCCCGATGGTCCTCATATGTCACCTGCGTCATCTCGATGGAATAATCCGTCTTACTTCCTGCCTACCGACTCCCCCCGTGGCGCCCCGTGGTGCACCGTGCATCCCTCGCCTCAGGCAGCAGGCCCCACAAGACCCGGCGCGGGAGGTACTGCTCGCCCACCTGGAGCCAAGAACTGAGGAAAGGTCACGGTGGGGGGAGAACCCACCGAAACGCACCGAGTGGAAAGCAAAAGGAACTCCCCAAACTCCCGGAATTTGGGGGTTTGGAAGACACTGATGGACTTGCAAGGAGATTCAGGCCTGAAGAGGCGATGGGCTCCGATTGTTTGGTGCTTTGGTTCTTTTTCTGTGGGGTGCAGAGCACAATCTCAGCTCGGTGTACAACCATTCTCAACTACAAGTCGAAAAGAGTAGCAAGTGGACGAAAAAGCACATTGTCTGCCGGACCTCCATCATCCTCTCGAAGGGGCTCTTCTCTGTGAGCATACGGTCGTGGAACATCTCCATCTCCTGCGAGGACGGTCCACGTCTTCGACGTGCGACCGTCACGGTCTCCCGTGGCGCAGAGGAATGTCACCCGCGAGCAGTCTGTGGAGGCAAGCAGCCTTCCAGTTGAAAATGCTTGGTGTCTAGGCGTCTCTGCTTAAATGCAGCCTTGCAGGTCCTGAGACCTTCTTGCACCGCAAAAAAAAGGGAAGTTCCTGAGACCTTCTTCAGCCAAAAAGGCGGTTTGATGTCCGCGGAATTGAAAAGTCAAAATTGCGACTGCGTGGTGTAGTGCATGCGTGGTGTTCATTTGTGAGGCCTGGTCCTCGCCCTGTTCATGGATCAACATCCGTCCATGGAAGTGCTGCTTGAAACCACATTCCTAATCTCATGCACTCTTCCAATTCTCCCCCCCCCCCCCCCACCCTGCCTGATCTGAACCCCAGCCATTCGTCCACCGAGTTCGGCGAACCGAAGACACCCCCGAAGCCCTCCATCCCCGGGCACCACACGTCCATCGGATGAGAGGACCTCCATCGGATGAGGTCCGTCCCTCATTCCACATGCAAGAACCCATGATCCCCCGGCATTGCACAAACCACTCGTGAAGGACAAAACACCCATGAAATCCAACCAAAACCTGGAAAGAATCCTTTCCTCCTCCCGTCTTCTTCTTCCCATCTCCCACCCCCCGCATGGAACAAACCAACAGATCTTGCAGCCACAAAAACCCACCCACATCTTCCAGGTTCCGGTTCCATGTGTCATATACCACCATACCACCATACCACCATACCACACATGCTCCTTGATGGCGCCCGCGCGGCAGTCGAAGCCGATGGCATCCACCGCTTCCGCTGAGCGGTCCGGGAAGTCGAAATCCACCTGCCCATCGGTCGCGAGGTGTCGGTCTGGTCGCGAGGTGTCGGACCGGTCAAACGGTGAACGAATCGGTTGGACGAATCGGTGGTGCTGTGCCGAAGGGATCGAACACTTCCGCCCTTCCATCAAACACTTCGAGTAAGTGATGTGTGTTCACTGACTGCCGTGAAATGTCTAGGGCGGTGGTTCCGATCTTGTTCCTAGTGCACCAAGAACAGGATCCCCCCGGTAACAGGACCTTGTTGGATTTCCAGCGACTTGGGAAATCAGTCAAACAATACGCGTCAGTGATCGCGTTTCAGAAGGGTGCTGGCCCATGGACCGCCTCGTTGCCACATATCAGAGTCAGAGCACGTGGCAAGTACATACACACCTAATGTACGCCATAATCCCCAAAAAAACACGCGAAGGGATCAAGAGTTGATGTTGGTGGTCCTCAAAATTCTCAAAGAAATGTAGACGACCCAGCCCAATCCAGCTCCAAACAGAAATTCAACACTATAAAGCTATAAGGCGTACTGTTGGGTAGTTTTCAGCATAGCAAATAATAGTAAATATTGAAACATATTAAAACCAGTGACGTTCTATCAAGAGACTCTAAAACTTCTCCCCCTATGTGGGCAGGAGGAGCAGCTGTCCTGCATCCCTCAAGTCCGACTGAAGAAGACTCATTGACTAAGGAGCCATGACCCGCGGGGCAAAGGGCAAAAGCCTCAACTCGCACATCGCTAGCTGCTAGCTGTCTGGGGAGACTTCCTCCACTCCCTCCGCAATCGTTCACACCATTCTCCACGGGAGGTGTATCATTGAAAAGGTCATAGCTGAGTCGTGGGTTGCCCTCACTCACTGATCATCCACTAATCCTTATCTGGCTCTGTTGGTGCCACCAGGAGACCGACCGCTTGACCTACCGACGTGTCGTTCGCTCCATGGTGGACTGGTATGCATCAGATCCCATCCATCCACCGCGCCTGGCGTTCGCCGTTGATCCGCAGCTCGAAGCCCTCGTCGCTCTTCTCGAAGGCCACCGAGAAGCTGTCGGCCTCCGTGCCCAAGGGGCACCCACCGGTGCGGATCCTGAGAAGCACGAAGCGGCGGCACCGGTGAACCGGTCGGACCCCTCACTGGTGTGCGGCTTACACGCGCGGGCCTTGACGCCCAGTCTGTGGGTCCCAGTCGGTTTCTCAGACACACGTCGGCACACGTCGAAGCTCCTGTTGTGACCCGAATTTTGCCACAGCATATCAGCGAAACCAAGCACTCCCACAAAAAGGAGCCAAGACTCCGGAGGTTTGGAAGGAAAAGCCCTGGAAAAAAAGTCTTGGAGAAATCTGGCATCTGTCGTTGAACGATTGTGGTGTCACCTTCAGTTGCAGAGCTCCATGGGCAGGTCTTTCAAGAGCTCAGGTTGTAGAGGAAACAAGTTCTATCGAGATTTATGCACGTGCATGTTCCATGGTGTTCAGTAACTCATCGCTACTGTAACAAGAAGCTACTATATAGTAACAAGTGCATCGCTACTAGTAGCACCTCTAAACCTCTCCAAACCCCTCTATGCACGTCCCTCCGCTGAACATCCCCGCGAGGCTCTCAGAACCCTTGCTGCCATCAATGAGGGAGTTCCTGGCAGAATCGGCGTGTACAAGCCGCAGATCCGGAGCTGTTCACCCGTCGCCGTCCACATCCCAGAATTCTGAGCCCTCTAAATTCTAAACCATGCTTCACCAGCTTGGAATACCAAACCATCCTGATGAAGGTTAAATCTATTATATAGCGGCTTTTAATGAAAGCGTGATGCTCTTCTTTGGACTTTCCATGCCGGGTCACCTGAGGTGTCACAGGCTTGCGGAGAAAGCTGGGTGTGAGGGCCCCCATGCTCTAAAGCTTGGCTGGGGAGGTGGTTCCCACAAAATTGCTTTCGGCCTGGAGGACCTGTCAAAATCGCATGCGAAACTGGTTTCAACAAACACAACACAGCTCGGCTGTGACCTCCTTTCTTTTTGCCCTCGAGATGTGGTCATGTCCACCATTGTCCACCCAAGGATGAATCGTGGATGTGGCACAGAGTAGCGAAGACATCCCCGTTTCTAGAGGAAAAGGGTGCCCCAAGGGGCAATCCACTTGCGTGTTTGATGAAGAATAATCAGGGAGATGGACACACCCTCCACCCCTGCGGACATCCGCAGACCAAGGTGCCGGAGGATGCACTTCCGCTGGGTGCAGGGCGCAAAGGAGAAGATGCAATCGTTGCCCGAGTAGAAGCCTCGTCTACCAGACGAGTCTGACAGGGCGACATCCATCAACAAACCGGGAGTGAAGTGAGATCAACTACTTGGAGCACGAGTAGACCCACTTAGCTACAAGTGGAACACCCACTTCACGCAACGAGCTGGCACCGTCATCAGCCACCAAACCCAAAACCTTGCTCTCTCTCTCTCTCTATTAGGTTGGAGGCCATCTCTATTAGGCTCTCTCTCTCTCTCTCTCCCTCCCTCCCTCCGGGCGGAGAGACCCTCCACCACCTGTCTCTCACCACGGTGCACCTTTTTGCGCCGAGCCACAGAAGCGCCAGTCAACACCGTCCTTGCGATTGTAGCCGCCGCCCTTGATGAGGATCCGATCTCCTTCCTGGAACCTCAGCTTCGGGCGGCTTCGACTTAGATTGAATGCTTGCTTGAGTGATCGACTGATTGCATTCATTCATTCATTCATTCATTCATTCATAGATTCGATAGATTCGATAGAGAGAGAGAGAAGAATTTGTTTGTCCGGACTTGCCGAGAAGGGCAGCAACTAATTGATCACAGCCGCAGGTCTCTCTCGCTGCTTGGCGGTGGCATGAAAACCATCAAATGCTCTTGAAAAGATTATCACGTACTTGTCCCATACCAAGACACATTTCAGACAAACCAAGCAGTGAAGAGTTGACTGAAGAGAGGCAAAGGAAACGCACATCCTGCGTTGGGGGCAACGCTATGGATATTGCCTGTTGCAAAGTGGCTGGTCTAGGCTTGCCCCTTAAATACCTATGTGATGTTGATACTTCTTGGAGCGGCAGATAGGTTTGGCTTCTCCTTTGATGCGGACCATCAAAGAAGAAAAGGATAATTGTCATTTGAATTTCAGGGGGAGATGTTAACTTTAGCTGCTGGCTTACTGCTTGGAGAGTAGCTTGATCAATGATAGTTGTACACAAAAGCAGCTTGAATTGGCCAGTTTGGCTCGCTTTCGAGCGATCCCGTCCGTCCACACCAGATTCCACCCATTCTTTTCCAAGGATCTTCACCATCACCCTGCGGGCCATGTTCTTCTGGCACGGCTCGCACAAATCATAGTCGCAGTCTCGACACCGGAAGGCGGTGCCGCTGCAGCCGCACAAGTTGCATCGGTTGGACTTCTTCTTCTCAGGTTGCAACCTGGACATGGAGAACTCACTTCAAACCCTCCTTCTTCCTCAGCAAACTCACACAGGTTCTTCCTTGTTCCTGGGAGAAAAAGAAAGAGAGCCATGTTAGTGATGTGCTTTGTGTAAAGAGAACAGCTTCAAATCCTGTACCCTTTGAGGCTAGGGACAAACAAAGTGGAACAGGCACATTTGGTAGAGGAAACTCTGTCCAAAACATCTTCAAGTGCTGATTACCGTTCTCTGTTTCTTTGGGGTGACTTTATCTAGAACATTATATGACTAATCACAGTATACATAATTAATGCACTATAGCTATATCTAACGAATCTAACTGACATGCATCATACATCAATACTCAGTATTCAAATACAATTTATCCTACATGTCATTTCATCACCAAGTCACTCGTGCCCGTTCCGGCAGAAGACCTGCTGTATCTCCGCAGAGCTGCCGCGCAAAGGCTTCCGTCGACGTTGGATCCTCGGGCGGTCGAGATAGCAAGCGCTGGAGAGTGAGTGACTAGAAGCTTCTTGTTACTACTAGTAAGGCACTTGTTACTAGCAGCGATGCACTTGTTACTAGAAGCTTCTTGTGACTAGTCACGAATATCTACTTTATAGTCACTTTCAGTGCGTGAACCTACCAGGTAGAACGTGTGTTTAAGGTTTTGGGCTTCAGGAGGTTCATGGCGAAACGCCAGCAATCCCGGATGAAGGAGAGGCCGGGAAGCAGCGTTGCGGTTCATGGCTGATTTGCTTCGATCGTTAGGTCAGGTCCAGACCATCCACACTTTGGGTACGGGAAGCAGGGGACACCAGTTCACTGTGGCAAACATCTACCAAATGAGCCCACCGTGTGTGTGTGTGTGTGGCTCTGCTACTAGTGTTTGGATGTCCAGTTGTGTCCTCATCTCGACATCCGACGGTCGACATCGACGAAGCTTCTCTCAGTCCCTCGGGTTCGAGGGTCTCCGACGATCAGGAGACCTCGTCCAGGACCTGTCGGCATCGTCTGCACAGTTAAGAGACCCCCGAAGACCTCGGTTTATGATAAGTCGGGGGTCCCCTGCTTGCATGTCTGCATGATCAGGTTTATCGGGTTCTGTGTGCTTCCTTTCGCTCTCTCCAACTATGATCCTTTCATATCCTTTTCTCTTCTCCGCAGTGCGCTCTCTCGGTTCCGTCGCCCTGAAGACGGAACGACCGGGATCTCCGTGCGCCTAAGAAAGCACCTGTTCCACATGTGTTCCATGGCGACCACCAACGGATGGCAACTCCTTCTGGGGCGCTGGGTGGCCACCCAAACCATTGAACGGCTGCGCTCGAGCGCGGCATCGGATGGAACTCTCCGGACGGAGGGTCTCACTCCCGAACACCCAGTCCACTCCACTCTCGCTCTTCGATGGAGCGTCGCGATTCGACCTCGATCGATCCGAGTGGTGCGAGACACCGCCTGGGACGGGTGCGACCCGGTTCGAAGACCCCCCCAGGATCCTCCTCTTTGGCCCAAGAGTCCCATCCTCGTCCAAGTCCTCTTCGTCGTCTTTGGCCGTACCACCCGTGTTCCGCTCGGCACCCATATCGTTGTCGTCCCACTCCTGCGGCGGCGGGTGCGGGCGGCGCCGGCCGTTGGGTGAGAAGGATGGAAGTCGGCGTGAGGGAGGGGAAACCACGCGGTCTGGGTGGAACTCGGTGGTCTTTCTTCCGACTCTAACTCCAAACTTCAAACGTGAGCAATGGGCGGAACAGACCGGGCCGAAGCCAGGGATGCATTCCATTCACCTTGAAATACACAGAAAACATGGATGAGATTCTCCCCAGAAAAGTGCTTGGCAAAAGACTTCCACATTCCTAGGGGCTCCGTCCCGACCTCCGTTTCAGTTCGGTCGGACTGGAGTCGCTGGACTTGTCGACAGACACGCAGCACTGCCAACGTCTTTCCGACGTGGAGGGCCCAAAAATCAGCTCGAAACAATGTAGACTCTGGATGAATGAACACCCCATATGATGAATCCAAATGAAACTCTGTATGAGGATGTCCAATTCAAATTGGGGTTACTAATCAAGAGTCTACATTATATCACCTCTGCGACCTCTCCACTGGAATTTCTTCCAACGAAATGGCCCACCTCCAAGCATCGTAGAAAACAACACCGAACCTCAATGCTGGCATGTCTTGGTCGGATCTCCGTTCCAAACCCCAACAACAGCCACCTTTTTCGGTGCCACCTCTCGACCTCCGGCACCCCCACCAGTTCTTCAACCCCCCCCAACCCCCCGGTGGCCTCATGCCCCCTTCGGACCCCCCTCGTTTCCGTCGTGTCCGGCCTCGGGGTCGTCCATCGGATCGCTCTGACCATCCACCTCTGTGCCGAAGCCCAACCTGCGGCGGGCGGAGGGGGCGGAGGGGGAAGGTGGGCCCATCGTTGGAAGTCTGGACCGGAACTGGAGGTCCAGTCAGGACATAGTTCTACAGAACTTCCATGCACTGAAAGAAGCGGCAGCCGCTTTTGGGGATGGAAAGTCACTTGACAACACACCAAGGTTCGGGAATGACAAGCACGTTAACCGGTCTGTGAGTGTTTCATCCAACCTGACATTGGGGTGCGTTGGTGCAGCACCGCATGAATTCTAGCACCTCCTGCTGATTTGTTCACCTCAAACATCCCGAAAAGCATGAGACCCATCACGAAGGAATCGACTAAAAATCATCCAGAACCGACGGATGAATCCTCCTTTCAGGTCCCCCTGGCCACCACGGGGTTTTCCCCCCTCATCTCCTCTTCGTTCCTCCCTCGCGCGGAGGCACATGCCCTTGACGGAGGTGCGGGAGATGGTCGTGCTGTTCTCGTGCCCCGGCAAGTCGCAGCTGGAGCCTCCCGCCTGGAAGGTTGGTCGAAGGTCATTGCTTGGTCCCAAAAACATGGAGATGGGACCAAGAATCCTGACTTGGTGGCTGAGTGACTGTGAGCCGTTCCCTCTTTCTTTTGGCATAGGATTCCCCTCAAAGTCTGAAACGCATCACGTGTCGCGTGCCTCCAAAGAAGATAGAAAAAGTAAAAGAGAACAGCGAAACAAGCGCCTCGTAGCGAGCCCACAATTCCCATGGCCGCTCACGGTCATCCAGAGATGGCTGGAGTTCTCGCATGCAGAGCCGGGCGTTGCTGCTATATTCCAACTGTCGGTACAGTTGGTGGCCATAGGCCCTGAGCAGCGTCGGGCCCCTTCGTTTCCATGAACTGATCGGCAAGCGCCCTCGACGGTGGGCTCTTGGGATTGAAGATCGGAAGAAGACTCATCGAAAGCTGCTTTTTGGTCTGCGAATCTTCTCCGAGGTCATAGTGTAGTTCAAATTGATGCCCACAAGAATCTCATGTGTGCGTGTCCTCTCTCTTTCTCTCTCTCTCTCTCTCTCTATCTATCTATCTATCTATCTATTTATCTATCTATCTATCTATCTATCTATCTATCGATCTATCTATCTATCTATCTATCTATCTCACTTTGTTGAATGTTTTCTTCAATGACACAGGTCTTGCAATCAACCTACAGCTAGCTGGGCACAAATCTTCGTCTCGCACCCCCGCACCTCAATGCATAGATGTGGATCATGCGGCGCTCTTTGAAGAGATGCACCTGAAGACCGTTATGCAAACCACCCCCATTTTCAGAAAAGCATGTGGCAGCATGTTGGTTTTTCCGTGGGAAGACCACCTTGGTGGAAAACGTCGTGTTCAAACATTAAATATAATGTAAACGGGATTCTTTCCTTCAACTCCCATGGTTTGGTAGAAAGGTCGCGTTCTGGGGTTCTGCTCAGCTGAAAATGAGCGGCATCTGACTAAGGCTTTTCCTGAGTGAACGAGTGAACGACAGCAGAATCCAACGCAATGCAAGACTTCTCACAAATTCCACCCACCCCGCCAGAATTTAAGCTCTGCAGAACTCTGCAGAACTCGACGCGTATCTGATAGGGAAAAGGCAATCGATGTCTTCCATCTGTTTCCTCTCGTGGTTTTACAGTAAACAGCAGGCATTCTCCGAACTGAGAAGTGTCTGCCTTAGATGGACAATGTCAGGGAGTTTGACCTGCTTCGCACTCAGGCAGCTTCATCCGCTGCATGAACCTCTCGAAACGCCACCCACGCCACCCACGACCCTTCTGAGCTCCACCAGCTCCACCAAGCCCGTGCGCCTCCTTCCAGATACGTGCCTTGGCCTCCTGATGAACCCCCATCAGCTGCACCACCGTGGTGTCCCCCGGGATGGGTTCATCCTTCATGAACCACAAGGGTGGCCTTCGCGGTGGCGGCGGGATGAAGAATTGCCTCCTCACCGGTTCAAAGAGCTCAGCGATCCAGAACTCGTCCTCTTCCAAGTCCTCCACGTCGTACAACCGGTCCTTAGGTTGAAGGAGCCGGGGAGACCGGCCGGCCGAGCCGAAGCCGGAACCACGGGCCAAGTCCTTTTCGTCTGGCCGCCCTTTTCCAGGTAGGACCGGGTAGGGCTAAAGATTGGACTGGCGGTAGGGCGGCCCTTGCATGGGCGGCCTTTGCAGGTCGGAGCAGATTTCTGCGGCTTGGAGCAGAAATGTTGACGCAACTCGACTCCTATTGAAGCCCTGAAATTGGCTCGATGCCCTTCAGATGTTCAATCGACCTCAAAAGGATTGTTCGACCCCTGCTTCAAAGGCGAAGCAGGTGCACGACCTTGTAGAGGTGAATCACGGTGAATCCTGGTGAATCGTGTGACTGAGAAACCCAGGGTTTTGCCAACACAAATGTTCCTTGTTGCCCAGACCTTGCTGAAATGCAAAGAGTGATTAATATAATTAGTAGTCTTTTTGCGGGAGGGGGGAAGTTGGTGATCGAAGTGAGAAGTGATCGGTTTCGCCACGAGCTTTGCACAAGACTCCCACTCATCCAGGAAAGGCAAGAAATTCGCAGGCTTCGAGGACCAGTAGGTGGCTCGGAACCTGGTCCGGAGCCCCGAGAAGCCGAAGACGGTTCTTCAACATTGGCATCACAGGTTCTTCTCTCAGGAAGATCCATGCAACAATACAACAGAAATCAACTCGCGCAAATGCATGTTCAAAGACTGCTAGAAGAAAGATCTCTGCGTTGAAGGCTTGTGTTTGCTATTTGAGAAGAAACGACCAAGTCGTGAAGAATGTGCATGCTTGTACTTTAGAAAATTTGCCGTTTGGGCTTGTGGGCGAAACGGTGCAACGCTTCTGGGATTCCGGGGGTACAAGGGTTCGGTAAAATGAAACACCTTCGGTAAGGCAAAACGGCCATTTATCGGCTTCAATGTCATCTAAGACCGTTCTGCAAACCTCTCTAAGACAGTTCGGCAAGTCATGGAACGTCACAGGTCTGCGCCCTTTCCCCACCCAAGAGGAAGATCACTCGTCCCAAACTCGTCCCTTCTTTTGTTTTCGTCCCAACGAGGAGCGGAATACTCAGCAGTTCTCGCACGGTGGCATTGGAGGAGGTCAGCAGCGCGGAGCATTGCACCGTGGTCTTCTGCATGGCACCTTTCTCACCCAACTCCGAGACAAAGACGTGCTTGAAGTCCTGGCGGTGACACCACGTGGACAGTCCACGTGTGGAAACACACGAATCTGTTGGCTTGCAGGTGCGAGCAGGTGCATGAAAGGGAGAAAATCGTGTGCTTCTTTGGAGCCTCTATCTCTTTTTTCTACTTGCAAAAAGAAGACGAAGAACACGTGGTAGATCACATTTCGGCTGCTGCCGTGGCCAAGTCCGTACTTCATACATACTTAAAACGTTCGCATTTCTTAGTTCTTCGAGATCTTGGACGTCGCGGAAGCCGACGTGGGCATGGTGAAGAAACACTCCCGTGCTACTCGCCAAAGCCCAGAAGCGATAGACGTGCGTTCGGAAACAGGAAATGGGGTTGCAAAAAAGAGACATTCTGCCATAACCAAAACTGAATTATCGCGTTTCAAGGTTTGGGACGTGTATATATTGGGTAACATGATTAGAAAAGAAAAAAAAAAAAGAAGAAACAGGGAGGGGGGCATCGTTCATCTGAGAGGATATTGTTACCCACCGTCATTGTGCTGTTGTCCTGTTATTGTGCTGATACCCCCAAAGGGCCCCGTACTACAGTTATCTTGGGCCTTTATTGTGCCCCTGTTGGTGCTTCTGGACATGAAATGCAAGTGTTCAATCGTATATCATTTAATAGTCATTTATTTAGGTGATGTCATCCATCGGATTATTTCCTCTTATCGTTCTCTGGTACTTTTGCTCACCCTGGCTACTTTGGAAACGGCTCTTCTGAAATTGCTTGATGGGGATTCTTTTACGACCCCAAAGTGGCATCTTGCAGACTTCATCTCCAAGCCAGAAGGCGCTTCCAGCGACATTGGTCAAAAGGTGAGTTTTTGCACGGTTCTTCAATCTGCCTCCGGGGCAAGTCAGGAACGATTGCTTCGACCGGAGAAGGCTTCTCTAGTGTTTTCAGACCGCTTGGTGGAAACCCAAAAGAATGGACTTATATAAGACTATAGATGTTCTCACATCTGCCGATGTCCCCCTCTCTCCTCATCATTCCAGATGTAATCCTCCAAGGGCACCAAGGTACGGCCTCGCACCGTGACCTCACGGCATGCTCTCCGAGAAAAAGCCGAGACGGACCCAACCTGCGGGCGATCAACGAACCAGGAGCCGAACCAGGAGCCGAACTAGCTGAGTCAGGTGGTTTTTTTGACCCACAGCCACCAAGATTGCCGCCGACAGCCACCAGCTTCGTTCGAACTGCGAGGTCAGTCTGCGGGGTGTGCGAGCAAGAATCGATCGAGCAAAAGTCTGTCGCATCTTTGAACTGAACCAACCTCCGGCTGAACGCAGACCGATTCCCTAAAGCCCATCCCATCGGAGACGAAATCCACCAAGAGCCCCGACCCCCAACCGACCCCCCCCCCCAACCCCAAAATCCCCCCAACCCCCGAAGAAAAAAGACGCTGGTCCAGATCCTTCCTCCTTTGCAACGTGCCAACGGTCTTTGCAACATCCACGGCACCTGGAGGAGTTGCACGTTCAGCTCGATCCAAAAGGCGTCCGAGGCGTTCACCGTCTTGATGCCGGGCTTCGACCTCAACGAAAAGGTCCGGAGGTCCGGACGTCCGCGGAGGACCCGGTGGAAGCCTTTGGGAAGGAAGAGGAGGAAGAACCCCCTGGAGCCTGGAAGCCGAAACAAGATCTGCACATCCAATCCTTTCAAGATCGACCTGAAATTGTGCACAGGGAGTGGTATGACCCCAAATCTGTCTGAACACGGATCTACTGGAAAGGATATATTTCTGGAAGGGCAGCCGCGTGCGTCCTTCTTTTTTGCCACAATGAACCGTGCACTTCTATACTCACTTGGCACTTTCTCGAACCCTCTTCCGCAAATGCCTCCAGTGCCAAGAGAACCAACACTACACTCAAAGAAAAAGGCAGTTCCCGCGTCCAACACTTCCAGTACCCAAAACAAAGGCTTCTGATTCACCTCTTCCACCATTCTCTATCTCCACCAGGCTGAGGAACAGCTTGATTTTTAAGATTGTAAACCCCAACCTAAAATCATCATCAAACAAAACATGGCACACCCAACCCCAACCTCAAGCCTGGCCTCCAAAAATAAACTCCCTTTGCCACCGAGCTACGCCTCTTCCTTCTCCTTCGCCTCCCCTTGGGCCTCCTTGTCGGGCGCCGCCTCGGAGAGCACCCCGAAGCGGCCCTCGTACTCGGAGGCGTCGCCCACGCAGACCCATTCGAAGCTCGAGGTGTCGGCGCTAGTGTCACCTTGGGTCGGATTGTCGAAGACGAGAGGACGGGAGAGGATGGAGCGAGATGGGTGGAGGGTGGAGGGTGGAGGGTGGAGGGTGGAGGGTGGAACAGGGTGAGGCGGTTTTCTTTTTCGATTTTGGGGGTTGGGAGGAAGGACATGGAAGGACTGTTAAAAAAGAACTGGAAGATAGAAACTGCGTGGTAGAAGACCCATGAAAAAGGAAGAGCATCCGATCCACCCATCGAACAGCTGGCGTGTTTCTTCAACACTGGCAAGATGAAGTGGAGCACAGATACACCTATGTTGGTCCAGAATTATTTGAAATTATTTGCCTGGAGCCTCCAAAGGAAGGCTCTCCAACCACTATTCTCCTCCTCAGCTCTTCCAACCTCCCAGGGGCAGAACACCAAACGAAACAGCTCCATCGCTCGCTCCGGCGACGATAGGCCATCGTTTCCCAAGCAACTTCCCATCTCACGGGGTGGTTCGGAATCAATGGTGACCAATGGTTGACACGCTTCGCCCTACGAAGAAGACACCATGTTGCCAGATGAATTGGGCGTTGAACACCGGCACCGGCCATTGACCGACTCCAACCGAACCATGAACCAACGGCTATCCACGGAGGGCCAGGAGACCCAACCGACCACCGGCCGAAACCAGGCACCCTCTCCCCCGACCGACCGTGGCATCTCCAGAACGACTCCCCACTCGGTTTCGAAGCACCCAAAGCTGAGAGCTGATGGTGACATGAGCGCAACACCGAATTGAAGCCCTGCAAGGCGTTCACCCGCCGTTGCTCCACGAGCCACCGCACCTGAGAGGGCCGCGGCGCGGTAGCGCTCAATACGCTGATAGCTGTTTACCCCAGCAACCAGAAACACCATGAGATGGTTCCACAGACAACCACTTCGTAAAGGATCTCCAGTGCCCGGAACAACCACTTCTTTCTGGTTCTGTGACGTTCTTTGGGTTTCCAGGTCAATTCAAGTCATAATTTCAGTGAATTTAAAGAAAGGGATTCACATGCTTCACCCATATCCAAAAGAACATCTCCCAAAACGATCCACGCCATCCAAGAGATCCGCTTCAATCACGTCACCATGAAGCGCCGGTGCAGATGCAAAGCCTCGAAGAGCTCGGTCTCGGGCACCTCCAAACGCTCCTGGGCCACGGCCAGGGGTGTCTCTCGTGACGGCGTCGTCTCGCGATGTCTCGCGAGAAGGGAACAATCCCGGAGCGAGGATGTTGGGTTTTTGGTTCCCTTTTCCTTTCGAACATGCTGGGTCTTTTCAACCCTTGGTTAGGCATGCATGCCGATGGATGCCGGTCTTTAGCGCGCTAAGAGTAGTTGTTCATCGAGATGTGGGGGGGGGGATCAAATCCACAAAACATATGTCAAAAATGTATGAATGCGGCTATCTCATGGAATTTGTTTGTCCTTCTGGCCATAATCCCTGACGGATCTCGAAACAAAGTCCCGCCTGGTTGAAGGTGTGATGCGAGGACAGGTAGGTCAAGGAGGACAAGAATCGCTTGATGCGCTCTGAGTCGAAATCGCTGGTGGGGACGTTCCGGAGCACCAGAACCTCACCAGTTCGCATGGAAGAAAATGGAGGAAAACAGGATCTAACAATCTAAAGACCTAAAAGCCGACTTTCTTGCACCTGCTCGCACCACCAAGAAACCTCACCCCCCAATAAAAAACCGCACGCCCACGCGGATTCAGTGTACGAATCCCTGGCACCTGGTGCGCGTGCAGGCGACAGGCCAGGCTGTTGCACTCATCCTCGCGCGCAGGCTCCTGCTGTGCGGATTCTGCCAGCTCTTCCATCCACCGGTCGAACCAGGGAAGCACCTGCGAGGATGGGCAAAGCGGAGTGGGGGATGATGAAGTGGTGGCCATGGAAGGGCGTTTTTGGACGGTGCTACCGTCCCATTTGGACCAAGGGCTTGTCCACATGTCTTGGTCTTTTGCTGAGGGCAAAAAAAAAGGCATTTCAGGGACCCAATGCTGGACCGCTGTGGCACATGCTGAACTCATACCGTCTCCAGTTCCAGGAGATGGCTCAGCTAAACCCGCCACCCAACTTCACCTCAGGGGTCGATTCGACTCTCCTGGCCTAAGATTCTGAGAACTGAGTCATGTTCTTACCGTGGACAAGTGCTTCTGAGCGCCGGGCTTTCTAGATTGTTTCACCTGGTCTCGTTTCACAAGTGCTCTCCCCTTAAGCCTTCCGCTTTTGTTCTGTAGCCTTTTAGTGACGCGAGGCTAGACCTCAATGCGCACTCTCGAGGGAGGGGGAAAAATAAAAGAAACAGGTGGCCAGAAAATTGCACACCCGCCATTTGAATTCAAAAGCGTCTTCGCATGGCGTCTTCGCATGGCGTCTGCCACAATGAAGTCTGAGGTGAGGGCAATGAAGTCCTACCTACAGAGGTCGTTCGATATCTTTCTACCCCTTACTTGGAGAGGCCCTCCGTGGTCTGCCAATCTCTTCCATGAGACACTTTAAATAAGGCAATAAGTGAGGTGTGTTGATCACCTCTTTCCACATGGATCATTGACCGAAAACACCTCATCCAACCACCCCTCGAAACCAGGAAGATGCTCATGCCTCCCCTTCGAAGGTGCTCCGCAACAAGACCCGCCCGCGCCGCAACTCCTGGCCGTTGAGAAATCGGGGCATCTGGAGCAACTCACCCTACAGTTGATCCTGAAAGCTGGCGAGCTAGGAGTCCAGAATGTAATTCCACTCAAGACTGCCAGTGACCTACTATCTGCTAAGCTTTGAATACAGTAGATTGTAATGGATGCAATGGGATCCGTTTCATGTGCGATTCAGCCGAACCAACCTCATTTGGCGCCCAAACGCACACCCTTTTCGCAGAAGCCGCCGCGAGGCGCGAGAAGCTCGCAGCCGGTCCCTTGGGAGAATCATGAAGGCCACTGGAGGATTTGCCAGCAACTTCGTCCATTCACAATCTGTTCCATTTTCTATGCCAACTTGCCACCGCCTCCCCACAACCTCTCAAACCCCGCTTTCCAGGGGGTTTCTTTCCGGGTGATGGGGCTTTTCCGGTGGTGACAGTGGTCAGTGGTCACTCACTTCTTGGAAGCAATTAAGTCCTGGCGTGTCTCGAAATCCAAGGCTTGGTCATAGGAGACCGGCATCTCAGGCACATCGCCGCCGGCCAACTCCTTGGCAAAGTCCTCGGCCACGCTCTCCTGCAGGGAAGCACTGCCAGAACGGCGACACTGGAGCGCTTTAGTGTTCCGTCGGTCCCATATGGTCTCACACGAGGAAATATATTCTTTAGACGTGGAGGTCGGATCCTGTACACACGTGAAGTGACCGGCACTTCGGTCCGACGTCTGACAGACATGATCCACTTTCAGTCTCTGTCCGTCTCACCGTCTCTCACGACCGGCTGCTTCGTCTCCCCTGTGTCTCGGTGCCGCGCGCCTCGTTGTCCATGACGCCCAGGCTCGGCCCGGCTTCGCCCTTCGCGTCCGAGGCCGCGATGGCGTTGGCCGCGGAGGAGATCTCGCAGATCTCGGCGGTGATGGCGGCCTGACGCTTCCTGAGGACCGGAGGGGGTCTTTGGAGGGAGGGGTAGGAGGTAGGTAGGAGAGGTTGAACATCAGGAAACCATAGGAAATCTGTGAAAAGACTGATGAGTTTTATTTGAGTGATCTGAAAAAGATCGAAGACTTCCCTCGGAATGTGAGGGATTCGCTGGTTCGTTCGGGGCCAGCGAAAGACAAAAGAATGATATCACTGCGTATAGATGTATGTAGATGTAGAAGCACAAAAGATCCTTGGCGTATCCAGGCGTCTTGTTGTAAGCCAACAAGAGCTTCTTCTGAATCTCCTTGGCGTTGTCGGTGGCCGTCTTCATGGCGTTCATGCGGCTGGAGAGTTCGGAGGCCTGGGCATCATAGAGCAAGGACAAGAGCTGAGAATTCAGGTAGAGCGGCAGCATGGAATTCAAGAGAATCCTTGGATCGGCTTGAGGCACCTGAGAACAATAAGACATATTTAGACTATATGTATATATACATTATTATTGGTATTGTTATTGTTATTGTTGTGAGCATTGCACTTGACACCTTGACATGGTGAACCGATCGAAGCTGCTTTAACTTAAGCGCCCAAAGAAAAAAGGGGCGATCCCGTGCGCCGCCATTTCGTTTGGAGCCGACCTTTCGTTTTGGTTTCGCTGTGGCACGAAGAGTTTTTTGCAGAGCGGTTGGTTGCAAGCCTGGTTACTCACACCAGTTATTATCTCTATTTTACTATCAATATTTCTTCTGATCTTCCCCCAACTTTGGCGGCGAATTCACCCGGTGGCAGAAATCCAAGGTGGGCAAGAAAACAAAAGACAGAAATCGATCATGCCATAATCGATCGCCAAGTCTCTGTGGTGGCTGATCAAAAATCACATCTGCTTCAATCTCCTTGGCCTTGGCTGCCTTCACCTTTTCCTTCTCCACCTTCAGCTTTCCATCCTCCGTGGTCAGCTTGAAGGTCTCATCCTCCGGATCTTCCATTCCTTGGCTTAATTCAGGGACCTCGCCCCCCCAACAAAAACATCCATCAGTCTTATAGAATTGGATCTACTGGATTAAATATGCTGTGTAAAAATATTGATCAGTCTCCCGTTTCATCCGCTTTGTCACCTGTTCTTTCGCCCAAAACGAAAAAACCACCGGGCGTCCGGTGGCCGACAGGGGCAACAAGGTGCGGATCGCAGGCTCATTGGAGATCAAGTTGATGAAGCGTGAGTAGCAGATCTCAATCTTGTCCACCTGGTCTTCAAGAGCGAACGCACAAACGCGAAACGCGAAACGCGGCAGGTTTTCGTGTCGGGAAAGAGCAGGAATCAAGTAGATGTATACAGTACTTTTAGTGAATTTTGGTGCCTGTTTCCCTTCGCCGGTGCCGTGGAAATCGCTGTGGGACCGTGTTCATCGAATTCAAATAGGCGCAGTGCGACGCTCCGTTTGGGCCCGTGGAGCGGCGCTCCGCTGCGACCGCGTCCAAGTCCGGTTCGCACGGACGGCTTCCCGGTGGCGGTCCCGGTGGCGACTCCGGAGAATCGACTCGAAAGAAGCGAAAGACTTGACTGTGTCCCGCCTCACCAGCCAAGAAGTAGTTCTCAATGGTCTCGGCGATGGCTGTGGACTCTTTGGCCGTGATGGTGTCGGGCATGGGCCAGAACTCCTTCGATTCGAGACCCGACGGGTAGACCGAAACGTCCAAGAGAGGCGAGGCGACCAGTTGGGCTGTTGGGCCTTCCGATGTTCAACACATGCAACGTCCAAAGCCCGGGGGATGTTTCAATTATGAGGAATTTTGTATTTACAGTACAGGGAGTCGCGTGGTCCTGCAGTTTCCGTAACAATCTAGGAACCAAATGAATAGTGCGAGCGCTTCTTCGAGGAAGCTCCCCCTGCCGCCTTTAGTGCGGGAGGAGCTTCCTTGAAGAAGCATGAGCTATCCTGTGTCCAGTTACTAGTAGCTACTTAAGCTACTAGCTACCTAGCTACTAGCTAGCTACCTAGCTAACCTACCTCTAGCGGCCTACCCCCCCGGGTCTTCCTCGGTCAACCTCGTGTCCCCCCCGTCTCTCTCGTCTCCTCGGTGTAGTTGAACTTCTCGACGTTCAGTCGAGTCCTCAAGCCACTGACACCCTTCTTTCCCACGATGAAGAGCTTCGGCACGATGCCCTGCTCGTTCAAGTCGCCCACACGAGCCTTGAGCTTCTTCATGACAAAGGCGTTGTAGGCACCGCACAAGCCACGCTGGGCGGTGATCACCAGGATTCCAACGTTATTCACCTTGTCGGGCACGCGGAGCATGGGCAAGTCCGCCTCCAAGCCACTGCCCTTCAACTTCTTCACCAAACCCTTGATCATCGAGAGCAGCTCATCGCTGAAGGGCCGTGCCTTCTCCACCCCTGCCTGGGCTGCACGGACCTTGGCCGCGGCCACCAGCCGCATGGCATCGGTCAACTTCCCCGTCTTCCCCACGGAGGTCCAGCGGTCCTTCAGCCGCTTGTCGCCCGGAAAACGGCACACCTTCGACTGGTCACGGGAGCTGATCTTGCGGGATGGGGAGGAGCCCACGAAGGCGGTCTGGAGCACGTTGAGCACCGCGACGACCGCGACGGCCAAGGCCAACATCAGGAGTCCACGTGCCATGGCGAAAGAAGACGTCCAAGTCGACTGGGCGAGTAAAAAAATACGTTGGTACGTCAGGCTTCCGCGGAAATGGCTCCAAAGATGCACCCCACAATGTCTGTGTTTGAATGAAAAGTTAGAGAAGACCAATACAACCAAGCTTGTGGCCGTTGGCAAGTCAAAAGAAGTGCCATGGTGCCGAAACTATGGACAAGTTCAATGCTTAAACAAAAAAAAATCTTCAAGCACTATAGAGACTTGAATTCCTTTTGTCGGCACTAGCCGAATAGCGGTCCTCCAAGACGTGTGGCGTGACCGTGAGCCGCGGCCACGCGCGCGCCACACGGCCCTCGGCATGGTCCATGAGCACCGCGGCGGCGGATTCCACGCGCACGGCCAGGCGCACGGCGAAGAGGATGGCGGGCACCGTCTCGGAGGTCACCGACGTGGCCAAGCTCAAGGTCAAGGCCATCCTGGGTGAGGTAAGGCGGCGCGGGTCAGCTGGGCTTACTTGTGATGTGTGATGTGATCTGTATGTTTTTGTTGGTTCGACCCGGAAGATGAAGGACAAATCAGCAACAGTGAGGGCGACCGAACAGAGTAGGCGACCGAAGCTGGGTGATCACGGGCGTCCTGAACTGAGGGTGGGAAGCCTGGCAGAGGTGTCGGCGGAAAAGATCGATGAAAAATGCCAAAAACACGCCAACACATCCACCAAAACGGCCGGGCCCTTTTTCCACCTACCGACCCTCCACCCTCGGTCCGAATGTTTTCGGCCAGGGCTCAGCTTTCCAACAGCGGTGAGGATCTGTGAGGGGCCGTGTGACAGCTCTGTCAAGATCTGACTGAAGGGTGAGGCGACCTCAGGTGCGGCGACTGCGACTTCGACGGCCCACATGCCGGTGACGCGAAGTCGTGCGACCTCGGGTCATCGCTGGTCCGACTTGGCGAGGGGATTGCAGGCGCATGGCTTTTGGGGGGAAAGTCACCACGTGATCGGATCGCCGCAGGGAGCCGTCAAGAAACGAGACCCATATCCAGAGAAAGCTTCTTCCCATCCCAGTGCATGTCAATCAGAAGATCGCTCACAACGGAGCTATCTGCTCAACCGCCGTTTGGAAGGTTCACAGTGATGCAAGTGAGAGGCTAAGTGTTCCTCTTCAGCGATGGCCGGCACATACTCGGGGATCTTCTGCATATCTTCCTGACGAATCGCCAAAAATTGAAGATGATTTGTTCAAAATTGATGGGCTTTACAGGGGTCCTCTCTTTAATGAAGTCTGAGGTGAGCATTAAACTGGATAAAATCTCAAAGCTCATCCACAAACTCACACCGCGTCAGAGTGGTGCACCTGAGACTAAAGTCAAAATATGCTTTTCATGCACATGTCACACGACTGATGAGCTTCTTGGAAAGCCTCACGTGTCGCCACGTCGTCTTCCACAGGTGTCGTTCGAACGATGTCTTCCACCGTACTCCAAGGCTCGGGATACAGCAGCCTCCCCGGCTCCAGCATGGTTGCTTGAAGGATCTTCTGTAAGGTCCCCTGGTCGGCACGGATGGGTCGGGATGCAAATCGATGGATCGGTACTGTCGGTACTGGGAGAAGATGGCGCGGAATCCATAGAGCCGCTGGCGACAAGCAAAGAAGGCCCCAACTTTGAGGCCCAGGGACCTATCTTCACCAGGTGCTGGTGGTATCTAATTTCCATCGATAATTTCTACTACAGGAGAGCACTTAGATCGCATACACAGGACAAGTTGTGTTTCCCGAATTGGCAGCGTAAACACTCTGCTTGTGTGCCAAATGAAGAACTCTTTGGCACCATGAAGGCCATGTCTTGAAACCCATCCATCCGGACCCATCCTGACACCATTGGCCCCTTCTTTCCACACCGAGGGCGGACCACAGACCGCACCGAAGAACCGCAGCGAGGAAAAAATGCAGTCCGCCTGGCGCAGGCAATTGGAGCGATCCTGTGTGGTGAAAAAGCTCAGCAGCAAAGGCTGACGAAGGTAGGGCACCTTGGGTGCACGGTGAGGGAACCGGGCGCGACCGGACCGGACCACCGGTGAGACGAAAGCAACACCTGTCGGGTGAGACGAAGGCCCACCACGGGACGAGGGAGCTCCGGATCGAGGTCGTGGTCAGGAGTTGGGATGTTTGGCTGGGGACCTGGCTCAAGAAACATGTGCCAGCACCTCCTGTTAGGGCCTTTTGGAGACCTGTTGGAAGGTGCTGGTGGTTATCGATGGTGATCGGCGTGAAGTGATGCCAAAGAAGCGCTGAAGGCGTGCCACTGGTGGGTTTTCATCGTTGGATGGTGGGTCGGAAGCGATAGTCAGGGTAGGTGGGTAGGTGCTGAAGAGTGTCAACATCCACCGGATGCTTCCTGGACCCCAAGTCGCTGGGCACTCCTCCCTCGTTGCTGGGCACGACCCACTCTCCTTCTTTCGGTTCTTCGATGTTCTTCGGTGGCCGTGTGGTGCGTTAATCCACATGGAGGGATGGTCTCCTCCCTCAAACCAGCACGACGAACAGCACGACGAACACCTGTTTCCCCTTGAAATCTCGCGGGCTTCCGCGCAACGAAGATGGCGCACGATGCGTTTGCTCTTTTCATCAGGCAGGTCAGCTATTCTGATCGTTTGAGATCGTTTGATCGTTTTCGCTGCCACAAGGAAGGTCGGGACATCTTGTTTCAGCGCATGGTCACACACCATGGTTTTTCTCCCCGTCTTCATGCCGTTCACGGCTACTGACCAAGCTCAGCCGATGGCGGCCGTGTCCGATGGCCCCGTCTTCTGGTCCCGCCCAGGCGCCGTGAGATACGACAGGAGCGCCTCGCTGTCCGAGGGCCGCAGCATGGGGCGCCCCGTCTTCTCGTCCGCGAAGTTCGGCAACGACCTCCGAGCCGTGGGGCCCGTGGGGGGGGATGCCCAGGTCTCCCGGTGCGGAGCGGTCCACCCGTTTGGGAGCCAGAAAAGAGGGGAGATCGCCGCATCGTCCCAATCTCATCTACCTCTAATGGCCTGAAAGAATAGAAACAGACAGAGCATCAAAGAGGCCAAAACGATCGGACTCTCTTTCAGTCTTGATCCACCAACTGCTGCACCGGTCAGCTCCGCACGAAAGAACCGGTCACTGCCTCTGGTAAAGCAGGTCATCTTCCGTACCTTGTTCGCATGTCGGTTAGATCACCGGTCCGCGCCCACCCCGGCCGATCGTCTCCGTGTGATCCAAAGGGACATATCGCGCATATCGCGGCATAGCCTCTAATTTATACGTACTCTGGGTCACTCTTGGGCAAAGTCTACTCTTTCAACTTCCGGAATGGGAGTAGTGCCCACATTCCCAAAAACAATGAGAGATTGCCGCCCTCGAACAAGATACTGTGCACGGATCTGGCAGTATGCTAAGATCTATGCAGCCTTTGCAGTTGGCCATTGATGCGAGTCAATACGGTTCCCTCCCTGTGTGTTGAAGTCGCTAAAAGCCAGCTCCCCACGCCCACACGGACAGCAGATCCAATGCTGCCCACATGGCAGATCCAATGGTCGCAGCCTGTCTCAACCTGCTTGACATCCCAAATTGGAAACCCCACGCCCCTCCCCACCTACGGACTCATCCATCTCCTCCTCCTCTCCTCGGTTCGAAAAAGACCGCACCCACCTCTCTGCGACCCAGCGACGCACCTCACCCTTGGTGTGCATCGCCGGCAGCGCGGGCGACGGCCAGCGATGCCCGGACGCCGGCGGCTGCGGGGGATTGCGCTCGTTGAGCCACACCACGTTGTCCTCGAAGCGGCGAAGAGCGAAGCGAAGAGAAGAGAGGCACCGAAGGGAGCTCCGGAGGGAAAAAGATCCAAGGTGCTTCATGAAGGTTTCATCAAGTTTGGGTGGTTTCACCAGGTTTGGGATGGTTCAAACTTAAGAATATCAGCCCGATGTAGATAGCAAGGTTGAAACAACCAAGAATTGCCACAGCTCCCCTGGTATGTCAAGAAAAAAGTTCTCTTCAGCCATGCGCGGTGTTCATTCCATGCTCTTCTCCATCCCAGACAGCTGTTCTTGGGCTATCGCTTCAACGACGGGGCGATCGCTTCGTCTGAACGCTCCTTTCCCAAGGCGGTGATTTTGAAGTACTGACGTCCTTTGTCCTTGGCAGCGGTGTCTGGGCAGCGCTGTCTCGCCATGTTGGACAGACGGAGAGATTGAATTGATGTGGCAGAAAGGTCCTCCTGCTGTGGGTCCAAAACCGGAGGACCTTGGTGAAGGGACCTTGGAATTCACCCACGCCCATCTTGGGACAAGATAGTTGAACTTGAAAGCCACTGAAATCGCCTCTATCATAAAGGGAAAGATCAAAACACAGAAGCCTCCAAGGATCCTTTCAAAAGAAGAACAGGAGCTCCCATAACTGTGCAAAAGGCGTGGAATCATGACCTTGTTCAACACAGGAAATCTGCGAAACCGGAAAGGGTAATACAAGTCACGAGCATGCAACCGATGCAATGTAACATTGTCATATATAATATATATATATATTATAATGTTTGTTTGTGCCAATTCTTCTTGATTGCCCCAGTCCCCTTCAAGAAACAAACTGGAAGCTACCACAGTCCCCTCCTCACCCTCCTCACCCTCCAATCCTCACCCAGGCGTCGTCTTGTGCCACGGACCACCGGGCGATGGCCTCGGCCGGGTGGAACTGGCGCGGCTCCGGGAAGACGCGGACATCGGTGCAGAGGAAGTACTTCCACCAGAAGACCTGGCGATCCAGTCGTGATGACGTCGTGCGACACCGCGAGGCGGGTCTGGGTGATGTGGCGTGGGTGAGGTGGGTGCCATCAACGGTTTATGTGACTATAATCACGATTGCCTGAACTATGAGGTAGGCTGCCAACATCCTGAGATTGGATACTTTTCTGTATGAACAAAATCCGTGTGTGGCAATGATACTTCAACAGCATTGGCTCACTGCCTCACCCCTAAGCGGAACAAACTACCAAGCACTCCGAACCCCAATCGATATGTGTATATATATATATATATTATATATATATATATGTCGAGAGAGAGAGAGAGAGATGTGACAATGAATTCAATTGTGCTCGTATTGGATAGTGAATGTTGGAGGTGCTTAGGATGACTCGGATGAGTCTGCTGGGATGTAGGCAAATCAACTGATATGCATCACGGGTGGATTGCTTTGCCTTGGAAGGACGGTTCTCCATGTGAATCTGCTGCCCTCGAACTCGGTCGAAGGAAACCAGAAAAAGTCGACGAAAGAAGAGGCCAAGAAGAGAACGAATGTCATGCACAGAGACGCTGGAGCCTCCGTGAAGTTCGAACGTGTTGCCACTGGTCAGCATTCCAATTCGGTGGCTCCTTTGTCATGCTGGGGGGGCTCCCCACAGGAGGATCTCTAACGACGCGCGCCCTGCGACGTCCAACGACGTGTCCAACGCGCGGAGACGTCCGAGGGACGATGTCTCGATAGGCGCGGAATTCGGGCCAAATGTGCGGCATCATGACGTTGTTTCCTGGGCGATGTTCCAGTGATGACAGTGATGACAGGCCAAAAATTGGCTGGACTGGGACTGACTGGGCTGGAGTGACTGCGGCTGAAGCTTCTTGGAGCCCAGGGGCCACTGCTACCAAATAGTAGCTATTTGCTACTGGTAGTGCCCTTTGTTACTAGTAGCGATGCCCTTTCTAGTAGCTTCTTGTTCCTAGTAGTAATGCCAGGAGCCACTACAGTAGTAGCGTCCGATCACTACGTTCGTAGCGTCGAGCCCAGGGGCCACTCACCAAATTCTGTGGGTTTGGATCCATCAAGAGCTTCGTGGCCGCCATGCGCTCCACCAGCGCAATGGTGCCCCGCTCTCCTTTCGTGCCGTGCAGCACGGCGGCACAACCGAGGACTCCGACCCGGTTTAAGTGATTCCTGTGTGCAAAATATCGTGAAATGTCGGGAACTAGTTCATAAAAATGGGTCTCAATTGCCATTATCTAGATTTACATTGCTTTACTCAAGCCGTGTCCTACACAGGAAGAGCCGTGCTTGCGACCTTGAGTGACCAGCCTGAATCTCTGTCTGCCTCCGAAGTCCATCAAGCCTCCACTCCCAAGCCCAACAGCCCGCCTACCACCCACATGCCCCACTTGTGCATGGCATAGTCAAAGATCACCGTACGCCGGCGGTCCAAGTTCACCTGCCGTCGCGAAAAACCCACCCCGCGACCCCATCCACGCACTTTTGGCCAACGCGTCTCGCTTCTCAGCGGTACAACTCAGGCCGATGTCAGGTCATCGGACATCGGGCGATTGACCCCATGTGGGGAAGTGAAAGATCTGAGCCCTGAGATCCGAGTTGTGACTCTTTTTTTCAAGGAACAAGTGGTGGAATGACTATCAGGTCAGGTGAGGTTAGTTCATGAGTCAAAATGGAAGTTCTGGGTTAAACATGTCGATCTTCGGCTTGTCGATCTTGAAACAGTGGATGGACATCCCCAGGAATTCCACCAGAGAAAAGGAATTGCCAAATCCCCTCAGGCAGAAACGGGGATGAATTGCAGCGAATCTGGTCCTGATTGGGATCTTTCCTGACCAATTCAAGAACCATTCTCAACCAAAGATGAGCTGTTGGCCTGCACCACTCTTGTTTACGAGACCAGCAAAAGTGGACCGTGACATTCAGCATCTCGTCAAGAAAAAACACAAAAATCATGCTCCAAACCTGCACCGAGACCTGCCATCCAGCCACCTTCTCCCAACCACAGACCCCACCGGTCGCGGGAGCCAAAGCCGGTCGTTTCTTCGTCTTGGCCTTGTAGTGCTGTGTCACCTCGTGGAAGTAAGCGACGCTGGCCGCACGGGTGATGGACAACTCCTCGGGACGCTCCCTTCGTTTCAAAAAGGAATGCTGGTGTCACCGTTGCCCGAAGGCGAGTTCACAGAGAGTGCCTTCAGCAACGCAACGCCACGAGTCATGCTCCAGCAACGCAAACAAAACGATGGCATTCATGCTGCGTCTCAGTGAACTTCAGCGGTAGTAACAAGTGCCACGCTATTAGAAACAAGTGCCTTACTAGTAGTAACAAGAAGCTACTAGTAACAGGTGCCTCGCTACTAGGAGCAAGTGCCTTACTAGTAGTAACAAGAAGCTACTAGGAACAAGTGCCTTACTCGCACCCTTCACGTCCAGTCCTGGAAGCAGGCCTCCATGGTTTCAGACTGCGTCACGAAGGCCGCCGCATCGATGGCGAAACGACCTGTGGTCTCAAGACGAGTCACCGCGTGGGGCTGACCGGCACTGGCCTGAACCAGCACTGCAATCTGAGTTGGGAGTGGATAGGTGGCACTGGTGCGGGACAAGGGACTGGTGTGGATCAACATGGTCGATGTCAAAAAGTCTACTCCATGGTCCAAGGAGTGGGTTCACTCCGGTTCTTCTTCACCTCAGTTGCCAAATCCACTCCATTCGTTCCGGTGCCCCGAAGACCCCCAAAGCCTAGCACAAAGCCACATATGGGATGTATCTTAGACCCGTCTTGGTACACCCAGATGACCTCTACGGCACATGGTGACCTCTCTATCCGCGAAAAATGGAGAGTGGATGGCACGATGCCTTGGAAATAAGTGTTCCCTCACAAACATGTGGAATGTCTCTCTAGCTGCGTATAGCCCAAAAAACTACCCGGTGACTGCCCCCTATGCCGCCGCTCACGGACCCGATGTCTAGCGCCTTCGTGCAGGGCCTTCGTGAGCTCCGAGGGCCTCTCCTCACTCTTGAAGAGCCTGGCTGAGAGAGACACCCTCAAACCGTGTGAGACAGCCAGGCTCTGTTCATGCACTGCATCCCAATGGCCCTCGTGTTCAAAAGGGGTGTCCCCCCGCCAACACCCCATTGAAAAAAGACAGGTCGGTCGAGTGTGCTCTCCATGCCCGCGCGCCGCGCTTGCCGCGCTTCTTCGCGCGGCTTTGCCTGTCGTCCATGGGCCAAATCCTCACGATGCGATCTGCCATGGCGGCGCAGGCGCTCAACACCGTGATTTTGACCGCGTCAAAGGTGCGCGCCGTGTGCTGCTTGCAACGCATCTCCTGAGAGGAAGGCGCTATCGGGAGGCGGCCGGAAAGAGGTGTCAGTCATTGATCAGCCTCCTCATCGACCAATCACCTAGACAATCGACCGATTGGCTTGAGGGAAAACTCTTTTCTGGTTTGAACCTGCCGGATCGATCAATGGAGATGCAGGTGGTTGTGATCGTCTTTGGGTGCTGATGATGTGTTTGGGTCATCAGTCATCAGTTTGACTGATAAGATGCGGGGGGGGGGCAGGCTGCGGCAGGCATGGCGATGACCCACTCGAAAAAGGATCAAGGGGAACTCAAGACCTGCACATGAAACAAAAGCAGTCGTGGAAGTCTACCTACATCGTTTAGAAGCAGTCGCCACGACTGCCCCATTCACGCGATTTCTCAGCGAAGGGGCCAAAGAGGCGCAGACGAACAGCCTCAGGAAGGGAGACATCTGAAGATATGGTCGTCACATCTGTGGTCGTCTCATCCGGCCCCTCTCAGTGTTGGTGAAGTGTTGGTGAAACGATGGAAACACATCTGCTTGCTGGATGGGGGCAGCCCGGATGGGAAAATGCCATCGAAAACTCATCCCGCAGTCAACTAGTATTCTCAGGTCCTGCCTCAGGAAGGATGGACAAGTTTCTGCCTACACATGATGAATTTGTCTTGATATAAATATACACATATATATATATAGTTATATTGAGAGAGAAAGAGAGATCTCAGGTTGTGTATGTGGGGCTTACTGACCAGAACTCCTTGGAAGCTACAAAAGAACTCCTAGCAACGTTCGATGCGGCAACGTTCGATGAGGCTACTGCTCTGTTCGCTCGTCCGGCAGTCCGAGTCTGGGGCTGTCAGACACCATGATTTTTGCGTAAAGAAAACCAAGTCTGGGGCACTGGGGCAAACGGATTTTCTTCGTTGGAATTCTAGTATCAACAAAAACTAACAAAGGTGTGCTTAGGTTTGCGTGCGTCACATCATCAAGACGGCAGGGAATGAAGCGGCTTCACCATCCCTAGAATTCAGAATCTATGTCTCACAAGAAGATCACCAACCCAAACCTTTTCCAGCCCACCCGGGCTGTTCGTTGCACCGCGTCTTCGGCGTCTTCGCGTCTTCGCCGAGCCGCTCCACGAGGCGTCCCAAGACCTGCAGCATGTCCAGCTGCATGGGCCGCGTCACCGTGGGGTGCGAGCCATCCCAGCCGCCCCAGATATCACACTCCTCCAACTTCCTCGGAAGGACGAAACCGAGGTACCCGAAACGCCAAAAAAGAAATCTAAAGAACTGCTAAAGCCCGAGAGCTCTCCGTTAACTCCAACGCCACTCTAAAGCACAGTCGTTCATGTGCGCACCGGAAGAGTGGCGTGTGGGTCATGGCACCCTTTGAAGTCGAAGAGCGACCACCAGGGACGTCATGTCTCTTTGGAGCGTGTGACCGTTGTGGACCCAGTGACGCCAAGTTTGAAGAGATGAGGCGATGATGCAATGAGCTTGTGTTGCTTCTTTCCAGGACTCCACCAACAGGTTTCCCAAGACGTTCAAAAACACAGAGGTTCGGACAGAGATAGTCGCTGAAGTGACGCATGATGATGTCTTGTTCGATGCGGACATCAAAAGAAAACACTTTGGCGCATTGGGGAGATCCTTGTGGAGATATATAGGTTGGGTCCATCCTGGAAAGCGAGGCAAAATGGCTCGACTTGCCCCAAGCAGCTTCTGCTTTTCCTTCGATTCCATGAAAAAGCACACAGGAACCCTCTGGAACCCTCCACCGATCTGCATCTGTTCCCAGCTCCCCAACATCCGAATTCCAAGCTTCGATGAGAAGGGTCCACGCGGCAAGGGCAGCAGCTTCGTGAAGAGGTGCTGTTGAAGACAAACCTGAAGAAACGCCGCGAGTGTAGGGGTCGCCCTTGGGCCCGAAGAAGGGGACGGTGGACGGCGTCCGAAAAAAAAAAAACATCTGCTACATGTGGTGCAATCCAACCCACGAATAAAGCAACGCTTTTGTATGGTTGCTGATTGAATTGACACCTTTCATATTAGTTTAGAAAGACCCGAAAAGAGGCCTTGGACACTGGAGAACCGTCCCAAACGATGGCAACTTGGATCCTGCTTGGGTCAGAACTTGCTTGTGTCGTTTTCACTCCTGATATCATGGACCATGAAAATCTTCAACAAGAAGGGGAAGGTCGGGTGTGACACGGGTCGTTTTGTCCCCTCTCTGGTCGCTTGGTCTGCAGTGCTCAGAACAGGGCTAGTGGCTAGCGCTCCCAACATCCACCTGATCCACCGATTCCATACATCCACCACTTCCAAGATGCTAACAGGTATGGCGCATATTCACACCGTTCCCGACCTCGGTGGTGTGGTGGTGAAGGAGGCTCCAAGAGGTGTTCGGCCCAGTGCCCAGCGCGGCTGTGAGAGCTACAGATCTACCAGATCTACATTCGAAAAAAGACAGCGTCCTAGTCCATTAGTCCAGAGTCTTTTTTCGCTCCTTGGTCCTCTTGCGTCCCTTCTTCGAGAGAATGAGACAATGGAGAACTTGGCATGGCCACGGTTGACGATACTCCAGTTTTCAGCTTCCAACCCAACTTCCTGTCGCCCACAACACTTCTCAGCGTGTTCTCCCGAGGTAAAACGAGTGTGTAGTCCAATCCAAAAACGGCCAGACCCGACTTCAGTCATCGACAGAAACCGGACCACGCGACAACAAAAAGGAAGAACGTTGGACTCGACTCGGCCGTTACGAACGGCGGTTTTTGGGCCGAAGGGGCTGATGAAGGAGAGCTTCAGGCAGATCTCCTCGGCGATGCGCAGCGTCCGGAAGAGCTCCGTCATGGAGCTCACCTGGCAGTCTTGAGCGGAGCGAAAAGCCGTGGCGGTTGGGGCGGGAGGGCGCACGTGGTGGAGGTGCAGCAGGTGGTCTTTTGAAAGGTCGAAGCGGCTGCCGTGGGACCCGTGTAGTCTGTATAAAGATAGTACGTTTAAATACATGCTAAAGCAAAGCGCAAAAGGAAAAGATGTAACTGTGTATTCATGCATTTTGTATGGTCTGGTACGGTATTGTACTGTAAGCATCCATGTACGTAGAGAGAGAGAGAGAGAGATGGAGGGAAAAAAGAGACGACGTAGAAACACATATGGCATATGACTTCAAAAAAAAGGAGATTCACCTCCCCTGTCTTCTCGAAACAAAAAAAGACGACGCCCTCGTGAGGTCCCGGTGGGCCTTCTCCGGTAGTGCCAGCAGGTCGATGGGCAGCTGCTCGGCGACACCCTTGGGACGCCCAGGGAAGACCTCCTGCCGGAGCAAGCCTCGGGAGGACGACACTTGGAGGACGATGCAACTTCGTCCAGCCTTGTTACTATAGTAGCTTCTTGATACAGTACTAGTAGTAAGGCCAGGAGCTAGGTTCGTAGCGTCCTTGCTCCTAGTAGAAATGCCCTTTGTTACTATAGACTATAGTAGCTTCTTGTTGCGGTCCTAGCGATGGCCTCCAACCTACTTGCGATGGCCTCCGCCGAGCATGGCGTCCTAATACTCACCGGGTGAGTGGTGAGACCCTTTGAGCATCTATCTTCAAATTCATCTCTGCATTGTCTCCTTCCAACCATGGAAACCTTAAGGCATACTGGAAGATTTCAAACTGATGATGATAATGATGTCTTATCTCCTTCGGTGCTTGGAGATCTTAGAGTGCCCTGTGACTTTTCAAGCGAAGAAACGGTCAAAGAAGGGAAAGACGGCACTCTGGCTCATCTTCTCCTCCCCCGTGTCCTGGCGCCATCGTATTTTTCGTCGCTCGTCGCACCGCACGGGCAGTGCCCGCACCCGTGTTCACCGGGATGCGGCTGCGTGTCGACACGGGTTCAGCGGGGGGGGGGGCGGAAACCATCCAGAGTCGCTCTCCGCCATCCGCATCTCTGTAGTCTATTCATACATGGAGAAGAGACTGATTGATCCGTTCGCAATGGAAATCTGAAGCAGACATCAATGAACTGGGAATTTGAAGGATCCCTGGTACTTAGAAAAGGTACATAGGTAGCTGGGAATCCACCATGGACAATCTGCTTCTTCATTCAACCGTTCGTCTTGGATCAACAGGGACTCTCCTCCTTGACTGTTTTCGTGCGGGGCCGGTGCTAGAGATTCAGAGAGAATGACACATCACAACCACATTGAAAAAGGACCTTCGAATCCTCAAGACTCTCTTGACCTGAGGAAACCCCTTCGTCCGTTCACCCCTTCTCTCAAATCTCTCTGCCTGCATCGATCGGACGAGGCCGGATCCCGCCCCCCTTCGCTCCAGGTCAAGATAGCTTGCGAATTCTCCACTTCCATCTTGCCCTGGCGATCTGGGCCGGAGCGGATCCGACCTTCATGGGGGTTCTTCGATCCGGGGCGATGGTAACCAAGTCGCGGGGGGGGGGCAACACGACCGTTGACGGATCCCAAGAATGGAGGTAGGTGCACAAGGCACCCTCCAACAGGTCGCAGCCAGCATGTTGGGTTGAACACCTCCATTTCGAAGAGCTATTCGAAGGTGCCACGGGGGGATGCTGTTTCGCCTCTCAAGAGGCCTCAGGCCGACCCCTTCGGTGCCGGGCGGTATCTTGGGTCATTCCCTCGGGTCACGACCGAACGGCGCGTTGGGTCTATCACTCAATTGGGGGTCCTGGGAGAATCGGCCCAAAAGTTGCCGTTCAGCGGAGGAAGTGATGCAGTCAACCGGCTTTTTCTCAGAACATTGGCCCGAACATTGGCTGCCACAATCTGCAGTGGCTCCCCGAAAGCCGCGGCTTGCTGCTCTGGTAAATGTGTCCATTTAGATCCATTTAGTTGAAAGCTGAAAGGGTGTAAATTACTTCATTTATGAATATTTATGACATATCCATTTCAATCCCAGCCCACGTGGCCACCCTCGGCTGGCTTTTCTCGCCGTCTCACCCTCGATTGCCTTCGTAGGTCCGGGGCTTCTGTGCGCAAAGGATCTCCACCGCGTCCACCAGGCGACGGCACTCCCAAAGAGACTTCGTGCTCGCGGGCAGACTCAAGGTATCCTCCCAGGTTACTGGTGGAGGTCTCTCGTGTCGCAGTACGATGTGTGGAAGATGTGTTGTAGATGTGGTGGGCATGCATGGTTTTGAACAGCAAGTGTGGGAACCAAGACCCATCGAAGCAAGCGGGATGTCACAGTTGCAATATTCCCAGTACGTTCCATCTTGGAGAATGCTCCACATCGAAAAGACATGACACTACCTCGTTCTTCACGAAGATGTCAAGAATCCTCTCAATCCCCCACCGATAGAGTCCGCCCAATAGACGACTCTTCGCCTTCTCTCCCAGCGTCGCACCACCGCAGTCCGACCGCCTCGTCGACCGCCTCGCCGACCGTCGCGCCTCGTCCGGGCGGCTGTCGGTAGCCGTGGTGTGGTTGCGCACCGCGGCGAAGGACATCGAGCCGCAGCCCAGCTTCAAGAGCCGCACGTCGGTGGTGTCCAAGCCCTGGTCCCGAGCTTGGCCACGGCTTGGCTTCTTTTTGGGAAACAAAAAGAACATGAAGGGTGTGAAAGGGTTTGAAAGGGTCTGAAAGAGTCAAAGGTTCAAATCAAATCTTAGGGGGAAGACCGGGTGAAGCCCATGTTCTTTTCGGGATGAAGGCGAGTCGCAAGATGCCCTTCTATATATAGAAGGTATGGTAAGGGGTGGTTGTAGCTGGAGCTGCAGGTGTTTGGCTCTTGCGTGGAACTATGTCTCCAAGATATCTGTACAGGGTCAACTCGCCGTGCAGGGTTTTGGTTGTCCCCACTGGATTCTCTGTCTTTGGCAGTTGAAGGCCAGAATGATGATAGCTACCCTCCATCACTTCGACTGGTACCTCTTTTCAAAGAACTTGCGCGTCCTTGCGAGAAAGAGATTCAGGTAAATTAGAAGCAAATGATGCAGACCTGCTCCGTTTCGATAGGAATTTGCCGAGGAGCGACATCAATCAATTGAGGGATCGAAAATGAGAAGTGAAGAAAACCAGTGCCCTTTGATTCAGCTGCGCTCCATAGTTCTTCCCAACAACCTTTTGAATAAGCCTCGCCAATCGCCCCGGGTTAGACCATCACCTATGATTTCAACTCATGTCGATCAGAACGAAGACCACCAAACGTCGGTCGGCGGCGCAGTGAAGTGTCGAATACGGTCGAAGCATCGGCTTTCTGTGTCTGTCACTCAAATAATCTCAAATAGAGGTCCAAGGTCGATCATAGAGAGCCAAAGGACAGCGACCATATCTAAGATCTAAGGCTATTGTCGTCTTATAGCAGTCCAAAAATTGATGTGTTTCTTTGCAGCCTTTTGTTGTCCAGCTGTGGTGGGGCTTCTGTATGTGAGTGAGTCTACGAGGCGCGCGGTCACACGGTTGGTCACACGGTCGGCCGCGGCCTTGGACGCTTTCAGATCGTGCACGCTCATGGAGATCAGGCTCGCTCGGAGCTCCCATTTCAAGCACTTCACCTGGCGTTGAAAAGGCAGAGAAGGACAGGGAAAGGAGGTGGTCTGACAAGGTCTGAGGTTCCAGAGTTTGAGCCAATAGGAGAGATGGTGAAGGAATGTGAAGAAGTGTGTCAACTTCCTGAGCCTTTTGAGGCTGGAGGTTAAGCATGGGAGGATTGGATTGATGACCCAACCCATCGGGATATCGCGAAGGGGATTTGCCACGTTCGGCTTGGCGGAACAAGAGATCTCCGAACAGCTCAAGTGTTCCATGCACGTTCGCCCTTTCCAACTATGAATGTCTTTTGCTGGCGATGTGTATCACAAGCCCTCCCGGACCAGCAAAAGACGTCTTCCAAGCATGAATGGTCCGACCCAATGATCTCGGTCCCCTCGATGCCTGCTGCTTGGAGAGGCCCGCACGAGTCCTGCTCGGCTGCCCAAAACAAGGCCCAACACATGAAGAACATGGCATGGCCCAGATGCTGCCCAGCATGCGTCCTTCAGTCTCGATTCTTTTCAGTGTTAGAGTCCAACAACACCCATGAAGAAATTATGAGTAGATAATGAGTAAGCCTACCAATCCTTCAACAGTCCCCTCAAACCCCCCAAAAAAAACTTCTGGAGATCCCACCGTCCTCAACAAATGCTTCCAAAGCAATGTCAAGCTGCGCCAAGGCCCAAAGACCTGGGGCACCGAGTGGAAGTCCGTCTCTGGAGCCTCCACCCCCGAAGCCGGAGGCTTCTTGGGGTAGAGCACATCCACCACGGCAGGAGTGTTCATCAGGTAGGGCAGGAAGGTGTCGTAGAAGAGCTCTTCCGGTGCCTTCGGTGGGCCAACAAACCGGCGGAAGGACCGGTTGGAAGGACGGCAAACATCCAATCCATTCATTCGAAACAAGTAGGGTCACGCAACAAAGAGGACGAGGACCTCAGAACCAAAGGTTTCAGTTTAGTTGTGAGGGATGGTGTGGGTTCCAGTCTCTGGGCGAGAGCTATCGAACACCCAACTGAGGCTGCTGGGGATCCCATGACCCCCGAATTTGGGGTCTTCGACAGGTCTCCCTGACATATTAGTAACAAGGGCGTCGCTACTAATTAGTAGCAAGAAGCTAGTAGTAGCTCCTGCCATTACTACTAGAACAAGAAGCTACTAGCAGCTAGGGCATCGCTACTAGTAGCAAGAACGCTCTTCCTTCCATCTCTTCCATCCCGGAAAACCACCGGAAAAAACCACCGTTTCAGTCGCCGCCAGGGCCGGACGATGCACGGTGCCGCCGCTGTCGCGCCTTCTCGGAGGAGATGAGACACGCGGTGACCATCGTGGTCCAGAAAGCTTCGTCCTCCGCGCGTTCGCAGGGAATGCCATCGAAGATCATGCCTCGAAGAGGTTCGGAGGACGGGGTGAAAGGGGGAGGGTGAAAGGGAGAAGGCGATTCGATCTTTGCAGGGTCTGAAAAGGAAGTTGTGGAGGTTTGGAGGGGATCAGGAAGTTTGGAATGGTACTGCCATGGTCAAGCTTTTTCTTTTTTGGGATGACAATAATTGTTGCAGAAGGATCGTTTTGGTGATCCATTCAATCAATGACATGATCCTGGTTCGCCAGCCTGGGAAAGTGAATCCACTGTGGGGTCAAATGGAGTAGTTGCCTTTGGCTTTTGGCTAAGCCTATCTGCTCTGTGATGACACTAGCTCTAAATGACCAAGAAACATGCTACAAGCTTCACTTCACTTGTCAGCATCCTTTGAGCTATCTTGTGGCAGGTCATACTACCCCGACCAGGCTCCTTTCTTCTACTGCTTCACTGCATTGACTCGTCTTCCCTATCTCCCAGATCGGCTCTATACATCTTTCTTCAGCCCAGTGACATGTCTGATACTTCAGCTTTGGCGGGCTTCGCGCGGACTGCCGGTGGTAGATGGTGCCATCCCCGCCGTTGCAAATGGTCATCCGGTAGCAAGGCGCGCCTGAAGAAGAGCGGCCGCGATCGGTGAGGCCGTCGGCGGAGGCGAGGCCGGCGATCGGTTACTGGAACCGGAGCCGATGCGCCTCACCGATTCGTTTTTTCAAGTTCGGGGAAGAGTCGACAAAGTGGTCGACTCTTTGTTGAAGGTTTGCTCCAGGATTTTTGGGAGGGAGGTGCCAAAATGATGGGGCATGATGGTATCCCCAGCACCACACTTGAGAGAGGAGGGGGTGAACGAAAGGTAGCAGGCAATCACAAGTAACCCTGGTAGAAGTCCACGACGGCGTGAACCGGCGCAGTGGGGATTTGATCCAGGGGGGGGGCCCCCCCCCCGACGAACAGAATCAACTCTTACAGGACCAAATTCAATGCACAATCCCAACTCCTGATTGTAATACATTTTTGCTAAAGCAAGGAGAACTCAGGTAGCTCAAGCTACCTTTCGTGATTTCTGTTGCCCTCAAGTATGAAACAGAAGCATCAATACTGTGCCCACTGTTGGTGGGCTATTCCCTCAAACGCGCAGCTGAAGTGATTCTTTTCTCATGCCCCAAATTCCACAATGTGTTGGGCCCCCAATCCTGAAGTGTGTATTGGATTGCGGATTCTTGTCATTCTAGTGTCTGGGGTTTCTAACTACAACTCTTGTCTTGGGTGTTTCAGCTCCACGTGTGTGACCGGCCCCGACCGGCCCCAAAGCACCACAGTGTGTGACGGGACCCGTCCTTTCTCTTCCTTCCGCTCGAGGAGTAGGGGCACAATGGCGTTGCCGAGCGCCAACGGGATGATGCAGGCCTCAGTGAAACGAAAACGAAACCCCAAACGGACAACTGTAAAAAACATCTTCTCGGACAACTCGGTCCCATGCGTCCACCACTTCCAGGTGTCTTTTTCTGCGTCCGCCACAGAACTATGTTTCGCCATCTGTCCACACAGACTCTGACGGGAACCAACAGCGGACCCTGCAACGGCCACGGCGGACGCGGAGCGAAGTCCAGCGACGTCCGTTCGATGTGTTCGCTGCAGAATTTTGGCGAAGAACTGTCTAAGGGTTCAAGGTGGGGTGTGCTGTGGGGTCCATCTGGATGCTAGATGGTCATCTGGTATCCAGATCTTGACCAAATCAGCATCTAGCGTTCATCTAGACTCACTTTGCGCCCGATCATCTCAATTTTGCGGTGACACGCCAATAGGCGGTCGGAAAACCACACGGGTTCAGCATGGTTCGGCCAGTTTTTTCAGTCTTCCAAAGCAGGTGGCACAGAGCCCATTGGCGGTCTGCCTTGGACGTCTGAGTCTTTCCACCACGAGCTCTTGGCATCTTTCCACGGAACCATCCGGAACTCTTGGCATCTCCCCTCTGAGCTCGAGGCATCTCCCACATTGGCCATCTTGCTTCGCAGCTGTTTCACAGCCTTCAGGTAGAAGACGATCACCTGTTTCACAAGCGAAACCAAACACCACCAATAGCATACAGCCGCTATGACCTGAGCTTGAAGGTATACCTGCAGCATGAAAGAGATAAGAACTGAGAACCGGAGCTAAAAGAATGCCACCGATGATTCGTCCCGAGCGAAGATGCGTGAAGACGGTGCCTTCGCTCGCTTGGACCTGTGGAATTGGTCATCTACTCCCTACTCTCTACTCTCTACTCTCTACTCTACTCTCTCTCTCTCTCTCTTTCTCTCTATCCCTTGACTCCACGGTGAATCCAAACTTAGGTGAGGGGGGCCTTTTCTTCCACTCAGACTGTCCATTGACGTCTCCACAACCCCACAGCCCATGTCATCCAAAAAGCAACTCACCAAAACCCGAGTCCAAAACTCCTTAGGAGTATAGTGTATAAAAACGCTCTCTCTAAAAACGCCCCCGTCACCGGTCGTCCTCGGCTCGCCTGAGGTTCCGGAGATTCGAAGCAGTTGTTCAAACGCCGGTAGAGCGGCTCCGCGGCCTGCGCTCGTCAGTCTCGTCCGGTGTCATCGGTTCGGAGGGTTGCGTCGGTGCCAAGAGCTGAAGATGATCAGAGATCCGAAATGGGAGGAGCTCAATCTGTGACAAGTGAAATGATCCTGTAGTGTCTTTACTTGAGATTCCAAAATGGAAGAAATGATCATCTTCAAGCACATCGAATTGTGGAACCCTACGTCCAAGCAGAAGACATTTTTTAGTGCCTGTTAGCTGATCTTGTTGGAGGCGCTCAAGGTTCTATGTCTGAAGGAGGCCATTTTGGAGAAAGGGGGCGAAGAAAACATTGGACAGGGACTGAGGCAAACCCAGACCATCCATGTTGCTCTTTTGAAGACACTACAGGGTTGAGACTGATGCTCCAAAAACCCAGAGCCTGTCACCCGTCCGGTCTTTTTGTGCCGTCTTGATTGAGCTGTGGTTCCAACTGATCTCACAGGCGTCTCATGGTGGTCTTCTTCCAGCTCCCTCAAAGGTGTTTCCAACTGCTCAGGTAGGGAGGGTCATGTGCATATTCCAGCCAATGACAAGTTGACACGACCCAGGGTGAGAACATCATCTTCCAATGGTTCCGTTGCAAAAGCTTGTTGTCCATAATAATTCATATACAGCTCCAATTGTAGAACTCTCAAGAGAAGATCCAGATCAAAAGATGAACTGTCAACAGGTGTGGACATCACTCTATCCTACTCTATCCATCCGATGGTGGGCCTCCGTATTCCGGAAGCCAACTCATCCCATCCAAAAAAACTCCTTTTTTCAGCTCACGGCAACTCTCAGCCGCCGGCAGATCTCTTCCAAGGTCTCTCCACAGCGCCACTCCCTCCGCCACGTCAACCACCTGGACTGCTGTGGGTCTGCACGGGTAGGACCGATGTTGAGGATGGCCAAGGGCTTCTGGAGCGCTGCTGCCTCCTTCACCAAGGAGAAGGCGCTAAAGACCTGTGAGTGCCAATAGGTTTGGCGGGAGGCGTTGTGCTCTTGCTTCTTCAGGCTCCATGTTGAATTGGTAGCTAGGAGCCAAATCGAGCCCACGGGGAGGTTTTGGACCAAGTCTTCAAAAAGGACACATGCCATGCAGTGCTGCAGTCCCCATCCCCCCGCTCCACACACCTGCAGTGAGGAGCCCATCACCAGCAGCGCGCCGGAGGTCTCCACAGCTTCACGTGCCGCACCTTTGACGGACTCCTCCAGTGCGCCGCCAAAAAAGACCACCTCGCTACGTGCCACGAGAACGCGTACCCGGCTTTTACGGGGGAAAGGTGGGAGGATTTGGCGTGAAGTCAGCGCGTAGCCGCAGTCGTTTTCAAGCACAGAACCTCCAAAGCTAACCTCTCAGCGCAAACCGCTAGTTTCACTGCCGCCTTGCTTTTGGTCTCCTCCACTTGGGAAACTATCTTGCAGCACCTACTCCAGAAACAACTCCAGCCAAAATCATGTCCCTTCCTCTATAAACAGAAGGACCCTCCCTTCTAATCCTAAGAGAACAAAGGGTTGCTGTTTTGGAAGCAAACGACAGAACTATACCGACCTTCGAAGACTTTTCACGAAACACCAGAGCCGCACCCTTCTCGCCTAAAATCCGCACCATTCTCGCCTGAGATCGCCCAAAAGAACCACCATGAACCGAACCCACCAGTTCGACGCGGCGCTTCTCCGACGCGGAATCCGCCTTCGGCTTCCAAACGCCGCCGCAGGCGTCGCAGCTCGGCACGTGGAAGGCCTCGAAGCTCTGCACCTGGAGCTCCGCGTCGCCGTCGGCCCTGGCGGCAACACCGGCGTGGCACCGGGTCAGAAGGACTGCAGTGAAAGGCCACTGGGAGTGAAGCAATGCAAGAAAGTCACGGACCAAATGACAAGTACCGTATCTCTCCATCTTTGCATCTGGATTCCAGTTTGGGAAACCCATGATTCCATGACCCATCCATCCAATCCGCCTGACGTCAATCTGGCCGTGCCGTGGCAGGAAATGATCCATCCACTCGGAGTTCACGGTTTCCAGTTCTTCCTGTCGGAGTCGAAGAACCCGACACGACGGACACGACAGCTCACCGGGCGGGACCACGGTCACGCGGTGAAGAACTTGTTCACCGAGTGAGCTGCTCGGTTCGGTGCCACCCTTTCACAATGGGCAACCCATGATTGACGGCTCTTTGCAGCTTTTCGTCTGCAAGTTGCGGAGAATTGGATGCCACATTCCGATCATCACGATCGCCAAACACTACAACACCTCGCCACCACCGCCCATAGCCCCCACGTTCCCGCATATCCCAAACCAGTGACAAATCAGCAACAAAGCACTTGTGCAAAGCTCAAGCTGAACCAGCCGAGCCCTGACTGCCCGACACTCCTGGTAGCCGGAACGTCGCCTGGAGCGAAAGCAGCTGAGGCACTGAACCTCATCGTTGCGACCATTGCAGCTCGATGACCTTTGTCGAGCCGCCCTTCCTGGTGTGGGCTGAAACGACGACGGAAACGACTGAAACATACTCGACAAACATACCTCTCTGGCCACCGAAAGGCCTCGAGGACGTGAATCATCGAACTGTGAAATAGGACGGACCGACATGCGGACATCGATGCCGCAGATGGCAGACAGTGCTTTGCAGGTGAAAGGCCGAACCTCTCTGGGTGGAAGAGGCTTTCCAAGTCTCTGCCAACCTTCCTTTCCAAGTCTCTGATGAAGCCCATCCACGTTTTGCGTCACCACCGTCCGCACATAGCCTTGTTGTTCCAGCTTTCCCAACGCACGGTGCGCCACGTTGGGTTGCGCTTGGTCGAAGAAACGCCAGCCACGCAGCGAGCGAGCCCAGTAGCGCTTGCGGTTCACAGCGCTGGAAACAAACTCTTGGTGAGTCATGGGCTTATGGCCCTTGGAATAGGATCCTCACAACCAACCGTGACCGCGCGTGCGCAAACGAGCTTCGCAATGCACAAACCACCAACTGGGCAGCTGTTGTTAATTCACGGAGATTCTCTAAATCTTCGTGACCTCGCAGAAATGGTGCCCATACTCCAAAAGCTGCACATCGCTATCTTTAAAGACTCATTGAGTCTTTGGAAAATCTGATGATTTTTTCATCGCCCTTGCCATGTCACGGATCGCTCCCTCCCACTCCACACCGTCCTTCAGGGCTCCTGTAGTCTGGTATCCCACTCTCCGTCGAGAAGCCCGCGCCGGTGAGGCACAGCAAACTGCCGGGCGCGTGAGTTGAGGGCGGCCGTTCGAACGGTCGCCTCTTTCGGGGGGGCTCTGAGTGGAAGCAAAGCTTGAGACCTCTGCAGTTGAGTTGTTGGCGATCCAAGTTTGGACTGCCACATGGTGCTGTTGTGAGCGTTTGGTCGACAAATTCTGCCACGTGGTGAGCGTTGTCGCACCTTGGTTTCTGCAGGCCTTTGTGGATCTTTGGACCTTTGGAGGGCGAAGCAAATGTCTTACCTCCAAAAGACTCCAAAGTCGATCCAAACGATGTCATTTTTGGGCAAACTCTCTTCGGCAAAATAGAAAAAAAAGCACCGACCCTCCCCACCCCTCATCGGACGCATTGAGGATGAAATCTTTCAGGCTGTCCAGATCCTCGTTCGAGGCCTTGGGGAAGAACCCCACAAGCGGCTTGAGGAAGTAAACAAAAGGCGCCAGGTAGCAGGTAAGCCAAAAGCCAAGTGCCAACTGCTTCTTTGGCGCTGGAGGCAGACCAGAAGACTAGAAGTCTAAGAGTCTAAGAGAAAGAAAGCCTTTATCTTGATGGTCACCTACTCTGCTAACATGAAGGGAGACAAAGGAAGGCTAGTAGTGAAACTCAAACAAGTCGTCAAAAAGAAGGCACGAAGCTTTTCTCTCCACACCCAGTGGGAGACAAGCAGTCAGGTCAGGGTGAGGCATCCTGCGACAGCCAATCGCTACAATCCCTTAGGAAGCAAATGTGCAGAGAAGAAAACGATACCGACATTCAAATACATGAACCTTCTACATACTTACATTACATATCTTGAAAAGTATATTGTATACTTATAATATGTAGTATATACATATCTTACACTCAACGGAAGCCACCCTCGTTGTCCCAACTTCCCACCGCCCCTTTCCTGCGTCTCTCCACCGAGCCGCTGGCCGCCCCACCGGCGCAAAGCTCCGCCGTACGAAGACGCTCCGCGGCGGAGCTGCGCGCGCCATGGAGCGGCGGCACTGGTGGCAGGTCTTTTTTCGGATTTGGGGGGGGACAAAGCAAGAGGCTTTTGGGAGGCACCGAACACTGGTACCGCGGAACACCCATGTTCTCTGCCGGGGTTGCCAAGTTGATCCTTGAAACCCAAACATGCTGGCTCTCGGTCAAAGAAGTCTGGCCATTCGGATGGTCTCCACTGGTACCGCGGACTGGTACCGCGGACGTCCGACGTCGCGACCGCGACGGCCCGGGTGAACACCCAGAGGGGCTCGGAGCAGACGAAGGGGCACCCTGGGATTCCAAGGACTTTGGCATTTTTTTTGGTCTTTTACCGAAGAGCCACTGTTTTACTAAAGATGTTCGACTACAAAACCAGGCCTACCATTCTTTTCATGGTCTTAGACGAGACGAAGTGGGGAGTTCCTTCGACCAATGGTCCCATCAAGAGGATCACTGCAATGACATGCCCAGCCGATCAACAAGTTTCTTGGAACAATCTGGTCCTTGAGAAATGCCACGCGGTCAACGGTGTTGAGCGAAAATGGCTGCAATGACATGCCCGGCCGATCCGCACGCTCGGACATGGTACCACTGGGTGGTGGATCTCGAAATGATGCAGGTAGCTTGTATACATATATATATAGTTAATATACAGTATATGATTCCCAAAAGTGGCCCCAAGCTGGTTTTGACCCAGGCCACCTCAAGCTCCAATCAGGTCCCAAGCTTGGAGGAGCAAAATGAAGTCCCAACGAAGCTCACCCTTCGAGAAAACACAGTTCGGAAGGTTTACAAGGAAAACAACACAAATAGTAGCACCACTAATGTGGACTCTTGATTCATAACCCCCCATATCAAAAGGATGTCCAATTCAAATGGCGGGGGTTTATGGTCCTCAAGCGAAAACACATGATGCTTCCCCGTACCATCCTGAACCTCCGAGGTTGATCCATTGGCCCGGCCTTGATGAGGGCGACCGTGCCTGCTGCATCCTCAACACCAGTCGCCGAGCGCTTTTCGTTCGCAGCGCGAGACGCGAGGAGTTTTGGGTCGCATCGCTCGCTGCTCTGAGTGGGGTGGGTTTTTTCCGTCGAAGGCATCCAGTGAGTGGAGGGGGGTCACCCGCAACGTCCTCCGTGCTTCAGCACCCAACTCCATGGAACGACTGATGGGACCTATAGCTCAGGGACCTATAGCTCACAGAGCCGGAAATGAGCCCCATGGCAGAGATTCTCAAGAAACTCCATTCAGATCCAGGAACATATCTTGCAAATGTCAAAATGGTTTCTTGACCCCTCCTTTGTTTTCCGACATGTCCCTCTTCCAAAGCCTCTGGATTTGTTGGTGTGAAATCTGGATTCACCCCCGCAACCTTCACCCCTCGTCCCTCTCCCATTTCTCCAGTTCTCTGATCTTTGGGAGATGAAGAACACTTCGGACATTGCTCCGACTCCCGCTCCCGCTCCTTCTGCATGGTCTCGCTCATCAACCCCACGATGCTCGCCGGCGACGGCGAGGTCTGCGTGATCGCGCGAACGGCACGGCCGCTCCGCACGGACGGACGGTTCTCTTCGTCGGCGGACTCGTCGCCGATTTCGGCGACGCTAGCTGGTCTGTCTGGTCACCTGTTCGGCTGAGGCCCCCATCCATGTCTTCAGCTTGTTTTGAAGAAGGCTTTGGTTTTTCAGGAGATATTCAAAGGTCAATCGAAGGTGAGGGTGTGAGGGACATCGTGCTGTGGAGAATCGAAAGGGGAGAAGCCGATGAGCAGGAGCAGCAAAATGGAGCAAATGCCACCCGATCCAACCCAGAATGCCGGAAGGTAGGAAGAGTGTACCTGAAGCAGCAAGTCGGGGTGGTTCCTGTCTAGTGAAGTGTTGCTTAGGTGGTCTTGCTTGTGAATGGTTTCAAGACTTCAAGACACGAGAAACCACCCCAGCTTTGATACCAACGTCAGGTTTCAGGAACAAGACTTCGACGAATCGGCAGTCAAAAAGAGTTCCACCCCTCCTCGCATCATCGCATCAACTCCACAAATGTCACATTCCAAAGGTCAACAAGACACCCCCATTCCAAGCGGTGTGACTCGGTGGGACCGGACCCCGGTGGCGCCGTGTTCGCTCGCCGTGTTCGCTCGCGACCCGTGGCGCCTGGAAGATCTTCTCGGCCGCCAGGATGAAGACCTGGAGAAGGCCACGTGGGGAGGTTCGAAACGAAAACCGCGAAAAGCGCGGAAAAACCCAGTCATCACAAAGATCGACACCGGGAATTGGACCAAGCTGTGGCTTTGGTTTTGGAGTTCGACCCATTCAGAGATCACCCCAGGTGTCTGCCTATAGGCCTATAGAGGATGTTTTGCTTTAAGCAGGTTGGATGCTTTGGGATAGACAAGTTGACATGCGCACATCCAAAGCCAAGGCTCACCACAGCTCCCAAGAGTCCCAAATCCACCCACCTCACAGTTTCCGGATCCAACCACCTCCACAGGACCCTCTGTGCCCTTCAAAAGAAAGAATGTGTCTATGGACCTCAAAGGAACTTGGAAATCGTTAAAACACCCTCTCATGTCTATCTCATCCAACCCTTAAGAAAGGGTCAACCACCGGAAATGGTCAACCACCATGCAATATCTTTGGATGTGGGGATCTCCAGAAAAAGAACACCAAGTAACACCCGTTTCCTCAACGACTCCGCCTGGAAGGTCGTGAGCGGAGCCCCGGAGTCCGATGGGTAGACATTCTGTCCGAACCTCGCGATGCGAGGGCGTCGACGGAATGCGAGCCCGCGTGCTGCGCTGGGGAAGACGTGGGAGTCTGCGGATCGATCTTCAGGTCTTCAGGTCTGGAGAATCTGATCGGACTGGGAGTCGGAAGCCACGACCCATGGACGATCCTCTTGTCCGATCGAACGAGGGACCATGGACGGGGGGGTTCTACGTCTATCCTTGGGAGTTGCTAGCGAGAAGCTGCCAGCAACCGTCCCAGTGAAACTCTTTCGTTCGCGAAGACCATTGCTTTGCGAACGACCGGAAGTCAATGACGCTCCTTGAAGAACGCAAGGTCATCGCTCCAAACGAGATGGAACTCAAGAAACACGACCAAGTTATAGGATGTTTTGAATACTCGTCACAATGTCTGTGTGTGGGCACCCTCCTGTGAGAAAAAATACGAAAGGGACTCCACGGTGCCGCTTCCCCGGCCCTCGGAACTGGGGCTCCCCTGCTCCGCCAAGAACCAATCCGAGCGCCACAGAGGCATGGCCTCGGGCGATCCGTTCGGCTCTAAGTCATCCGTTGCATCATGACCCATGAAATCCACCCGCACCGAAGGTTTGGTGAAGCTCAGCTGATTAAACATGTTTGCTTCTTGCTCATTGGTTTCGCGCTGGTGGTTCAGCTGCACAACGGCTGATCCATTGAGAAGTACTTCGGGGAAGATTAAGGTCGACTGAATTCCACCTACAGGTGCTCACAAACATGCCTTTGATACATTCGCGGGAAACATATGCTGAGACTTCAAACATAAGCATCCGCCAAACCTAACATAGAACAGAGACAAACAAAAACCGAACAGTGAGGAACAGCATGAAACCGAGAAAATATGGGCAGGCCCAAGAGCTAACCTGGACCAACCCTGGTGCGGGTCTAGCTATATACTCTGAAAATGCTTCCATGTTGGGCTAGGTCAGCTAGAACCCTGGTGTTTCTCCGTCATGAACCCCCATATTCTCAGCAATCTCCCTCACTATATAATATGAAAAGTTTTCCCATTTGATGTTTCAAACCTTCACTTTCTCAGGTGTATCTCTCAGAAGCTCCGAAGTGGATGAGGAAATCAGGTAAAGCTCAGCACAAATGCAAAAAGGCCCGATGAGATAAGCTTCCTTGCCGAAGGAAGGTCCATCGGGACAATCTTCGCAGAATCCGTGATGCCCATGCAGCTTCAAACAAACGATCCGCACAACGAAAATCACCGACTGTAAAAAGAGAAAATCAAAAACCTTGAACTGCACAACCTCTTTTGTTGCTTGGGGGAAGGAACTTCCTTCAAACTGCTCAAAAACCTCCATCAATCGTACCTGCACATGCCATGGTGTTCCTCATCGTTTTCGGAAAACCCACCCACCCACCGTGGGGTCGGAGCCGTGGTCCGCAGCCGTGGGGGCCCCGAGCTTTCCGGCGAAGGATCGGCGTCAAGGAGAGTTCCTGTCGGAGGAGAGCCACCGCAACCGGTGAGTCCAACAACGCCAAAGCGCGTTGGAACGGGAAGGGAGCGTTGGGAAGGGGGACTTGAAGTTTCTCCTAACCTGACTTGAGCAAGCCTTCGGTAGTTGGACAGATCGTACCAATACCCTGCATTTGGCTTTCGCGAACATGTATTGGAGGAATCTATGGATGTTCCATTTTTCCAAGTGCGGATCACTCTGTGACAATTATCAAGCAACATTCTCTTCGTAAATGCCAAACACAGCCTCCAAAGCTGGTGATCTCCCGTTTCTTCACGCTGTGCCAAGTCATTTTGCCGGGTATTTCATGACTAGAATGGAACTTTGCTAAGCGCCGGGTATTACAGATTTGCTTTCATAAGCTTCTTGCTAAAAATTAATCATATGATCCGTATTATCTTCTGCTTGATTAATGCCAATGGCCCGATGGTGTCCATTAGGAAAGTTTTGAACTCATTGTAAACTTCTTTGAATTTGAAGTTTGGGAGGTTCTTTTGCGTGTCTTAAACCTCAATGAAATCTTCGTATCTTCAGTTTCTTTCATTTTGACATAGTCATGAGTCATCTTATCGGTAGGCACTCAAGATAGGTTTTCACAGGTCTGAGGGGAAGATCATCTTCCAGACCTGGTTGTAGGGGGGTATGCCAGCTTTTAAGGGAGCCTAGGTGAAGAGGCCGAATTCCTGAGCTCGATTCTTGCAGCAGAAAAATACCAGTTGAGGCCTTCATTCCATAGACGGAAGCGCCGAACTCGGCACAAAAGCGGTTTCTTCTCACATCCGGTTAGCCGCAGGCGCCTCCTCCCTTGCTTCTCACGCCCGGTCCTGCTGAGGAAGCTGCTCCTTGAGATAGTCACGGATCTTGGCCGAAGCCGAGCGGTTTTGGTATCGCACCTCGACGAGGGCAGAAGTGGAGGTGAAGGTGAAGGCGGCCGGTGGTTCTGCAGTGGCTGAGTGGAAATGGACTGGAAAAAAGATCCGAATGGAGAGTGACCACTCTAAACATTGTATTGGAAGTCGTGAAATGATCTATACTTGGGCACCCTTTGTGCAACAGACTCGCAGTCTGCAGCCTTGACCGTTCGGTCGCGCCTGTTCGAGCTGCTTCATTGACAGGCAGTCACCTTGGTTTCGAGGAGTTTTCAGAGGCTTGGGCTTGGGGTACCGCTTAAAACCCCCAAACAAAGTCATCCACCACCATCTTACAAAGAGGGTCTAGAAGATAACTTATCCAGCTGGTTGCTACGTGAAGAACTGGAAAGCTCACCAGCTCTTAAGATTCCACACATCCAGCTCTCTTGCTGTTTCTTGTTCTGAAAACACCGTCGGCCCGTTTCGACGCTCGGCCCAGGCGCTCTGGAACGAACACCGTCGCAAGAAGCATCCGCCCGGCATCCACGAGGCCTCACACGGAGGCCGTACACGGAGGCCGGAGATGGCGTGACCGACAGGTTCTCCCGGTGCCAACTCATCGGCCTTTCTTTCTTCAGGATGCCCTCCAAAGAACAACAAAAGTGAGAAAAAAAGAATATGTTGTTCAAAAAAAGAAACATGTTTCTCTTTTCAAGAAGTGCAGTAGAAAGCCCGTCTTCCCAGTCTCCTCACCTATCCGTTCATGGCTCGTTCAGAGGCCAGTTCCGATGGCCCCGTGCCACGCGCGCACCTCCGCTGCAGCGAAGAGGAGGAATCCGCCCCGCTTGATGGCCAAGGGTGACTTGCCTGGCGGAAAGGGAAGGCCGAAGATGAGTGCTTCCGTTGTGAAAACGGGTGACAAGGGGAGGGAAATGCAGGAAAATTCCAAGGGGCTTCAAGCTGGTCACTCTGCAAGGATGTTCCCTTGCTTGGGCATTCTTGAGGCCACATGTTTTGTGAACTTTGCCACATTTTGTAGGTTTCCTCAGCACAACTTTGTTAGCAAAACTGTCATTTAGACATCTGTTATCAAGGGCTCTCAATGGAAAAAGGAACTAACTAGTCGCCACAAGCTCATCTACTTCAAGCCTAGCCGTCTTGACTGCCCCTAACTAATGTAGTATAAATTGCTGCCTCCAGCTGGCCAAAACGCTTCCCTTGAAACAATCAACGCTGAAGCCAAGACGCTTCTCATGGCACCCCTTTGTGGTACTGACCGATCCGCCGTGCCGGTCGCGCGTGGTCAGACCGCTCTCAGCGGACGGCACCTGCACCTTCACCGATGACCACCCAACTCTCGCCCTGGTCGTCGCGGACCTGGCGGACGCGGAGCGACGAATGCCACTCCGCCACGGGATGTGGTGACGAAAGGAAACGAAATGCCAAGGCTCAAGATCTGAAAACACCTGTTAACTCTGAGTGAGAATATGGGAACTCTGCTGTGACCTTCGGTCAGTGAGCCAGTATGCTATTCTTGCGTGTCATTCCTTCAAGCAAACCCTATCTCCAAAATGTTCCAGCCGATCCAGGCCATGCTTTCCGTCCAGCCCAATGTCCGTCGACGGAGCCGTCTGGCCTGCTTTCCGTCCACAGTCACAAAGGCACGGCCCTCCTTGCAGTTCACCACCAATGTGATCTCATGCCACCTGGGCATTGGCCAGTTCTCCCACCTATCTCTGGAGTGTGTGCCATGGTGAGGTCAAACGCCCACCACACAATCTTTTCAGGCCTCAACACTTGACCTTTGGCCTGGAATCTCCGATGTGAAAGCCGGTTGGCAGCGCTGATCGAAGAACTGTATTTTTAAAGGGATTCTCCATCTCTACCTGTAGGTACTATGGGCAGAGTGGTACAGTATCTCCAAACACTAAAAAGCACCCACCGACCGAGCCGCCCAACCGACCGATCGACCTCCCGCCCGCCTCCCCGGCCGCAGCTCCGATCGGCTCAGCACCACGTTGCCCAACTGCGGACGCCGCGGAGAGGAGGGTGTCCCGTCCGGGGCTGGGACTCCACTGGACTGGTCCAGGAACCATATGTGTGTACTTCTCTGCATATTCTTGTATATACTTTGTTATAATTTATAATACTATATATTATATGAGTTTGAGAGGGGGAGGGTGCAGCATGTGTCCCATGTCAGTCACCAACTATCTACACAAGACCAACGGCCGGAGCTTCGGAGATGCCCCGTTTCGCCGTGGCCCCCGTTTCGACTCGCCTGGAGGTGCCACGACCAGGTGGTGCCCGGCTCGGGTGGCTCCTGACGCTCCCCCTCCGCCCGACCTCGAGTAGGTCGGTTTGGGGAACCCAACATCTCGGTCACCGTGTGCAAACGAAGTTGGATCACCAGTGAAAACCGAAGTACACATGGATGGGTTCCATGAAGTGCACAATAACACAACTCAACATTGGAACTCTCTCTGGACTCACGAGAAACTCGTTTGCGTTGGTCAACTCTGTGTGTTGAGTAGTGGCAACCAAGCTTGTAGTACTTTGTGTGCCCAAATGATGGACAAGATCTTCCCTTCTCCGCCTTGTCAGTCTACAACTCACTGCAAGGTGAAAAGTGGCGCACCTCTGAGAAAACCAGAGGAAACCACCCCGTTTGGGGCCCAAAAGGCTCAGTGTTTTTGGGATTCCCTCCAAACATCAGCAGCTCAGATTCTCGGCCTCTGCGTAGTCCCGGTCAGCCGGGTGCACCTCATCTGCACCGGACAAACGGCCCGAAGGGTGACCGGTTCGTGGAAAAGTGCGGAATGCTTTGCAGAGGGCGGGTTCCACATTATGAAGGTTTGTTGGGCAGAGGCCAGTGGTGAATATTGTCAAGGATGGGCAAAGGGGCTTTGGCCATCCATCCACAGCGGGTGATTCTCCGCAGAGTCGGCCAGAGATCTTCGAAATTTGTTACTTGTTCCTGTTCTGACAAACACATACAAACCGACCAACCGCACACGTTCCGCGTGAGTTCACGCGGCTTTCCATTCGACGCAGCCGTCCGTTCACTCGGTTTGGGTTGGGCACCGTGTGCTCTGAGCTCCCTCGCGGGAACGTAGGCGTCCGCCACCGCCGACAGCTGTGGCAAGCCTGGTGCGGTGCGGCACTGTCACTCGGCGCAAGCAGGTGCACTTCGGTCGCCGGGCGAAAGCGTCACGTTGCTTTGGAACCCCTCACCCGGTGGTCGCAAGCGAGCCAAGAGCAATTCCCTCGTTGACAACGTGTGGGCCCCATAAGCCGACCATTCTCTCATCCGACCGATCTTCCCAGCGATCAAAAGGCCCACTCCGCCTGACACTTCTGGCCAGGACGCCTGGCGTTCACCGGGCCGGTCCGGGGGGGTCAAGAGGTGCTTCCTTTCTTTTCAGGGGTCTGAAAGCCAAGATTCATGCCCCAGCTGTAGATGTCTTCTTGGGTTTCTGCTTGGGACAGAACGCAAAATCCAGCCAACATGTGCAAGGGCCATCGGCAGTGCATCTGACATACTCAGCAGTCTACATGAACGAATGGAGAACAGCGCAGTCAGAGTTCAAGTTTGACCAGCATTCAAATAGCTTCCGCATTTTTCTCGGAACCATGGAAAGTCCTTGACACAAGCGAAAGGTCAAATAATTGAGAGCTCCAACAAGATCTAAGCTCAGCAAAACATGTGGGCAGTGAGCATTTTTCAAGTTGCACTGTTGTACCCATCCAAGTATCCGAAAGTAGACCATCCGAGCATGTTCCTCTACATACTCTGCATCTATCATGTAGAACCATCTATATACTCTAGTCTATCTCAAGAACATCTCAAAACCCAAACCACAACAGCAGAAAGGGCAGAACCCCCCCCAAAAAGAAACACACGTGAGGTTCTTGAATGTTTCGACCATGTCTCGTCTAGTCCTCATAAAGACCATCCCGAACACACGTTCTACTCGCCTGCACCAGTGCCACGGGATGCTGAGACCTGCAGGGGAGGGAGAGGGAAAAAGAAAGGACTTGAGGTTGGATGACAGGCATGAATTTGTTGCAGGGTCTTTGTCAGATTCGTCAAACACGACGCTGGACATGATGTGAAGAAGATCAATTTACAAGGTCTTTACAAAGAATATCAAAGACTTACAAAGACCTTCGGACCTTCGGATTAAGGGTGCTTTGTGTTTGACATGTGGACAAAGGTGCAATGTGGACAAAGGTGCAAGTTTGCCTGGTTTCCAGTATATACTGAGTTCTTCAGTTGCCAAAGCAACTCCAGCCCCTTTCGCTCACCGAGCTGATGACTCCATCCTACGACTCACCTAGAAACAAAGGGGACCGCCTCTGAAGAGGGAGCTTCAACTCCAAGCTCAAGGTGTACTTCACGTGGTCCTGTCCGACTTCGGGTCCGCCGGGCCGACGATGGCGGCGAGTGACGGCTTTCTTCCGGAGCGGTTGGGGGCTCCTCGACTGAGAGACCGGAGACACCGAGACGATGCTTCGGCCACGAAGACCCCAGACAGAGTCCGAGCTCCAAGCCAATGAGAGCATTGCAGAAGACATCCCACAACCCGAGCGGTCTTCATCTTCTACAAAGTGCATGGAAAGCCAACCCTTGTGGCACCTTGGGACCTTCGGCGATCACGAAAACTGTCGTGCATGCTGTCATCCTCCCGGCCTCTCAGCCGTTACGAAAACTTCCCACCAGCCGTTACTGTCGTTCTGCCATTTCTGCACTCCAAAAGCAGAGGGGTTGAACGCACCCGGGCCAGTCCCGTCCCGTCCCCCAAACCGCTCCAAACGCTCCTCTCCGGAGCCAGCGCCGCCCGGGGCGAGACCCTCCAACGGCATGGAGAGATACCTCGCACAGTCGGAGAACGGAGGGACCTGGAGGATCCCTCCAGGTACTTCATCTGCCTGGTGCAGATGTTGGTCCGAGTACTGAGTACTTGTGCCCCTGGGGTGCCTTTGGTTTTGGGCCTTGCTTGGGAGCTCGTAGATTCGTCGCTTTTTTTGGTGATTTTCGAGGTCGGCTGCGAGGGATTCATTGTTCATCTTTCGATTCATCTGGGTTCTATGGCTTTCAGGCTGAAGAACAAACAATAAAGTGAAACGGGGTGCCGACATGTCGGCAATATCACTGGAAATAACTTGAGAGTTCCCAGTCGTTTGCAAATGTTTGCAGCACCCCCTACTCCAGCGTTCACCATCAAACCGCCTTAAACAGCACCTACTCAACTTGATCTTCATGTCATTCTCTTGGATGTTTCGAGGTTGAGAGCTCCAAACATCGCCCAGGTCACGAGGCTGGCTTCATGTAAAGGATGGAGCCGCCTGAATCACCGGCCTCGGGGTCAGGGTGACGCGGCGCTTCGGCCGCTTCGGGCGAAGAGGGGAAGGGGTGCAGCTCGCTTCGGGGGGTGGCGGAGCTCGCCTTGGTTGGTTGGTCCACCTCGTAGATCGTGGAAGGGAAGGGAAGGTCGAGTCCGAGTCTATAAGAGTCTGACGGGTCGTCCTCCGGATCTGGGAGCGCCTGTCCCTTTGATGGTCTAAAAGTGCGTCTCGTAGACGTGCTGCTGCGTAGCTCGGATCACCGCGTGCTGCGTGCTGCGCTCGGAGAGACCGCCGTGTAGCTCGGTGCGAGGCACCCCCCCCGTCACACCAACCGTCTTCCGCCCATATGGTGTACGAGAATGACCCATTCGATTCCCTTTGTTATCGACACGGTTAATCGACTCTTGTCGCAAAAAGACTGAGACTATAGGGCTCTCAACTATATGTTATATATACCTGGATCTTCCAACGATTACAAATTTCTGCCTTTTCACCTCGTCTCACCCATAAAAACCAGTCAAAAGGCAGAAATTGGGCATAGTTGGAAGATCCTATAACATATCATTATATACACATCGTGTCAGAGCTCTGACTCTCAACCGTACACTCAGTACAAGCATGTACAAGCTGCCTAATTCTGTGCTGAGCAGATTTGACAAAAGTCGCCGCTTGGAGAAGCTGCTCGATTCGATGTCCCGTGCCACGGAAGCTCGGAGAAGCTGCTCGAAACTCGGGCACCACTTGAAAACACCACCGAGCACCAGGCCGGTTTCAGTTCCACTCCATTGCCACTGGTCTGGACGCCCCGTGGCAGGCTGTTAAACCGGAAGTCAAAGAAGTTCCTCCAGCGGACCAGAAGCTGAGGTCACAGTGCGAGTGGGGCAAACGAAGATTTGGGAAGTGGGGAAGTTTTCATTTGGAAGTGTTCATTTGGAGCGACTTTGGGCGGACATCAGCCGGGACAAGGCAAGGCATGGCAAGACCGCTCTCCGGAAGTGGGCCAGTGGGCCGGACCAATGCCACTCAATGCCACTCAATGCCTTGGCCGAAACCTTCCGATGTGATTCCCCCACGAAACCTGGAGGGACCTTTCTTCAGAAAGGTCACACAGGGCGTCTTCCTCTTCCCGAATCCAAAAGTTCTTCCGACAGGAGCAGCCTTTTGGACAGGATTTAGAAGCTGCTTGATCGGATGCTGGTTTCAAACGAATCCAACACCTGGTGGGGCTCAACAGCTGAAGATGCACCAAGAAGCCGAAAGATTGAAAGGAACTGCTTCAGAAGCTGCGGCACCGGTCCACCGCGCGCGCCTTCGTCCTCGTGGTCCACCGGTCAGGTCCTCGCCCACCCGTGCCGTTGACCGGTCTCGCCTGGAGGGATCCAAGCCCAGTCCAGAGGCCTCGAAGGTCAAGAGGCTTTCCAACTCCTCCAACCACCGGTCGGCGTGGACGGCACCCGGGGGGAGGACCGGTGGTGGTGACCCGGTGAGGCGGGGGGGGAGCTCCAGGGTGCCCGCCCCCATCAACGGTACAAGAACAGCAAGGAGCTCTGAAATGAAACAGTTGCTTTCATTCACAACCTAGGAGACGTATCTTCGATGCGAAATGACACACATCCCGTCGTGCCCGAGCGGTGAATGGTCAGTTTCAAGAGCATCACACTAAAAAGCTAAAACCGCCCACAAATGAAAAACATGCTTTGGAGAACACTTCGGTGTGGGTTCCCCCCCATAAACTCTCCTGTGGGTCATTCCTTTCCCTCGCAGCGAAACGAAAAAAAGAAATGCGCTGGGAACGTCTCCTCGATTGGGAGACCTTTCTTCTCCCCCAGCAGCTGATCGTGGAACTTCACGTCGTAGCTTCCATCCTCCTGTTTCATAGCCGATCAGATCGAAGGAATCAAACGAACCAGATCGGGCGCACGGGATGGGGACCTCGTTCGTTACGGACCATGTCACTCCACAAACTCTGTACATGTCGTCGATGTCGCAAGAGGTGCATCCAAAGCCTCTCCCTGAAAGCCGACCCAGACCAAGGCGGACCCAGACCCCCAAATCAAATTCAAAGAGCGGGTGGACTATCTGGATAGGAACGACGGACCTCCTCCGCTGCCTTCAAAAGGCCATGCCTCCACACCCGCGGTGCCTGGCACCGGGTCACCACGGCGTCGTACATGAAGCGCGTGGTGAAGCCCCAGCGCCCGGCGGAGCTCAACGACGCCTCGGGCCACCACCCGCCAAGTCCGGTCGAGTCCGGTCGGAGCCGTCCGACGCCGAGCGGTCCGAGCTCTGCACGGCCTCGTCCGAGTGGCAGCCGAGCGGCCTTGATGACCTGACCCTCCACCAGGTCGGGATAGAACCTCGCGGCGCGGAGTGGCGAAGAGCTTTCGGTGCCAAGCCCCCCAAAGAGCCCCCCGGGTTTCCCTCACTGTTCTTCATTCGACAGCAGACCCAAGTCTCAAAAAATGGGCTCTGCCTCTAAAAACCTTCCATTCCAAGGTGCTTCTTGGCGAGGTTCACGTCCTCCTTCTCATCATCATCATCCTCAGTCTGGTAATGTGGAACTCCATGCGATGCATGGCCCAACCCCACCACCACGCCACGGATTATGGCCCTGGTTCAGGCACTCAGATGGTTCAAGGCAGGTGGGCAGGGTGCTTTGAACCCTCATGTGATCCCACTTATCATCCCTCAGGGACCTCTTGACCTGACCTTTCACCTGGCAAAAACACCGAGTCTGCCGCAACTCGCATGAGCACCAACAAAAGGGTTGTCCAAACTACACCACCGTGGGCCCCAAACAGTTTGTGTTTTCAAAAATGGAACACTCTGCAACTAGAGCTTGCGACGTCCAGAGCTGGGAGACAAGGATTGCAAGGCAGAGGCGGCCACAGCAGTCCAGAGCTGGGAGACACATGTAGACACAGAGGGAGACAAATGTAAAGGATTGCAAGCGACATGCAGCCCAGAGCTGGGTGACAAATAAAGGATTGCAAGGCAGAGGCGGATACAGCAGTCTAGAGCTGGGAGGCAAATGCAAAGGCTTGCGAGGACACATGTAAAGGATTGCAAGGCAGAGGTACACACAGCAGTCAGAGCTGGGAGACAAATGTAAAATTAAGGATTGCAAGGCAGAGGCGGACACAGCAGCCCAGCGCTAGGAGACAAATGTAAAGGATTGCAAGGCAGAGGCGGACACAGCAGCCCAGAGCTGGGAGACAAAGCAAGGCAGAGGCGGACACAGCAGTCCAGAGCTGGGAGACAAATGTAGACAGAGGGAGACAAATGTAAAGGATTGCAAGGCAGAGCAGCTGGGAGACAAACGTGAAGGGTTGCAAGCGAGAGGGGGAGAGAGGAGGCACATGTAAAGGAAAGAGGGAAGACAAGGCGGACACAATGACCAACAAGAAGGGGGACAACAAGGGAGACAAGAAGGGAGACAAAAGGAAACACAAGGGAGACAAGACGGACACAGTGCCCAACAAGAAGGGAAACAAGACCAGAGACAAAAAGAAACAGAAAGAAGACAACACGGACAACAAGGAGGGAGACAAAAGGAAACAGAAGGGAGACAAGACCGGAGACAAAGGGAGACAGAGGGGACGAGGTGGACACAATGACCAACAAGAAGGGACACAAAAGGGAACAGAAGGGAGACAAGACGGACACAGTGACCAACAACAAGGGGGACAAGACCAGAGACAATTACACCACCGTAGACCCCAAACAGTTTGTGTTTTTCAAAATCGAAACTAGAGCTTGCGACGTCCAGAGCTGGGAGACAAAGGATTCCAAGGCAGAGGCGGCCACAGCAGCCCAGAGCTGGGAGACGAACGTAAAGGATTGCAAGGCAGAGACGGACACAGCAGTACAGAGCGGGCGGACACATCTTAAGAAAGAATTGAAAAACCCTAACAGTAAACCTTTTGGGGAATTATTCTTCAAGTGCGAACATGATGCTGGTCATGCTGCTCAATCAGCAAGGAGCTGACCACGTGAGGACAAGAAATAGAAGCATGAGGAGGGAAGGATGTGACATGAAATTGATTTTTGGCGCCTGACGCATGCCCTCCGTCCCAACTGAACAGAGAGATCGCTGCCACGCCGCCGAAATCCAATCCGGTCATTCATCCAACGCTTGCCCGAAAAGGAAAACAAAGCTGAGAGAGTTACACAGTGTGGCAGGAATGCACTCCCGGAGACAGTCACGCGGCAGAAAACAGCAGTGCAGGCACCAAACCTGAAAGACAAAAAGAAAGAAGCCGCATGGGAGACAAATGAATCTTCATGGCCAACGGACAAGGGCGGACACCACCAGTGACAGACCTGAAAGACAAATGAATAGAAATGCTACATGGCAGTGACGGACCTGGGAGACAAATGAATAGAAATGCTTCATGGCCAATAGACAAGGACACACCAGTGACAGACCTGGGAGACAAAAGAATAGAAATGCTACATGGCCAGCGGAAAAGGGCGGACATCACCAGTGACAGGCCTGGGAGACACATGAATAGAAATGCTGCATGACCAACGGACAAGGGCGGACACCAGCAGTGACAGACCTGGGAAATGAATCGAAATGCTGCATGGCCAGCGGAAAAGAGAGGACACTGGCAGTGACAGACCTGGGAGACAAATGAATAGAAATGCTACATGGCCAACGGAAAAGGGCGGACACCAGCAGTGACAGACCTGGGAGACAAATCAATAGAAACAGCAGAAAAGGGCGGACACCACCAGTGGACAAATGAATAGAAATGCTGCATGGCCAGCGGAAAAGGGCGGACACCACCATTGACAGGCCTGGGAGACAAATGAATAGAATGCTGCATTGCCTGCAGAAAAGGGCGGACACCAGGCCAACGGAAGAGGGCGGACACCACCAATGACAGACCTGGGAGACAAATGAATAGAAATGCTACATGGCCAGCGGAAAAGGGCGGACACCAGCAGTAACAGACCTGGGAGACAAACGAATAGAAATGCTACGTGGCCAGCGGAAAAGGGCGGACAGCAGCAGTGACAGATTTTTGGGAGACAAATGAATAGAAATGCTACATGGCCAGTGGAAATGGGCGGACACCAGCAGTGACAGATTTTTGGGAGACAAATGAATAGAAATGCTACATGGCCAGTGGAAATGGGCGGACACCAGCAGTGACACAAAGGGCGGACACATCTTAAGTGGGAGACAAATGAAAAGAAATGGGAGACAAGCCGGCCGGGAACCCGACCACAAGCACAGAGGCTGGGAGACAATGAAAGGAAGTGGGAGACAAGCCAGCCGGGAACCCGACCACAAGCACCCAGGCTGGGAGACAAATGAGAAGGGAGACAAATGAAAGGAAGTGGGAGACAAGCCGGCCGGGAACCCGACCACAAGCACCCAGCCTGGGAGACAATGAAAAGAAGTGGGAGACAAATGAAAAGAAGTGGGAGACAAATGAAAGGAAGTGGGAGACAAGCCAGCCCGGAACCCGACCACAAGCACCCAGCCTGAGAGACAAACAAATGAAAAGAACTGGGAGACAATTGAAAAGAAGTGGGAGACAAATGAAAAGAAGTGGGAGACAAATGAGAGGAAGTGGGAGACAAGCCAGCCGGGAACCCGACCACAATCACCCAGCCTGGGAGACAAATGAAAAGAACTGGGAGACAAATGAAAGGAAGTGGGAGACAAGCCGGCCGGGAACCCGACCAGACCATCCAGCACCAAGGCGACCATTCTTTAAAGCATTGAGAACCCCTAACAGTAAACTGTTTGGGGAAAAAGAAACAGAAAGAAGACAACACGGACAACAAGGAGGGAGACAAAAGGAAACAGAAGGGAGACAAGACCGGAGACAAAGGGAGACAGAGGGGACGAGGCGGACACAATGACCAACAAGAGGGAGACAAAAAGGAGACAAAAGATAACAGAAGGGAGACAAGACGGACACAATGATCAACAAGAAGGGAGACAAGAAGGGAGACAAAAGGAAACAGAAGGGAGGCAAGAGGGACACAATGACCCACAAGAAGGGAGACAAGACCGGAGACAAACAAAGAATGAAGGGAGACAAGGCGGACACAGTGACCAACAAGAAGGGGGACACAGTGACCAACAAGAACGCAGACCAAGGGAGACAAGCCAGACGGAAGGCGGACACGCTGTCCAGCAGCAAGGCGGACACTTTTGGAAAGCATTTAGAACCCCTAACAGTAACCTGTTTGGGGAAGTGCAGAAATCACCTGGGAGACAAATATGAATAGAAATGCTGGAGAGGGGAAAAGGGCGGATGCCAGCAGTGCAGGCACCGAACCTGGAAAACAAAAGTAAAAAAAACACATGGGAAACAAATGAATAGAAATGCTGCATGGCCAGCGGAAAAGGGCGGACACCAGCAGTGCAGGCAGCGAACCTGAGAGACAAAAGTAAAGAAATCACTTTAAAGACAAACGAATAAAAAAACATCTTAAGAAAGAATTGAGAAACCGTACGTAACGGCAAACTATGTGGGGAATGAAAAGAAATGTTGCATCGCCAGCGGAAAAGGGCAGACACCAGCAGTGACACACCTCACAGACAAATGAATAGAAACGCTGCATGGCCAGCGGAAAAGGGCGGACAGACCTGGAAAACAAATGAATAGACATGCTACATGGCCAGCCGAAAAGGGCGGACACCAGCAGCGACAGACCTGGGAGACAAATGAATAGAAACGGTACATGGCCAGCGGAAAAGGGCGGACACCAGCAGTGACACACCTCGGAGACAAATGAATAGAAATGTTGCAACGCCAGCAGAAAAGGGCGGACACCAGCAGGGCAGACCTGGGAGACAAATGAATAGAAATGCTACATGGCCAGCGGAAAAGGGCGGACACCAGCAGCGACAGACCTGGGAGACACATGCATAGAAATGCTACATGGCCAGCGGAAAAGGTGACAGACCTGGGAGACAAATGAATAGAAATGCTACATGGTCAGCGGAAAAGGGCGGACTAGCAGTGACAGACCTGGGAGACAAATGAATAGAAACGCTGCATGGCCAGCGGAAAAGGGCGGACACCACCAGTGACAGACCTGGGAGACAAGTGAATAGAAATGTTGCAAATGAATAGAAATGCTACATGGCCAGCGGAAAAGGGCGGACACCAGCAGTGACACAAAGGGCGGATACATCTTAAGAAAGAATTGAGAACCCCTAACAGTAATGTGTTTGGGGAAAAAAAGAGCTTCAGCAAAACTTGAAGGATACCTCTGGTCCAGAGAAATCAAAAAGATCACGAAGGTCGTCCCAAACTCCTCACATTCCCGACGCCTTTTGGGTGCCCAGGGCACCAAATCCATGTCATCTTCCGCTTCGGCGAAGAGCCGCAGGTGATCCACCTCGGGTGGTCAGACGGGTGATCCCACGGGTGCTCCAAGGGGTGGGACGCTTGGTTGCAGAGGCTGTACATGAACCAAACCGTGTCCAAAAAATGCAATGGAAAAAAACAGGAGAACACAGACCGGGGCAGAAAAACAACAGAAGTCACGCGACTAACACAGAACCGCCGAAGCTGTCCTCGTCAAGGATTTGGTTTGGTCAGAGCCTCCGAATTTCGCGGGGCGGGGCGGAAAGATGCGCAAATCTACTCCTGTTCTGTTCGGTTTCTGCTAGTCGGACTTGTGGCAAGCTTCAGTTGGTGTAGGTAAGGGTGACCAACCACTTCAACAGTCAAGCACATGCAAGCCCGCTGTTTTGCCAACCAAGCCAGTCCGAGCCAGATCAACTTAGACAACCCTTCAACTCGGTTGATTGCAGGGTTGCTACTTCGAGACATGGAAGAATTGGCTGCTTTCTGCGGAAAGCAGCTGAATCTCCCCATATACATATACTAGTGTATATATATATATATGTATTGTATAAGATGTGTATATATAATATATGCTCACTGCTCACTCTATTCCGCACCAGAGTTCACAGAAAACAAGAATCATCCTTCAGACCATTCCATGAACTTCATTCGCTTTGGATGACAGCAGGGAGATGGTCTGCCCTTCTGTTTTTTCCACCATTGTTCTTCTCTGAAGAGTTTCCTAGACTCTGAAAAGGAGCTACACTCACCCAGCAACCTACCAGACCCTAAGTCAATGGTTCCTCGCCCACCTCCAACCCGGCCCTCTTCCAACCCCCTTCTGTAGACCACATCCATCGCAACCCGGCAAGGCACGGCGAACCACTCGCGGTGGACCTCGAAGCCTTCGCGGAGATCCACCTCACCGTGGCATGGAACGGCGAAGACGGTGCAGACGGGGCAGACGGGCTTCGCGCCCGGAAATCAGGTCAAACTGAATGATGGTAACCTGGATGGGCTTGATTTTTCCAGAACTATCTCACCACCTGTGCAATTTGGTCGAAGGTTGCCATGGGTAAACAAGAAGTTGAAGAATCCCATTCCATTCCACTTTATTGTCTTCAAGAGCTAGACTCCTCTTGGTCAAAACAGCAAACTGACTATTCAAGAGGAAGACCACTCAACAAGCCCCTTGGACCACGCCTGCAGCATGCACTGCCACTGCTTCTCGCCCTTCTTTCCATGACAATCTGCGCAGACATACCAGTTGCAGTCCTTTCAGGCCACACAAGTTCATCCGGAGCCGTGCCGGTCAAACCAAACCCAAACCGGGTGTGCGGTCACGGTCTTCGGACGGACCTGTTGAATGAGTGGTTCATCTGGTTGCGCTTGCGCTTGTCCAGAAGCAAATCAAATGAATCAAGCACACCTGTACATCTAGTCGTGGACTGGTTCGGCATACCAACCGATCTCTACAATGCCGCACGCAGCACGAAGCAGAAGACCCTGGCAGCATCAGTGTCTCCAAAGAAAGCAGTTCATACTTACAATCTCATGACAGCCTGCAGGTGCCCTTGCTTTCATGCTTCTCCACCACCTTAACTCTTGTGATCCCAAAATCCAAAGGTCCACAAAAAGATTCCACAAACCCAACTACCACCTGTATCATATATACATCCCCCTGCTCTTCCAGGAACTTCCAGTCTTCCACTGGAGCCGCTCCTCACATCCGAAGGCCACCGGCTTGGGTTTACCATCCTCTGCCGCCTCGGCCGACGCCTTGTCCTTCTTCTTAGCCGCCTAAACAGAGTGAAAACGGCCAGCGGCCAGGTGTGTGACGGACGAAAGACCCAGGAAGTGCTTGTGCATGTTCTGATGTGGAGGCTCCGGGGATGCTGCGCGGGAGCAAAAGGATTGAAGCGTTCATCGAAAGTCAGGCGTGCCAGGCGCATTTTGGTCTAGATGCAAGTGCTCAAAACAGGTGCAGTCGAGATGAAGGGTTACAACAAGCGGCCCAAATCGTCCCACATCGATCTGTAGATTCAGCGAAACGGCGACTGGAACGGTGCAGCCGGTCGCTCCGGCCCCCATTGGACCGGTCGCCTTACACATCTCACATTCCAGTCGAGGACCTGAGGGGCGGCCGCGATGGGGATGCGAAAAAGAACCAACTAAGGGCTTTCTTCCAGACCTTTATGCATTGACCATGTCGTACACATGAAGGCCCACCCTGATATACCAGCTGGCTCTCTCCCAACGGACATAAAAACTGACCAACAACCCTAGAGAAAAGTACCTTTCATAAACCCAGCTCTGGCAGTTTCCATTTATGTGTCTGTCAAACATAAAGCAGCATAAAACCTTGGATATGAAGATCAGCTTGATTACCCACATCAACACCTGATTAATAGTCAACTTGTTTACGCACTAAGGAACTTCATACAACACTGGTCGATTGCCCACAATCCCACCGCCAAAGAAACTCTAAATGAAACTTGCTTTGACCTTCTTCACCAACCAACCTTCCTGGGTGACTGGCAGCAAAACCCAGATAGAAAGTGTCCAGGTGAACATGTCTTTCGAGAGCGGGAAGCCAGCACAACCAAAACAATCTTCAGCGGCGTAATCAAACTAGAGAGTCATCAAAACGGAGGAGGACCAAAATGGCTCTGCTTGACAAGTGGCCTTTCTTCTTCTTCTGCTTCTTATCCTGCCAAACAGTGTTCCTAAACCCTGAGACACAAAGAAGAGATATTCAGTAAGAGCCACATGGAGAGACTCTGTGCAAGGACATGGACCTGGATTGTGCCAGGACTCAGACTTTGTCGACAACAAACTTCTGACTTGTTCGGAAAATGCTTTTAACACTTCAAAAGGAGACTGGCAGAGCACTGGACTTGGCCAAGCAAAAACTACTTTACTTCGAGCTATTCTCAACCGACCTTGCTGGCTTACCCTGGCCATTCTGCTGAATGGTATCGCGCGCTACTGTTTCGCCGACAGTGTCATTGTGTTGGTTGTTGCTGTCCAGTTGCTCTTCTCGTTGTCGTTGTCGTTGCCGTTGTCATTGTTGTTGTTGTTGTTGTTGTTGTTGTTGTTGCTGTTGTTGTTGTTGTTGTCGTTGTTGTCGTTGCTGCTGCCATTATTTGTGGCTTTTGGTAGTCTTGGCTCGCATTCTTGGAGTTTATATTGCTCTCGCTCTTGTTGTTTACGGTGTTATAACATGGTCGCCGGCGTCATTCTTGTTGCTGCTGGTGCAGAGCTGACACTGAACACGGGGTTGGTCTTCACTCACTGGGTTGATCTAGTCTCCTGTCACGGGAAAAATTAGTTTATAAAGAAAATATACATGTGGACACATGTGTTTCTCATGTGGACACCTGCTTCATCCAGCCTCCTTGGGCTCCCCCTTGACCTGTTCATCCGCCCACGGATCCTCACTCGCTCACGGAAGAAGAAAGGGCCAAGGAGTCACATCAATGTCCAAGAGGCAAAATAGGCCAGAGGTTGGTAATGAGTCTAATGGTTGCTGATGGTTGCTGATGGTTGCTAGTCGAATGGGTCTGCTTTATTAGAAGCTGGGGTTTCCTGACGTTATCCACTTTTTGTCAAAGCAACTGCCAGTTAATATACGGTACCAAAGACATTGGGCCACCGCACATCATCTTCCTTGATCTTTTCCAAGGGATGCTTGTGACGTGGACAGTGGCCGTGAATGGCCTCACACCAAATGCAGCTCAGGGGACATGCAGAAAGTCTACTGCAGCCAGGAATCGAAGCCCTCTCTTTTCAACTCACTCACCTTGAACCTTTACACTATTTCCAGGTGCGTTCGAGAGTCCAAAGACAGCTTCTCCGACTCAGGGACTGATCGATGGCCGTCCCACTTGGATCCCCTCAAAGTCTCGGCCCACATCGCAGCGGGGGTGAAAACACCGTCCCGTTCCCCGTGGCCGAAACGGACGCGGTGCCCGCGAACGCACGTCGAGATGCAGTGACGATGCCCGTCTTCTTCTTGTGCTCGCCCTGCCGTCACACAGCAACCAGCCAGACAAACTGTCTGGCCCCTCCATGGAGCATTTCGAAGATGACGACTGGTTCACAGAAGCATGGTTCCGAACGTCTACTGCTGTAGTGACTACGGTTCTGAACGACCACAATGCTCTACAGTGTAATCGGACCTTCCCATCTAGCATGGGGGCATCGAGAGAAGCTGCTCTGTGTACATCCAAATTCCCATAGAATCCATGAGAGCCACAATAATGCTTAGGAGCTCCTAAAAAGAGTTTTCTCTAGATCAGAATCCTACCCGTTTGCAAATGTATGACTCACCGCTGAAGCTCTTAAATTTGATCCAGCTGGTTTCTTCTGTAAAGCTCCCATCAAAGGGTTACCCCGCTCATCCTGGGGTCAAATGTCGATCTCTTTGGGCCCAAGTTTGCTCGCCTCTTTGACGACCACCATGGCCCATTTCCATTCACCAAGCTCACCTGGCGCCAACGTCGGATGGCAAAATGCCAACGTCAAGTAGCTTCGAGGTGGGTCGGCCACTTGTCCAGCATCGGACACGCCATGTCGAGATGAATCCAGGCCGACACCCTCGTCACTTCACCGCAGCTCGGCCAGAGGACCGGACGTGTTTCACTCGGAATGGATGGAGTTGCGGGTCAAGACGGTCAAGCTCAGTGCTTGACCGCCGAACATGAGACGATTTCCGCTTTAGGCTGGGGAGGGAAGCCCCACCCCCCAGTCCTCAGAATCTCTGGGTCGCCCGTGACACCAGGTCGAGACGTGGGTTCCACGGAGCTGACGGCAGGTCGACATCGCTGCGACCCGTTGGGATCGCCTTCGTCTTCCGCCTCCCAGCCACCCCACCAAGTCTCGTCCTGGCCGAAGCGGACCCAATTTGGGGCTGACATCGATGGGATCAAGTGAAAATGCTCAGCATCCTGCACCTGCGTGGAAAATTCATACATACATACATATTATATATATATATGTACATTATATACATTATATAGGCAATTATATGTCATATAAGTATGAGTGTGTGTGTGTGTTTGCGGTAAGAAAGATCTACGTAAAGACTTTCGCTACAATGTCTAACACAGATTGGCTCCATTCTCCTCGCTCTCGTCATCAAATCCGACACCTTGGGCGATTCGCAGCAGTCTTTTTGAGATGTCCAGACTCCAGAGAGTTCAGCTGATTCGCGAATTCTCCACAAGAGGCACCTTCTTCTCTTACTTTGAATTCTCTATTTTGCAAAAAAGTTGTTGAGCTACATGGAAAGTTCAAAGGAGACTCCAAGCTTGGATCTAGACAAGTGCAAAGCAAGCTCATGACATGTTCCCGTTCTCAAGCTCATTCAATCCCGACACGTCCTTCTATCAAGCACAGAGTCATCCTATTCAAGATCGTCCTTGATTGTGACTGGCTTCACCTAGTGGCGGGTTTGACCCCCAACACCACTGACGCCTCCTCCCGCGCCTCCGAAGCTGACGCCTCCACCACGTCCGAAGCCTCCCACGCCGACGCCCGGAAGCGCCAAATCGCTCACGCCCCATCCCTGGCAGCACCGGGCACGCCGCAGTCAGCGGGGAGCGAGAGAAGGAAGGTGTTTGGGTTGAGCTGGGAGGTGCTTGGTGATCTTCAAAATGAACGTTGGAATTCATGATCTCTTTTTCCAAATGAACACCAGACAAAGAGGCAATGGAACGTGATCAGCGCTTCCCCCCCCTTCCAAAATGCTTTTCTCCACGAAACGGTCGCAACCCAAAGCACCGGCTCACACAGTGGCGAGCTCCGTACGTGCGCGTGGCACCGACGCGTGGGTTCCCCGACCAAATTGCGCCCAGCTCCGGGCTCCGGTTCTCCAAACCCAAAGAGCTCGTCCACCCCGCGGTCATTGCCACCAGTGGACCAGCGGTCCTTGGTGGAGGAAGAAGGGCTAAGGAGACGTGGCATTGTGTGGTATAAGTTAAGCTTTGTATAGTAGATGCTTGTGCAACATTGTCATGCAATCCCTTACTTCGGCTGGTCTTCAGAAGTGTTTTGTATTGATTGGTGGCAAACATGAGTCCAAAGGATGCGGGCCCCTGGTCATCCACAACGAAGTCCAATGCTTCAGACCCATGCTCCACAACGATGACCACCCGAAGGATATCCAACCACTGACCTTTGTGTTGAAAGTTGGCCAACCTCTGAGATCTCTAAAGGGCTTATGCGCACCGAGAAACACAAATCCACTGACAAACAATGGGGAGAATCTGGCCAACAGCAACATTGAAGCTAAAAACCAAGAAACACCGAACAAAACCAACAAAACACCAACACCAAAACAAAAACCAACCCAAAAAAACGGCACCAGACCGACCAACCAGGAAATCTTATAGATCTCTCGGAGGTTCTTTCTCCGTGCACTTGAATGAATTCAGTGCGAAACGAAGGGTATCCCCTTTTCTGCCCGGCCCACCTGAGGCAAAGAACAGGGAAACATCATCCTCCAACGTCCGAGGGGCATCATCGTCAGGATCTCCTCTTCTTCCGCCACTGCGACCTTCGTTTCAGCCAGAGAAGCATTTCTCATGACAACCCCAGACCCCCCAGGCCCTGTGAGCGCCAAAGTGCAGCAGAGTGACCCCACATGGCCGGTTCACGCAGCTTTGAGGAAGAATCTTAGGACTGACCAGAAGCCGAACAGCAAACACTGATTCTTGGAAGAAAATAACGAAACAATCCTGCTGCTTTCAAGTTGCCTAGTGGTAGTTTTGACCAACCATCTCCTTTGAGCAAATGCTGCGGTATGGATGAAAGTTGCTCAAAAGTGCGAAAATGCCCTGAAGCAGATTTAAAGAACTGCAGGTAGCAGCAACACCTCGAACAAATGAGCATCCCCAATACGCCCAATTCATGGACTGCCAAGTTCTCACAGTGTTTGCTTACAAAAATGCCGCGAAAATTCAATTCAAACCAAACTGTTTTTGTCTTCTCCAACCCAAACATTAAAGAATTCAACCCTACCTTCTTGGGGACGCTGCACGTGGCCGAAAGCCACCAGATGGAATTCAAGGTCGTTCAACTCAGGAGATGGGAAACACGGAACGAAAGGGTCTTCCCTCAGACTCTCCGCATCCGCCCGCTTAAACAGCTCCAACATATATATATATATAAGCCCTTTTGGGCAGCCAAACATACACTATGGAAAAATTCATTCACATGAAGATCATAGCAACCAAATGGCCACTAATGAGATGCCACATCACGAAATGGAGTCTCCCATGCAAATGTTTGCCGTGAAAAATGGTTGCCATGCCAACCAATGGCCAAGTCCTTTCTCGCAAGCCAGAAAAAAGGCAGGTCCATCACGGTGACCCTCTTGTCTTCTTCACGTGGGTTCCTTAAGTCCGAGACTGGTACCGTACCATCATTTTGGGGTGCTGGTCGTCGAGAACCATGTCGGATCAAGAAAAAAACTGCGACCAAAGAAACACAAACGTGATGTTTTGTTAAAACTTAAAGCATCCTGGCAGCTTTCATGTGAAAAACTATCGAAGAATGCAAAACATCAATGTTTTTTCTAACTCGAGACTCAAAAGTAATGACGGCTGCACTCCACAAATTCCAAGTTGAGAAGATTGACTTTCAAAGGCAAAACATCCATCAAAGAACTGGACATTTCGAGAGAAACGTTCCACTTTCAGAAGAGTTGGAAACACTTCATTGACGTGCGCACAACGAAGAAACACTGAGAAATTGTCCAAAATAATGGCGCTCTGGTGGCCTCCATCTTGCTACGCTGTCCCAACCTCCCTTCAAGGTGCCTAATTCTGCCCTGATCGTCACTCACTCTATCTGTCTATCTCTCTGTCCATCCATCCATCACCAATCGATCTCTCAATCTCTCTCTCTCTCTCTCTGTTTCTCTCTCTCTCTCTCTCTCGATCTCTCTCTCGATCTTTCTCTCTCTCTCTCT